CTTACAAAGAGCTCAGTTAAATGTCTACACTCCAGAGGTTGTTTTCTGCATTGAGGTGGGGGGATTCTCCCTACAAGAAGTAGCAAAATGACAAAAGAACGTCAAAAAGATCTGGGTAGCATGAATGAGAGATGCCGGTTACATTATCTCATCATCATCAAACACAGTTGTTCAGGTTAAAAAAAGAGACTCAAAATGCACACCCACAGTGTTGTGTAAACACATTTGAAATGTTTCAGGGGTTGCGGCTGAATCCCTAGGGCATGATGAACCTTAAACAAATCATTGAGGCATCTTCTGACTGGAGGTAGCCCCGCCCACCATAAATCAATCATCATGCAGTTAGGGGCAGAGACAGGGGTCTGGGCTCGGATCTCAGATCTGTTACAAACGAGCTGGGTGATCTTGGAAGTCCCTGGAACTATTTCTTTGTCTACAATATGGGGCTGTGGGGAAAACTAGTGAGAAAATATATGTATTACTTTGTAATCTATGACAGCACTCCACAAACATTAGTTGTCAGTTACTTAAATAGTAAGTGATCGTTAATTTGAATACTATGGTATTGAAGACAGTACACTAGACACTTTATAGATGTTTCTCTGCCTCTGTCCCCAGTAGAGGACCACCGCTCACCACCACACACAATCCTATGGGATGAGTATTATCTTATACATCCTAAAGATAAAATTCAGAGTTCTTGAGTAACTCGCTCAAGGTCATGCAGCTGGCGTCTATGCCCAAGTTTCTATGCTGTTATCTCAGTCTCCAAAGCCCAATTTCTTTCCACTAGTACAACGATTCAGAGAAAAATGAGGGCTCTTTTCTCAAATTGCTCTTTATCAACTAAGGAGAGCAGAGACACGTGTTTTCTCTTGATGTGGAAGGAACTACCGCGGCATTAAAGGAAAGATGAACTGAAGAACTTACTTGGAAACTCACGAGGCAGAGATGTGGGAGGAAATGGCAGACTCCTTTCACACACACAGCAGCTCCGCGCGTGCCTCACCACTGCGCTGAGGGGATAATGAGTCAGGGAAGGGTGAAACGGATCCTTCCTTTGTCCTGAGACAATTGTCATTTGAGAGGCTGAGCAAAAGGGGAAACCTCTTGTTCCAGAGAGAAAAGCATCTGTGGAGCCTCCTTCTTTCTTGTACCATAATCATCCCAGCAACTTTCAAAGCTCTACTGAAATGAGTTCCAAATTGGGCTGAATTACAATGTCTGTGTGATGCTCAGTGCGGTAGACTGAATAATGCCTCTTTCTGCCAAAAAAAAAAAAAAAACCAAACAAAATCTAATCCCCAGAATATGTAAATACGTCACTTTACAAGGAAAAGGGTCTTTGTGGTTGTGATTAAGTTAAGGACCTTGAGATGGGGAGATTATCCTGGATCATCTGGTGGGTTCCACGCAATCATACGGGCCATTAGAAGCAAGAACTTTTCCAACTGTAGCCAGAGGGAGCCGTGACTACAAAGAAAAGGCACAGAGAGATGTAATGTCGGCTTCAAAGAGGGAGGATGGGACCATGAGCCAAGGCGCGCAGGAAAAGGCTCTAGAAGCTGGAAAAGGCGAGGAAGCTGATCCTCCCCTTGAGCTCCAGGAGGGAAGGCAGCTCTGTTGATGCCTTGATTTTAGCCCGCTGAGATCCATGTTGGACTTCTGACCTACCAGACTAAAAAATGACAGATTTGTATTGTTTAAATCCAGAGCGTGCATTGTCAGCAGCCATAGAAAACAAACAAACTTGGGAGTATTACTGGCTGAAAAGTTTCTTAGTCCGTGTGCCAGAACATTTCTAAAACACGGATCTGATCCTCTTTGCTCACTTCCTACATCCAATTAGACTCCACGTTCTGTTGATCCTCCCACAGAAATGATACTTGGGACACTAGCTACTCTCCTCGGAGGACTGGCTTCATGCCGGCACACGCTAGACACTTTACATACCTTTTCTCCAGTCTTCACAACTCTTGCCAAGGAGGTAATAATTCCTTCTCATCAGATGAGAAATTTGAGACTTGGAGAGGTTAAGTGACCTGCCCAGATGGAAACGATGCAGCCAGGATTCAAACTTCCTTGTCCTCCCTGGTAGGCATCTCAGGTGTGGGGGGTGCAGGAGTGCAGGTGTGGGGGGCCTTTAGGTACCAACGTTCTGGAATCTGCCTCTTCCTCTCCATCCCTGTGGTCATGGCCCTGGCACGGGTTCTCATCCCCCACCACAGTTTTGACCACTAAGATGTCCCTCTGCCTCTGGATATCATCCCCATCGATCCATCCTGCACCATAGGTAGAGCAACTTCTCTAGTACACAGACCCGTTCTTGCCACTTCTCTGCTTAAACTCTCCCAAGGGTCCCCACTTTCTGCTGCATAAAGTCAACCTTCTTACCATAGCATTCAAAGCCCTTCACAATCTGTCTCTGAGTTCAACCCATCCCTTCAGACTCTCCATGCTACAGACCCATCAACACGTAGCTTTGCACCAGAATATACCAGGGACTTTTCATCACTTATTTAATATGAATCTTCTCATAGGACAGACAGGGAAACTGTAGATCAGAGTTGTAAAGTTAGCTGCCTTACGTCACACAGCTTGTATGAAGCAGAGTCAATACCAGATTCCAAATTCTTCATTATGCTACAGTATAAAAAAGGTAAACTCTGATCCCTTCATTTCCCTCCTCTGCTGCCATTATTGAGTGAAAACAACCATCCTTTCTGGTGGGGAGGACTGCTATACCTCTGATCTGTTCTCCACATGGAATAAAAATCTAATCAGGCCTCTCCACTGCTTAAAAATCCTTCACTATCCATTGTCCTTAAAATAAAGACCCAAACCCTAAAGATGTGGCCCTTACATGACTTTCCAGGCCCATCTCAGGACCCTCTGCCTCTTGCTATGATGCTCACCCTCTTTCAGACCCCTCGAGTTACCTCACCCCCTCCCACCTCAGGGCCTTTGCACATGCTGTCTTCTCTGTCTGGCGTACTCTTGTTCTTCTCCATCTTCCTTCCTTATCTGTCATCTCCTTTCAGCCATTACTTCCCCAGGAAGACTTCCTGACTGCCAGACTGGCAGTGGGCCCTCTGTGAGAGGCTCTTTCTGCTCCTAGTACTATGCCCCTATTGGGTCCATCAGTCTGTGATTATCTGTGTGTGTGATTATTTGATTAATGTCTTCTCTTCATCAAACTCTATGTTCCCTTAGAGCAGAGACTTACTTTATCCGATTGTGTACTTTTGTGTCCCCAGTGTTGATTATAGCCCCTGGAACAGGGACGGAGCTCAATAATTATCTGTCGGATGAGTAAACACCAACTGGCCCTGGCTGTGAAGTCGATCCCATGATTTCCATTTATGTGTCTTTCGAGGGAAAGAGCAAGAAAGGTATCAAATGTTTCAACTACTGGAGACACAGAATTGGACATCCTATCCTGTGGGTTGTTTACTCTTGTTGTTGCTGGTATTTTGTTTTTGCTTAATTTGGGGGAAAGGATTCAAATGTTGTAAAAAACATAAACAAAACCACTTGAAATGGATTCACGCTATAAGAAAAACTCTAATCTGTCAAACGAATAAATTTAAATTAATTTTATTTAAGAACACAAGCAGGAACTCATGACAACTTCTTGGGAAATGGGTTTTCTGCTTTTCAAATGTTTTTATTTTTAAACTGTAATATCTTTAGGGCCAAGGCTGCAAAATTAAGCTGAGAACATTATTTTATTTTTTTACACGCAGGACGGCCCATAAGCAATAACCTATGTATAGAACGGCAGATACAGCCAATTCCAAAATTGTCTTTGCTTACCACTTCCTCTCACACATTTCTGATGATGCCATCTGATCTAAAAGCGTTTCAGTTCTGCTAAAGGATTTTCACCATTCGGACATCTTTCGACATCAAAGCAAAGCCGATGAGCTCTATAACTCTGAAGGATTTTCAATTTTTAGCTTGTTCTTATTGTGGATTTGAACAATGTGCATTGTTTTGTCAAGAATTGACTTGTTATTTTACTGTCCAGAATCCAGCAGAAAGTATAATATTTTACTTCCAAATCTATCCTAAAATAACGCTGTTCTCTTCCTTTTTTTTTTTCTTAAATCTCACCATGCAACACATTTCTTACTCAGCGGTCTCCTTGAATGATCTATAATTTGAAGAGAAAACATTGTAAAGAGCTACTGGAGCACAAAATCCATGGTGACAGGGGCCATGTTTGTGTTACCTCTGCCGTATCCCCACTGCCCAGCGCACAGGAGATACTTAATAAATATTCTTAAATGAACCCATTGAAACATATTTATTTATTAAACATTTTACATTAGAAGTAATGCATATTTATTTTAGAACTTTTAGAAGAAATAGAAAAACGAGAAGGAAAAGAAAAGATACTGCTACTTAAAGATAATCACTATTAACATTTTGGCATATTCCTCCAGACATTTCATCCATCCATGTATATATATTTTCTTTTTTACATCAAACTGTACATAGTTTTCTAACCTATATATTTTTTACTTACAGTGTATTCAATATATATATTTCACATCCTCAAGTATTTTTGACTACATCATTATTGGTGGCTATGTTATTCCACGGTAAGAATGAACCCAAGTTTATGTAACTAATTTCACTAGGAAACATTGCCAAGGCTATAAATGCTGTATTTCCCGGAACTTCAGGAAAACAGAGCATTATGGTTACTGGAGTGTAAGCATCTAGGGCTACAATCAGTGGAAAACACTAAGTCTAAAATCACGCAGAACATGCTTCAGTCTTTCTTTGATGAATCAGGAACATTCTAGAATGACTTTCTTCATGGAATTAAACATCTTACATTTTAGGAGATACACATGTGCCAGGCTATCTGAAGAAAACAGTAGGCATGGTGCTACTGGTGTCAAGAAGGGAATCCCAATCCAGCAGCTCCAGGATCGCCAAATGGCCCCTCATGATAGGAAGAAGTGGTTGCCATATTTATTTGTGTATGAGGCCAAACATCCCAATTCCTTTGTTTCCTTATTTTAACCGAGAACACCGGCCCCTCACTTCCACTCCCTCCCGGATTGAAACTGTAGGTTTCAGGGGTGGCACATTGAGACTGCACTACTTTGAAGATTAAAGGTTTACTTTCAGGAAAAAGTGACCCCATCTGATGAGTGCATGGAATATCATTTCTAAGACTGCCTTTGAAATTAATGCGTGCTTGAGACGCATGATAGAGCCTGCCACACATGGCGGTATGCTAAGTGTTGAATAGCGCCAGGAATGGTCATTCGTATCACGGTCTGTGGGAACCCACTTTTGGTGGGGCCTATATTCTCTGGTTTAAGAGAATTCCTGCTGGTACCATGGAGCTCCACACTTACCCCATGCACAAATACACAAAATTACATTTCATATTTACAAAATTCCCACTTGGAAATTTCCACAGAGCATAAATACAAATGGATTTCTCCAGAATTCACTCCTACTACTGCACACGGTCTACAAGTGTTGATTTTAATAGAAAACCAGCAACATCTCATCTCTATATGGGAATTTCAACAATGAAGTATTTTAGGTGACTTTTATGACGTTTTCTCCAAGGAGAGTTTCGCAGCCTAAATTAGTGAATGTGTTCTGTAAACTGTAAGGATTAAGCAAGGTTAAGATATATGGGACAGGTTAAATGTCTAGTAATTTGCTAAAATGTTTTCAGTTTTATTTGCTGTAAAAATTTTATTTTAAAGAGAGTACATCCAATAAAATCTCAGACCCAGAATTAAACCTCTCAGAATAAAACCAGTTACAGAAAGAAAGCATTCGCCTAAATCAATTTGAGGTCATCATTGATTACTCTCAGGCAAAAGAGTCATTATTTCATGCTGTTGATGGGGAAAAACATGATTTAAGGCTTATAAGTTTGTCCGGGGTTGGGGTAGGGAGGGAATGCTCCTTTCCGTCTCCTCCAAGAAGAGCTGACCTGTCCTTAGACACAGGGCCTTTGGGTTTCTCTCCTCAGCACCCAGCACCGTGCCTGCACAGAGCACATGCTCGCATATTTACAGATGAGCAAGAAGAGGAGCGGTAGAAAGGGGAGGTCCAGGTCCTCCACCAACCTCATGAGCCCACAACGATCCTTTGGCTGATAGCTCCCGGCAAGGTGTAGATGAAGAGGACCAGAAAGATGATGAGGATGATCAGAATGAAAGCAATGATGATGTACTTCTTGTAGTTCTTCCAGATGAGGTGGTACAGGCACTTGAAGGGGCTCATGAACCAGGAGAAGGAGGTGTTTGGGCGGCTGAGAGGGAAGCAAGAGAAGATCAGACAAGGGGCTACGTTGTCAACGTTTAGGATTCTCAGCACCTCAGGAAGTATCTCTGACTCCCACTTTCTGGAGGTTCACTAAGAGAGGCCTGAGAACAGTAAAAGACTGTGTTGCCTTGAAGCGGGAGCAAGCTAACATTTTGGGCCGTAACGATTCCTCATCATTTTAAAGGTTGGTCTAGAGGAGGGCAAGAGTAAAGTTAGCACCCAGCCACAGGTCTGAGTGCCCTCTGTCTGTCTAACCCCAACCAGCTCAAGCCTCACCTCTTCCATGAAGCCTGCCCTGACCATCCCAGTCCATGATAATTCCCCTCATTCTGAGTTCCTATCTCCCTTACCACTTGACCCAGCACATTTTTGAACCTAACGTATTTGTCTTCTACACTCTGATAACTATTTTATGAGTCTGTGTGTTCTCCCTAAACAGATTGAAAGCTTCTGGAAGGCAGTGTTTATGTCTTGTATTTCTTCAGTGTTCTTCAAAGTGTTTTTTCAGTAGGTACACACTGTAAGAATTTAATAAGTAATTTTGAATTAATGAATAACTAAACAGCCAATGTGCTCCTATCACTAAGATAGATGAAAGGTGGGTACAGAGAAGAGACCACTCATCTTGAGACACTGAGGGTCTGGGAAGGGATAAGGCACATACAACTGGAAAGAGTATTTTGGATACATCTTTCATATCTATATATGTTTACATTTTAATTGCTATGTAACCGTGGATTAAATTGAATAGACTAACCCTTTCTGCTAGTAATTTTACTTCTAGGAATTTATTTTAAGGTAATAATTTATAAAGGGGAAAGATTTTCATCATATTATAATAATGGAAAAAAGTAGAAGTAAATTAAATATCCAATTATGGGTGGCAACCAAGTCAATTATGGGCATCAAGGCTATGGAATATTCCACGGCGTTGGACAACTATTGCAACTATGGCAACAAAGCCAAACTTTTCAGCAAAGGATAAATGAAACATTAAAATAATTTTGTATGTATGACTAGAGAGCAAGTAGGAAAGAAATTCTTGTGAATTTCATATTCACATGAAAAAATAATCAGAAAAAATATATGAAATTGTTCTAGAAATGTTTCTGCAGTAGTATTACAGAAAAGTGCCCTCCCCATTTGCCAAACACTCTGTAATGTTTTTAGAATATTTTTCAATGATAGAAGCAAAAAGGTACATAGATCGGAGGGCACCTATTGTCTGCCTCCTCGCCTCTCAGTTCTCCCAGAGGAATCCTCTAGAGAAATGCCCCGCGTCCTCTGATACGGGGACCCCACAGAGCCTCTCCCAGTTCTAATGCCCCCCACCATGAGTCCACTCACTTGGGCTTGGGCAGTGGTTCTGGCTCCTTTCGGGCTTTGCCAACAGGATTTTTCTCAGCTTCTTCTGCCGTAACCAGGTGAAACTCGGCTTCAACCTTGCCCTGCACAATGATGAAAGTTTCAGTTTCTAGTTACAAAGACCTGCCTGGGGCAATGCCAACATTCTAGAAGAAGTGTTATCATGTGGGAGAGTGCCAGGAAGTATTTTGACTATCCTGCTGGTTTATTTTGAGAAATATTGTTAGCTTTTTGTCCTGGGAGAAGCCATTTTTATGATGAACAATAAAAGCCCTGAAATGATGTTATTGTTGAGTTTTGTGAAAGGAGTGTGTCCCACATGGACACTGACACACACACATATTCGGTCACATGTACTATTTCACTTGTAATCATTGAATATCCGAAGAAATAGTATTAATTACAGAAACCTTACAGTAATTAGAAAGGGGACTAATTACCTGAGTGGCAGAACCCTTTTGAATCTGCCACCATCTTCCTTCTCTCTCAACAATTCTCAAGAAGAAATCGGTGGGTATGGCCCTACATTTGCCAAATGGCTCTTCTGTCATCCTTCATGTTTTTGTTGTCCCCACTAATTGTTTTAGAATCAGGCTTTTATTTTAGCACTTTCTCTCTCCTTCTCCTCCCTCAATAAGAAATAGCCCCTTTAGCTTGAAAATTGTGTCATGTGCTTCTTCAGGGCACTGTGCTGGAGTTAGTGGCAGTGATGTTTAAGTCTTGGGTTATCAAAGGATGAGATAGGACCTCTGCAGAAGGTAAGAGTTATTCTGCCTTGTTCATTCATTCATTCACTTCTTTGGGGGACCCTCTGTATGTCAGGCACTGTACTAGGCTCTGAGGACTTAACAATGATTAAGAAAAACATGATCCCTGATCTCCTGGAACTCCCGTTCTTGGTGGCGGAGATGCCTGTCTCTTGATTTTGTGGATTGAGATTCAAGGTGATAGGAAGGACACAGAACTGGTACAAGACTAGAGCATCCTCAAAGTATTTTAGCACCTATGTTCACTGTTAAAGCTTGTCTTTCTGAATCACACGTGGATGGGGCAGTACCAGACTTCTGAGGCATGGCTGACTTCTTACCCCAGCAAAAAGATCTGAGATTCTGATGAGCCAATAGTCTAATGTTAACTTACCTATTCACCCTGAAAAAGCCAGAACCCTGAATAAGTAGGTTTGGTTGCTGGCAGCCATGAAAATGTAGTCATGGGAGAAATTAGAGAAGCAGAGTATTTGGGGTGAGGTTGAAGCCAGAGAAGAGAGACAGTGGCATGGCCGTCTGAATTAGTAAAGACGTGTAGTGGGTTTCTATTCAGGCGAAGTCATGAGTTCCAGGTGTTCTCATCCATTCTTTAGACTAGAACCCTGGCCTAACTCGGAACACATTAAATGTCCTATGATCCACAAATGTTCCTTAAAAATATGTATATATGCAGCCTTTTATTCCCATTGAGAAATCTTGGCCTTATAGGAAATGACTTGCATATATAGGCACTCAGAAAGTACTGGAAAATTGGGAAAGAAGGAATATAAAGCTTTTGTTGATTCCAGTCATTCCTCTACATATCAACAGTGGAGTAATAGTATTATAACTCTAACTGTAATTGCAATGCCTATTGAATGCCCATTTTGTCCCAGGTTTGTTCTACCTAACTATCTATCTATCTATCTATCTATCTATCTATCTATCTATATCAATCACAGCAATAGGCAAAGTAGATCTTTTTATAGTTGGAGAAATGCAGCCATAGAGGTCATATAAATTTTCCAAGGTCACTCAGCCTATAAGCCAACAAACTGGAATTTGGACTGAGGTCCGTATGTTGCCCAAGTTCATGCTCTTTCTATTATAGCAGGCTGCCTCCCAACTTATTCATTCATTTGCCAGATAATTGGACCAGAAGTTTACAAGGACCTTCCCAACTCTAACATGACATGATTCTATGACTGTCTTCATAATCACCACCTAAAGGCACTTGTCTTCTTGGACCTCAGTTTCCTCATCTGTCAAATGGCCAGATGTTCTTTAAAGCAACTCAGGCTCTAACTTCTAGGCATCCTGAAAGGTAGAGTTAAAGCCCAAGGAGCCCCTGAAAGACTTGATGGCTGGAAGAAACCCAAGAAGCCAGCCCACAACTCATGGCAGAGGAGCTTCCAATATGCAAAAAGGGCTTATTTCCAGAGGTCTTTCAGACATGACGAGCTCTACTGAGCAGTATATACTAAGACCTTCATCCAACTCCTCTAGACTTGAAGGAGAGTCACTTTAAGAGTTGCTAACCAGTTGCTGGGCTCCAGAATGTTTGGAAGAGAGGACAAAATCAACAGAGAACAAGTTAGGACCAGGGAGAAAAGATCAGAGTTGCCTGTTTGTTTTCCACTGCTTAATAATAAGCTCAGTTTATGCTGGATAACTTGCATGGTGCTTCTCACATGCATGAGTCCATTTAAACCTTTTGACAACCTGGCAAAGTAGACAACGTTTCTATTCCCATTCTCCAGCTGAGGAAACCAAGGCTTGATCGTGTTTGTTAACTTGCGTTACAAAATCAGGACTTGCACCCAGGTCCCCTGACACCAAATCCCATCCTCTGCTATTTTATGTGTCCAAGTTTCCCCTTTTGTGGAAGAAAAGAAGCAGGCTATTTAATTGACCATGAATGAATATGCCCATAACTGCGGGCCCTCTAGGACCAGTTCAACTGAACCCATCTTATCAACAGAGTAATTAAGAGTGTTTTTTTCAGGAACCGAGAATGATCCTTTGTCTAGTTTCCAAGCTGGTTGAGACCATCAACCCATCAACTGGGCCTGCACAAATCCCCAATAAATGACCCTTCTGACATCAAGGGGCTGAAAACTGCACCTCAAATCGTGCTAATGCCACCGCTTTGTGAACATGCGCCCTATAAACAGCCACGAAGCTTGACTCCACGTGCAATCATCAATGACCTCACCTCTCCTCACCCCCAACCATCTGTCTCCACACTTCAGACAGCCCTGCCCTTCATCCATAAATTTTGGCCCAAGCCCTGGATCAAGGAGACAGATGTGAGAGCTTTTGCCCCGTCTCCTTGCAATAAAGCTTTTTTCTTTTCCAAAAAGCCAATGCTGTAATAATTGGCTCTTTATGTGCATCAGGCAAAAGAACCCCAATTTTGTGCTGTAACGTGCCTTTTCTGAAATGTTCAAGAGAAGCCCCATAATCATTGTCACAGCTGGCTCTGCCATGAGAATATGTTTTTGACTTCCATCTAAGGGCTGGCCTTGGATGGCTTAAGGAATGTTTTAGCATAGCCTAGCATAGCATAAGAATTGAGTGACTAGGATTTGGTGCAGATAGATTTGCATTATGAAATCAGGGGTAAGTTACCTGCCCTCTTTCAGTCTCACTGTTTTGAAGATGTTAATAGCATGTCACCCATAAGGTTGCTTTGAAAAATAAATGAAATAACACATGTACAGTGCTCAATCCAGTTTTGACATGTTTTGATAAATGCTGCTCCTCATTCCATGTCTCTCCACACAGAGGGTTCCGTGCCCTATTTCAGTCATCAGTATTCAACCAAGCACCAAGTAGATGGCTTAAGCTAATAATATGCTCCAAAAGTAATTTCAAATCAGAGCCGCTAGAAGAAAACGGACAGTTTGAGAGACTATCTATTAACCTAATGACATCTAAGGATGGAAGAAAATGAAGAAAGTTCCTGAAAAGACTAGATTTGTTGTATTGTGTATGTTATTTACAGGCTTCAAACTTTGCCGAGCCTAGAGAGTGGATGCCAGGGCAGGCTGAGAAGTGATTGCATTCAGGTGGGACGTGCCTTCTTCAGCAATAATTATTGCTTATTAAAACACAACCCTCACTGGTATGAGATGAGGCATTCTCATACATTAATAGTGGGAACGTGTGCCAGCAAAATCCTTTAGGAAGAGGAATATACACATACATACATATATACATACATATACATACACATTTATATACATCCATGCATATATATGTACGTGTGAGTGTGTGTGCATTATCTTGCTTAGTCGTACTCTGGACCTAAGAGTTCCATTTCTAGGTAGCTAAATTAAAGAAATAATTCAAAACTCAGGAAAAGCTTTAAGCACAAAGCATAGTCATTATTCTTTCGGATGTTCGATTTGTCCTATGTGTTACAACGAGAGTCCCAGACTCAACTTGCATTTTATCTGCCTTAGACCTGGCATCAGCCATTTCTCCAAAGATGCCTGGTTTCGTTTAGTAGAAACCGGTATTTAGAAACCAGGATCTGGGTGCAGGCGTCGTCTTTGCTACTGGGTGATTTTACTTCTAGGTCCTTTCAGTGAACAGAGTTGGAAAAAATCTTTTTAAATTCATGAGTCCATGGTCATACCAGGAAAAAAAAATACAACAGGAAAAAAATCTCATTTACCACCATTAAAGGTGACTCTTACATCAATCCTTGATTCAAAAATTTGGTAGTTAATGGAGAGAATTAAGCACTTATCTAGTCTTTTTTTTTAGGGGAGGTGGTGACTCTAATATATTTCCATTTGATGAGCGAAAACTCTTCTTAACACATGAATGTCAACTAATAAGTGGAAAAAGAATGAGAGAATTAGATAGATAATGAATAGATAAAATGGGAAAGGTGGATAGATAGATAGATATGGATGGATGGATGAAAAGAAAGAAGAAAAGGATAGAAAAATCATTTGCATCACCAATGAAATAATTAAATTAATCAAGGTCACCATTGGGTGAAAGGCAGTGGTAGAACAGGAATTTCCCACACTGCCAAAGTATCACCCCACTGGTTACTTGCTAATAGCAAAGGAGAAAATGTACCTCTACAATGAAGAGATCTCATGGTGGCCAACGTGCACAAGAGAGCAAACACAGCATCACTAATAATGAGGCCCTCTGAGGGCATGTGCCTCCTGACATGAGGGTATCCTTTTTAAAGATGGAGAAATGAATTGGGTGTGGCTATCAGATTATATTAGGCAATAATTCTGAGCTTCTTCTATGTGGCGATGGCATTCTGGTTATGTAGAAGAAGGTCCATATTCTTAGGAAACGTATGCTGAAGTATTTAGAGGTGACGTATCAGAATGTCTACAACTTACTCTTGAGTGATTCAACCAATATGTGTGTGTGTAGGGGGAGCGGCTATATCCATACACTCACATATACAGACAAAACAAATATAGCGAAATATTAACAAGTGTTGAATCTAGGTGAGAGATATACGGCTGATCATTGTCCTATTTGTTCACCTTTTCTGCCTGCTCCAATTTTTTAAATGAATAAATGATGAGGACAAACACAAGGATTAAGCTGTAGCATTTCTATTTTGAGAATACAAAGTTAATAATAACATTGATAATATAATGTAGGGGAGTACTCACCATAACACTGAGTAAAACAAAACTAATAAGCCATTATTTTTAATATGGAATGATCACTACTATGAAAATCTACAAAACAAAATCTACAAAAAGTGGGAATAACCAAGACAATAACAATAGTTTTCTCTGGGAGGTGTGCATATGGGTGCTATTTCTTCCTTTCCACGCTTTTGTGGAAATTTCAAGTTTCCTAAAAATGCGTATTATATGCTCTGCCTGAAAAATAATCTTCATATGAAAATACCTCCCTGCTCTGCTCCCGGAGAATCTGAATTTGTCACATGCTATTTAGATGATCTGTCTGTCTACCAGCCTCCTCAGCTAAGCTGTGAACTTCTGGATGGCAAGAAGGTGATTTATTTATTGTTGAACCTTTAGTGTGTAGCATATGAGTGTGCAGCCATAGTAAATGCTGAAAATTATTTTTCACACTAAACTGAAGGCACAGAAACCTCCCTTTTAATTTTAGTTGTTGATGCCCTTAGGACTTACCTGGGCTACCTAACTGTCAAATTGTGGGATTAATCTGCAAAAGAAACTTCCTGATCTCCAACTCCTAAGAGGATGATTTTTTAAAAGTTGCTTTTAGTAGATAACGCATATAAAATGCATAGGTCAATGGGTCTCTTCAAGAACATGGTCAATACTTATGCCCTCTCCTTCTACCAAGGGTACTCACTTGTTTGCATCCCACTGGAGCTGTTTCTCACTCACTATGAAGATAGCCACATTCCACACTGGGAGCTGTGGGATCCAAATGTTCAGAGTACACTGCTCGGGTGTACAGATAAGCAGCTTTAAAAATAAGCCTCACAGCTGGCAGTGCCCGTAAACACATCCCTTCTGGCTGCTGGTGATGGGAACAAGAAGATAATGACGTTCGGCCTGCTGGCTTCAAGGAACCGGGAGGGGCATTCACACAGAGTTGGAATCAGAGAATGCTTTTGCTGGAAATGTACCTTGGAGGCACCCAGTCCAACCCACTCACTCTACAGAGGTGGGAACTGGGTCTTGAAGAGGGGAAGTGCCTTAGGAAGTGGCAGGCGTGAGGCAGAGGTTTTCCATCACACCATTTTACTCTGAGATCATCCAACTTCCTACCACGTTGGAAGAAGGCTTCCCCCACTTCCCTTCTGGAAACCATTCAATGGCTTCCCACTGCTCTGAGAATGAAATCCAAACTCTTCAACATGGCGTCCGCGATCTGCATGATTTGGCTCTGGTTTTCTCGCCACTTCACTGGCACCGGCCTCATTCACCATGCTCTGTTGTGGGAGCTTTTTCTTTGTATTTTAGTTCCTCCAAAGCACCAAACTCATTCTCACTTCAAGACCTTTCCTTCTGGTGTTTGCTCTGCAGCGAATGCTCTTCCTCCCGTTTTTTTCCTGATGGCTTGCTACTTTTCATCCTTCAGGTCTCAATTTAAATTTTCCCAGCCACAGAAAGTCCTGCAAGCATCACGTGGAGCGGAAATATCTACCTTGGATGTGCTTTAATTCAGCACTTTGTTGCCTTCCCAGCTCTTGTTTTAAGCATTTGCTTTCTTGGTGTGTGTGCGGGTGGCTCTCTGTGCATTTGTGCGTGCCTGTCTTTGACACTGGACTGTAAGCTCCATGCTGGCAGACACTATATCTGTATCACTCATATTTTATTCCCAAAGCCCTTCATTTAATAGATGCACAGTAAATATTTGTTGAATGAAATGGAGAAATAAATAAATGACATGGAAAATAAAAAGTCAACTAGCATCAAATGGAATAATAGGAGGGGTCTGAACATATTGGCAAACCCTACAGGGCTTAAAAATGTAATGGATGGCTGCTATCATGTAACCATGCATACATAATTGCTGCCGATTATTTTATAGAAACAGGAATTACGCCAAAAGATAGGAATTTGGATTTCGGGACTTGGCAATCCCCATTTCCTTGACCTCATATTACATTCTGGCAACTCTGACCAGTAGGTGGCCAGACTTCCACATGGGGCCATTTTGTGCCTCCATGCTGTGCTCAACATGGTTCCTCTTCTTGGAGTAGACATCTGCCCTCTTCTTCATCTAGAAAATGCCTTTTCATCATGCTTTTTTCTTGAAAAACTTATGGTCTGCCCTCAGAGAGAATTAGATCTCTCCTCCTCTCTCTGCCTTCCTGTGTCATTTATACTGTCTCATGCATGACTGGACAGTTGATACATCTGTGTCTCTCTCTGAACTCTGAGCTGGTGGAGGGTAGAGGCCATGTGACTTCATTCCTGAATTCATCTATTCATCAACCAATTCATTGATGGAGCATCTGTTATGTGCTAAGCCGTGAAGCCTGAAACCAAGTATGAGGCCGTCATGTAGTGAACTTCAGTAAGTGCTGGGAGGACTGGGAAGAATGAGCCTGCCTGGAGCCTTGTTCTCTATACCCAATCTCACCAATCAGAGGGGATTCAATTGAGAATGGAGAGAGGAGAAAAACTCCCAGAAAACTTAATAAAACTAGATACCGTGGAGTCAGGCCAGCAGCTGCCATTTACCCACTCAGATTCAAAGGCAATCCTTGTCTGGCACTCACTGGGTGCCCAGAGTGAGAGAGAAATAGGTCTCTATCCAGACCTGCTACCAGCAGGGTCCTGACCCAGGTGTGCTTTTGCCACCACACACAGGAGAAGAGGGGGCAACATGCTCGCCCCAAGAGCAGGACAGCAGCAGAGAAAGGAGGTCACCTATGAGTCTCAGTCCCTTTTCTCACTCTCACCAATCCCATAAGTCATTCCTTGTCCCTGACAGAGGAGTGATGAGGGGATTGAAAGAAAGGACAGAAGGAAGTTTCTTCCCAACTGTGAAAGGTCAGAATTCCTACAACGTGGGCCACACAGGATGGACCAAGATGGCGACGCAGGGAAGGGATAAATGGCCCTCCTTGCTGCCACCCTGTGGAAGAAGCTTTAAAAAGATGGATCACTTTTTCAATTGTCTCATATTTGAGGGTAAAGGAATGAGGTAGTTACGTTGAAATTGTACATTAGGACTTTATGCAGAATTTCAGAAAATGCTGAAAAAAAGATTAATATCAGGGGCATAATTTTTGTGCCCAAGAAGATAGAAAACCATCCTGACAGAGATAGGTATTAAATCAAGTGTGCTGAAATATGGAAGGCTTAATGCATTTGTAGAGTTTTCAAAGTCTTGCTTCTCAACAAAACCTTTGCCTTAAAGCACTCTATGTCATTTCAAGACACGTACTTGAAACTCACAAAATAGCTCATTTAAAGAGCATCATGTCCCCTGCCTGCCCCCCACGCGTCTCCTAGAGCTGTCACTTACTGTGAGTTCTTTGCTTTTAGCAAAAGGCCACCAGCCCCGCACTCGCTTTTGCTGGAAGATGGAGATTTTACTCTCCTCACTTGCATTTTCAAACTTGGAGAGGTCACAGGCTTTGGCAGACTTGGCTGCTCGGGGGAAACTATTGAGGTTCATTTCCAGGGATCCTGTGAACAGATGCCCGTAATAGTTACTGAAGGACTTTTAAAATCAGTCACCACCCTCACTGACCCATTCACAGATTGATTCATTCATCCATTCACTCTCTAGTCATTCAATCAGTACCACATTGGATGACTAGTGTGTGCTAGGTATTGGGGTACAAATATGACTGAGACGTGTTTAGGACCCTCAAAGCTTCAAAAACGTGGTAGCGAGGAGAACACAAGGGCAAAGCTACAATATGTAACTTTCGAGACTTCAAGTCTTCAAGTTTTCGGTGTCATTGCTGCTGCCGTCTTCTCTGCTCCCTGAGAGCAGTCTGTATCCTGTGCCTGTCCTCTGAGCTTTCCCAGGCCTTAGCACAGATCAGCCAGCGAGAACCTCTTCCCCCCGCCGCCCCACCTCCCTCTTCGAGTCCACTAAACTCATCCAGGTCAGGGACGAAGTCTTCCTGTCTTTGTAGCTTCTCTCCCAGACAGAGGGAACCTAAGTGGGCTCTCAACGAGGCTTTTTCAATGAGCGAATATAAGGCGGCATACCATAATGCCAGGAGAGCACTATAGACCTCTCTTTAATAACCTCCCTAATACAAAAATAATCTTTGTTAATTGTGAACATTTAGAGAATGCACATAAGCAAGAAAATAAGCATGGAAAAATTTTCCGCAATTCTATTCCCAAAAATTGACCACTGTTCCACATATTACTTCTTATTTCTATGTCAGTCTTTCTCTCTCTCTGTCCCTTTGTCTCTTGGCTTATCTTTTCCTCCCATACATATAAATGTATATTTTACAGAGAGCAGATTTTTTCTCTATGCTCTTTTTTCACTTAATGCACCCTGCATAACTTTACAACTTATTAAATATTCTAATATTTTCTTTTAAAGATTTTTTAAATTTTTTTTCCTTTTTCTCCCCAAAGCCCCCCGGTACATAGTTGTATATTCTTCAGCGTGGGTCCTTCTAGTTGTGGCATGTGGGACACTGCCTCAGTGTGTTTTGATGAGAAGTGCCATGTCCGCGCCCAGGATTCGAACCAACAAAACACTGGGCTGCCTGCAGCGCAGCGCGCAAACTTAACCACTCGGCCATGCGGCCAGCCCTGATATTCTAATATTTTTAAGGGCTGCATGGTAATCACTGATTGACTGCTTACTATGCATGAGGCTGTGCTTAGGTTTAAAATTATATTACCACATATATAGTTCCCAACATCCTCTGAGGTGTGTAATATTACTATCCCCATTTTACAACCGAGGAAAACTGAGGCACAGAGTGAAGCAGTAATTAGCTCAAAATTTAACAGCTTCTTAGTGGTGGAGCAAAGATCAATTTAAGTCTGTTTGAGTATGTATCGTCCACTGTATGGATGCACCATAACTTATTCAGCCAATCCCCTATTAATGGCTGTTTGGAGTGTTTCCAATATTTTGCCATCATAAATAGCACCAAAATGAGTACCCTTGTAGCTAAATCAAACCAAGCTCTCCAAAAGCTGGGACAAAACCTTTCACACTAATATGAGCTTGATGAAGTCACCAGCTTACCCAGAAAGTCATCTGAGGACAGCCTTTCAAAATCCCAAACCTGGAGGACCAGCACAACTGGCGTCTTACACTCCATCTTCTCTAAAGAGAAGATGTTCTCTCTCTTGGTGATGACCATTTGCTTCTCAGCCGGGAGGTACTGGAACGGAAACAGGAAGCGCCAGTTGAAGTTCCCCTCCCCAGTCAGGGAGTTGTAGTGGACATCTGTCTCCTGCCTGTCGTCTTCCAAACCCTTTATCCACCTGAATAGAGACAGAGAAAGAACTAAGCACTCAGAGTACCACATTCAGGCGTCAGTGTAATCAAGAGTGATTGAACTCGTCTCAATGCGGTCACAGATCATAGTTTTAAAATGATGATGTCGTTAGATTCAGATGGAAGTTTCCACTGAATCTGAAGGAGGAAAATAGGGTCAAAGGGTCTGAAAGGAAACAAGAATCTCATTCTAAGCCAGGCTGGGGAAGTGAAAGTGTAATCAGTTTCCTCTCACCCTGGAGCCTTCTTTGTAAGGGGTGCCAAGTGTAATTGAGTGTTAGAATGAGATGACCCACAACACTGAGGTCTCTAAAATTGGCCTGGTTTAGACCTGTGACATCAGGCCTGTAATTGGCCACCTCCTCTCTGGTTCTGGGCCTCAAAAACCCAGTAGGCCTGTATCAGTGTGGCACGGAGGGTATAAAAGCTGCCTGCACCCATCTGGGTTCCAATCCTAGTTTTACCACTTACTAACTGTGCAGCCATAGACAAGTTATCTAACCTGTCTGTACCTTTGTTTCCCTGGAAAATGGAAGCAATGATAGTACCTAGTTCACAGGGTTGCTCTGAGGAATTATTTGAGATAATATCTGTAAAGTGCTTGGTGTATTCCAAAATATCGATAATGTTATTTCTTCTGGTCTTCCTCTTCCACCCCCAGCATAAAGTACACTACAATTAATAATTCTCCCCTAGTAATTTATCCATTAATTATTGAGAAAATAGGTACTTTCAATTCAAACTAATTGATAATGCCAAACCACTTGCTTTCGGAAAGCAGCCATCCTCTGCCTAGGGCCAGGAAGGGTAAAGACCCTTCTCCTTCCAGAGGAGTGAGTATGGAAGCAATTATTTACTAAAGATGGTAGTCACTCAACCAACATATATTTGGTATCTATTATGAGGCGAAGAGCGAGCTAGATGCTAGGGGAGTAATGGGGAGCAAATTGAGAAGATCCTTGGCTTCCTGGAGCTACAGTTATGGAAGGAAGGGGAGGGGGAGATATTTGGGTGGGATGGCAGAAGTCACCAGACAGAGATGTGCAAAGGCCCTGGAAGAAGAAGTGATGACACATTCTAAGAAGGGAAAGAAGCTCAGTGTGGCTAGAGTGCAGAAAGTCAGGGGAATATTAATCCCCTGGGATGAGGCTGGAGAGATACAGGGGCTCGTCATATGGGATATATTAGGACATATTAGGGATTTGAACCTTTGTCCAGAGAAAATAAGATGTCATTAAAGGGTTTTAAGTACAGGATTGACACAATCAGATCGTATTTTGAAAGGATGACTCATGTTTCAACAAAGAGAACAAATTACAGGAAACAAGAGCAAATGTGGAAAGATGAATTCATATGGTATTAGTATTTCAGTGGCCCCAGCAAGAGATGATAGAGGAAAAGATTATGGTGCTGGGGTGGTGAAGATGGAGAGAATGGGCCTGCCAATAGCTATTTGGGATGTAAAATGGACAAGATTTAACGGCATACTAGAAATGGGGGGCAGTGAGGAAGAAAGTTCCTTGTTTGGGGAAGGCAAAGAGATACCCAGATGAGGCTGCGATGAGTTCACTGCTTCTGAGATGAGTTTTGTCTGAGGGTACATGTTTAAATCACCTTTGTTTCTGATTCTCTACCACTTCCTCCTCCCTCACTAGGGACTAAAAGGAAGCCTACAAAGGCATTTGTGTCATTGCCAAGATCTAAGAGAGAGACAAAAAATGCTTAGTTTCCTGGGTGCCAGGTTGGTATTGTTTTTATCAGTAGAACCATCAGAGGGGAAGGTTTAAACTTTAGCTTTTGTATTAGTCTTACAATCTTCTTAAGACTTAATCTTTCATCAATAGCGCTACATCTCTCTACTTCCTTCAGTGTAAAGGTATTTGGAATATCCCTCAAAAAGTTTAGGTATCCAACATTTATCTGAAAGAGACGTTTGTGTAATAAGGTGTCCTTGCAAAAATATTTTCATAAGATAATTCTTATCAAGTAAGACAAATATTTGACAAAGAAAATGACTGTATCTAACAAGGTGAGATGAACTCTGTGGGATGTGGCTGGAGTATCTTCCATGAGGCAGAGGTTTGGTTAGGGGTTAAAGAGGTGAGGAGGGGAAGGAGGGGGAGGATGGAGTTTATGAATGACCTTACCCTTTAACGTAAATGTCACTTGATTTTTGTCCTGTGAAGATATTCTCATCCTCTAAAATGACATCTTCAGTGTTCCAGATGGTTACCCTCAATTCATACCTGGGATAAGGGAAGACAGCATTAGGTTGAAGACCTTGAAAGGTGAGTCAACTGGTGTCTATGTGATGTGAGTATTGCTTTGAGTCTATCAGCTTCCTCAAATTTACCAAGTTCAAAAATATCAACACTTAAGGTCTTGGTTCCATCAAAACCAAGTGTCCCAGCTGGAATCACCAAGGACATGAATTTCTCTGAGACTCTCCTTCCATTAACCAGCACTTTTCAGAATATTGAAGCTCAGTAGCCGCTGCCATAAAACAGGGGCCAACATTTCAACCATCACCATTTACCATCTCCACCAACCACCCCCTGCTGTAATTGGCCAGGTGGAAAGCGAGGTATGATTATCAGGTGGCAATTGCTCAATGTACTAGATCAGACACCAGATCAAATGTCATGATCTTTTAGTCTGATACCATGGTCTCTTCCCCTGAAGGTGGGGCTGCAGTTGACTTACCCTTTGGGTTGCCTTGGCGAAATGTCAACAGGAGGTCCAGGCTGAGGCATATCTTTGGGAAACATGTCCACCCACATCTGCAGGCGGCCCTTGTTAAGAAAAGAAGATCTCTTTTAGGTTTGGTGGGGGGGTACCATGGGCAACTGGCCATTCACAGTTTTAACAAATCCCTTTACTAGAAAAGGATATTAGGTAAATATAAACTAAACTAAACTAAAATAATATAGATAGTATCCATGTTATACATGTTTAGCATATTTGTTGACAAAAACAGAACTTACATTTTTATTAAGAGTTAGTTAGAGCATATATTAAGAACAAGGAAGGACAAGCAAACCCTTATGAGCGCCTACTATGTGGTAGACACAGTGCTATGAACTTGACCAGCATTGTCTCATTAATTCTCCCAATATCCCCACCAGGTGGATGTTACCATTCCTACTCGGCAGATGAGAAAACATCTTGCCCATGCTTATGTAGCAGAGTCTACATTTAATCCTTGTCTGTTGACTCTGGAGACCCTGCTTTTTCTATAAACTCTTAAAAATTGAAAAGATAACACTGTCAGAAGTATCATGCTTCATTGCTTCCAATGTAACTTAACATCCATTACCTCCATTAATGCTCACCTCAGCCACATTTCCATGTTACACAAAAAGAAACTAAGGCTTAGAGAAGTCAAAGAAATGATCTGAAGCCCTGTGGCTAATGAGTGGCAGATAGGGCCTTCCATCCATTGCTTGGGACTCCATACATCAGAATTTATCCTGTTGCAAGGGACTTGAGGCCCCGTATGGGGAGAAGGTCCAGGGCATCCCATGCTCAGCTCTGTTGCATACATTCTAAGTACTCCGTCAACTCAGTCAAGAAGGTAAGTGATCAACAAGGGATGGGATGGTGAGGGGAGATTTTATATAAAGGAAGTAGGGCTTCCAACGGAGTGGAAAGGATTTGTAGGATTTAGGTGAAGGAGGGGCTTTGGCTAGGATAAAAAAAGGGGGGATTTCCAGGGAAGGGGACAATGTAAGCAAAGACTTAGCATACTGGATGAGAAGAACCAATTCAATGGAGGATTACAATCCTAGGTTCTCTAAAGAGACATTAACATTCACCTTTAACCAAAAAGCCATATCTGAGAGACAAAATGAAAGATGCTATAACCAAAAGATTTCAAACATCTGGTAGTGAATTTCAGGAACCAATCTTCAGCTTCTACATCTGTTAAAAGTTCATCCTTTCGAGACACATCCCTACATATGCGATCGCTAGGTTTACACCCCAACACAGCTGGGACAGCAGTGTGGAGGTTCCTGCCCCATCATAGCCAAGCTCATGTGCTTTGCCCGAGCTACACAGTGAGTGAGTTCAAAGCTGAGACAGGACTAGGGACTCAAACTGTCTGGGTTAAATCCTAGCTCTATGACTTAACAGCTAAGTAACTTTGAGCTAGTTACTGAAACTCTCTGAACCTCAATTTCTTCATCTTAAAAGTAAGGATCATAATAACTACATCATGAGGCTGTATTAGGAATAAAGGTAAGGTGACTCACACACCCCTGCTTGTCTAGGAAAATCCTGGCGTGTGCCCTTTGCACCAGCTTAATTATTAGTAGTGTCCTCTTTCACTCTCAAAATGACCATAATTTGGATAAGCAATTCTATGGTCATTCTAATTAGATGAGATCATTTACGTAAAGGGCCTAGTACATAGAAGGCTCTTCATAAAATTTCTCTCCTCTTCTCTTCTAACTCATGACCCAGATCTCTTGTTATTTTTTCCACATGGCTTCCTCTTGCCAGGTTTTCCAAGGTAAGCCATCACCTACTGCTTCTCAGGGAAATCTAGTGGGCTGTGTGGTTACTGATAGATTTTGGACAAGGTCTTGGGCATATCAGATGGGTTTTGAAGTTTCTCAAATGTCAGGATTCTTCTAGAAGAGTTTGATAATTCAAATCATAAAAAGGAAACAGAACTAAATTCAACACTAACTCTCGGGCAGGGTTTCTCAACCTCAACATTATTGACATTTGGGGCTGAATGATTCTTTATAGTTGGGGGGCTGTCCTGTGCAGTGTGGGACGTTCAGTAGCATCCCTAACTTCTACCCACCAGATGCCAGTAGCATCCTCAACCATTTGAGAGAACCAAAAGTATTTCCAGACATTGCTAAATGTCCCCGGAAGGGAGAGAGGGGGCAAAATTGTCCCTGGTTGAGAACCATTACTCCAGGGCACACAAGATTAACTTTTAGGAAAAGTCACATTCCTTGAGGATGAACACTCCTATAGGGTCCCGAATTGTCTTAACCGCTACCTGCTCCATTCCTGGCTTATCCTTGTGGTACAGCGGCCGAGTTTCTATGTGCTCAGGAACCAGCCTACACCCAACCTCCGGGATATCCTCCCAAGAGCGTAAAACCTTCAGGGCCAAGTGCTCATAAGACTCCACCACCTCATCTGCACGGAAGAGAGAAAAATAAAGAGACTTGTCAGATGTGTGTTCCTCCAGGAGGACAGTGATGGGCTGTCAGATGCATTTTTAAACATTCTCTTAAAGGTTCATTTAAATATATTGAGGCAAAGGGAGAGAGAAAAGACAGCAAAAGAGAAAAAGGACAAAGAGAGAATGAAAAGAGGTAGAGGTAGAGTGGTGGAAAGGGAAAGATTTGCAAGTTAAGAGAGCGGGAAGTGAGAGGGGTCAGCAAGAAGACCCAGGGAGCAGTCAGGGTCTTGGAGTACGGGACTCCACTCACCCTTGAATCAGATTCCTCCTGTCTACGAATCACAAGCTTGGCTTCAAGGTACCAGAGAGGATATGTTTCCTGGAGATATATAAAACTGTTTCCTAACACCATTGTGTGAGAGGGCCTGGGGAGTCATAGCGGTCCCAAACAAAGTGGTGAAAAAGGCACAATGTATTCATGGATGTCTTTTGTCTTTTCCCATTATCCCTTGGGATCTCCCTCCTACCAACACCTGCTTGCAGGAAAGGTTCTTTGATCCATCGTTTTACCAAAGAAGTTAATTCATGATAAAAACTACCAGTAGAAACAATACTTGCAAAATAAGGCAAAAATTGTTGACAGAAGCAAATCTTTTTGACAAAGTTTAGAACGGCCAAATTTGACATAGGAAAGTTGAACCTCGTTGAAAAGAAATGGGCCACAAAAGAAATCTCCCAAGAGCAATAATTACAATCAGTAAAAGCTGATAGGGATGAACAAGTAATCAATGAACTAAATCTTTGTCATAAAGTTTAGTCAGTCAAGAATTGATCCTGATGAACATAATTTCAGATTTTTGGTGGGGAAAAGATGGTAATTGTTTAGTCATGAAATGTAGAATATTGACCAAAGAACTAAATTGGCTTCGTAGAGTATATCGTGAGAAAGTATTTTTCTCAACAGAAATTCATCAATATGTCATTAAGTTTTGTTGTTGTTGTTAGTGCTGTGGAGTCGATTCTGACTCCACTGAAACCTGACCACCACGGGTGACCCTGCTGGCATTTGAAACGCTGGTGGCGTAGCTTTCAGCATCACAGCAACACACAGCTGCCAAAGTATGACAGCTGACAGATGGGTGGTGTGGTTCCCTAACTGGAAAATGAACCTGGGTTGCTGAGGTAAGAGCGCTGAATCTTAACCGCTAGACCCAATGTCATTATATACGATGTCATTAATACACTAAGCATAAATAACTCTGCATGCAAGAACCTTCGAGAAATTCTTAGGGTCAAAATGACAGGGTAAAAAGAAATCTTGGCATCAAAGCGGTAGGATCAATGTAACAGTGTCAAAATATCCTGTACCATGTTCTTAATTGGGCTTTTTGCATCAGAAGTGCTGTGCCATATACAGGCAATTTTTAAGCATCAAATGGACAAGGGTAACAATATAATAATTATTCTGTTTCATTAAAGTGAAGTAAAGGTGGCTTTTTTCCTCACCTTAAATTTATGAAAGCCTCTCTGGGATCCTCCTGGTACGTCTCATGATGCTTATATGGAAAATCTACTTCTTGGTGTTGAAATGGGAGAATTGCTGGTATCAAATTATAAATTTGGGTAACTGGTAATTTGGGTTGTGTTCAATTATTTATTTTATATAATATTCATTCAAGATTATTGCCTACTTTCTGAAACAATTCTACTCATATGATTTATGCTGTAGAAACATCATAAATGTGCAAAAAATTGTGTAAGGAAGTTCATGGTAGCATTAAGTGTCACTACAAAAAAATGGACACAATGTAAATAAATGGCACAGCCATAAAGTAGAATATTATCACTGATCCTTTCAAAGATCAAAGAAGAACCATCATAATCTATTAGAAACAGAAAAGGCAGGATACAAAACTATATGTGGTATATCTACAGTTCTGTAAAAATGTGACACATTGCATACACACACGTACACTGTAAGGAAATATACCAGCATGCAGCATGCTTTTCTCTGAATTTGGGGATTATAAGTGATTTTCATTATCCTCCTTATTTTTGCATATTTTCTACCATGAGCACACCTTACTTTTACGATAGATGACCCACTGTCCCCAGCCACAAATACCACCAGAAGCAGGCTTTTCAAAAGAAGAGCCAGTCAGCAAGGTACATTGTGGGGAGTTACCGGTGTCCTCTTCGGTGAAGACAGTTTTTCCAGAAAACACCTGGTTTCCTATCTGTATTTTCCCAGGGAGAAAGTAGGGTCCATCCAGCTTGTTGTCTTTGCAGAGCTTGGTGAGGATTTCAGTGGGTTTGGACGTGTCTCTCCAGGCATTGTATCCTTCTCTGAAAAAGTGGAGGAAGGACAGATAGGATGAGGCCTGGCTTCTCCGAGGAGGACACACTCAAGGTCCCCATTAAAAGGGCCACCTAAGGATGCTCTGTGTTTTTCTTTAGATTTTACCTGCCATTCTACACACTTGGGGTTTGGTCTTTGTTTGGTTTTGTTTTCTCTCTTTTCTAGTCAATACCTCTGCATATGTACACTTGTATGAAAGGCAGGACTTCTGAGTAGCTTGACATAAAAATCCTTTGCAGGTAGTTTTGATTTTTAAAAGAAATGTACCTTTAAAAAAATTGAAGTGAGATTCAAACAACATAAAATTGACCATTTGACCAATTTGGTGGTATTTAGTACATTCATAACGTTGTGCAACCATCACCTCTATCTAGTTCCAAAAAATTTTCAATCACCCCGGAAGAAAACCCCATACCCATTAATTGGTTACTCCTTGCTCCCTCTCCCCTCAGCCTTTATTTTAATTTTTATTTTATTTCATTTTTTTTTTAAAGATTGGCACCTGAGCTAACAACTGTTGCCAATCTTTTTTTTTTTCTGCTTTTTCTCCCCAAATCCCACAAGTACATAGTTGTATATTTTAGTTGTGGGTCATTCTAGTTATGGCATGTGGGACGCCCCCTCAACGTAGCCTAATGAACGGTGCCATGTCCGCACCCAGGATCCAAACTGGCGAAACCCTGGGCCGCCAAAGCGGAGTGTACCAACGTAACCACTCGGCCACAGGGCCAGCCCCTCCCCTCAGCCTTGGATAAAACACCAATCTGCTGTCTGTCTCTATGGATTTCTTTGCCCATAGTTTTCGTTCTGTCTCTAGCAGAATAGCCATTCATCTGCTGCTTATTCTAGGAGGAAAGCCTAGCTCATCCTTTCAATTTCTCTGCACCTTTCCTGCCCTCTGCTCCCCTCCACCTCAAATCCTATTGGAGACTCATGACACAGGCAGAAAGTCTCGAGGTGCTGTTTCTCTAGTTGGTGATTTTCCTGGTGATGCGTTTCTTTCCAATTCCTCCTTCCCTAAAAACTAGCTATGTGGTTAAAAGTTATTAACTTGCAATGAGTTGCTCCTCAAGAGACATGACGAAGACAAGCTTGCATTTCTCTGCTCATTGGGACACAGGAGTCATCAGAATTTAACTTTGCTAATCACTTAAATAAATCAAAACATGGCTGTAAGTAGTTTTCCTACGTTGTGCCAGAGAAAGGATCCTCCTGAAAAGTTCAACCAAGCCACGCCCAGAGCCACACACAGGCCTCCCCAGAAATAGGTGCTCTTGTCTTATTTTTAAAACTTTTCCATGAACAAAGGTTACAGCTTTATTGGCTGAACTATTCTGCTCCCCGATAGCCCCACCGTCAGGAAATTCTTCTGAACAAAGGATGCCTGTGGCTGCCTCCCCTGACTTCACAGTGAGAACAGCTATCTTCTCTGAACAGTGCCCTTCTGAGAGTGATGTAAATACCTCAGGAGGCCGGTACATTCACTAGACTCCCAAAATTGAACTGGCTTTCTAGGCTCAGAGAGGAGCAGGCCAGCAAGAGGGACTTGTCTGAAAATCATGCCATGGAGGAAACAGGCACTCAGACTCCATTAATGAGAATATAAAGTGGTGCAACCCTTCTGGAGAGCCATTGGACATATATATTAGAAATCCTTAAAGTGGGCATTCCCTTTAATGGAATAATCCATGTCTATGGATGAATACAGGATGGATTATCAGAGAGGTGTGCAATGGCTTTTGTACGTGAAAGCTCATAGCAGCAATATTCATAATAAAGAAGAAAAATATAAATGCCCTAAAGTTCAGGAAGACAAAATGGTTAAATCACTTTATAATAAATTCTTGTGATGGAACACAACAGAGCTATTAAAATAATGATTTCAAAGAATATTTAATGATGGTACAGAATGCTTATGATATAAGGGCAAGTGTAACAAACAGCTTACAAAATTGCATGGATAGTTTGAATCCAACTTTGGGGGAAAATAGCACAGAAAACAATACTAAAAGGAAATACCTAAGAATCTTTTACATACGTTATCTCTGGGTGGAATAATTTCAGCATTATTTGTACTTTCTGTATTTTCTCGATTTTCTACAACAAATATATATTATTTCCTATTCAGGAAAAATATTTCTAAAATAATATCATGGAAATCTAATGAATGTTTTTCTATTTTCCTAGCCGAAATGTGTAAGATTTTTATTTTTTCTTACGATATCAAATACAACATACTTAAAAAAAAAAAATAAAGCCCAGGGCTGGCCCAGTGGCGTAGTTGTTAAGTTCTCACTCTCCATTTCAGCAGCCTGGGATTTGCTGGTTCGGATCTCAGGCACAGTCCTACATACCACTCATTAAGCCAGGCTGTGGCAGTGTCTCGCATAAAAATGAATGAAGACTGGCATGGATGTTAGCTCAGGGCTAATCTTCCTCAGCAAAAAAAAAAAAAAAAAAAAGTGTAAAAGAAGAACAGACATATGCAAAAATGATAGATATTGTTAAAAAAATAAAGCTGATAGTCTATATTTTTTAATTAAGCAGAATTCAAAATCTTTGTAAAGAGTGAGAATTAAGCCCACTCTTTCATTTGTAGGATGAGGATAACACCTCAATGGGTTTTGAGAGAATTGAATGAGATACCCCCTGTAAAATGCTTGGTATGTCATATGCACTCATGAGTGTTAGTTATAATTAACTGAGACGTTGGCATTTGTATTATATTAATCATTCTTCTCCTAGCATCATTTTCCACCAGGGACCTCTGCCTACCAGTCCCAGCTAATTGAATGAATACACACAATTTCAGCTCTTGACTCTTGAAGAACCTGCCCTGGCTTCCCAATGAGCACTGACTTCCTTCAAGTGCAATGAACAGTTTCCCTGAACCAGCCCTGCCGATGTGGAGCCCATTTGAGATACGAGCTTGGCTGGCCTTCCCAGAGCCAGAGGCCACAGCCTCAGAACACCAACAGCATCTGCATGGAGAAAGAACTCACATCTCGTACTGGCTCTGCAAGCCGCAGATGGCTCGGTGTTTGCTGTAGAAACGATTCTCCAGGTCGATCCTGGTCTCACCAATGAGGTCGTCTGTCCCAATCATGTCGTGGTCATAGATTAGGACGGAGAGCAGGGACTCCTTTGGGAACATGGCCTGGATCTCAAATGACCTGCAGTCCAAGTAGAGGCTTTAGGAATCAACAACATTTGGCGACACAGGGAACTTTCTCATCGTCACTTTTAGCTAGCCTGTGGTTCACAGGAACTCACTAAACACTCAGAAACTCAGTTAACACTTAGCACATATTCATTTGGCTTAATTTTTCATTGAGATACAATCGATTTCCAAATCCTTTGTCAATACCCAGGAGCCAACAATCTCCCCTTGCGTGGGCCATGTCTTATAGTCTTCAACTAGGGTGACAGCAAGATGGAGATGAAAAACTTTGCATTTGGGTTTCAAATCAGAAACTCCCTGGTTTTAAAACTTTGGGAAACTTATTCCATCTCTCCCAGCCTCCCTATGTGTAAATATGTCTTCTTTATAATATATCATGGTAGTTAAATGTGATATGTTTGTATGAAGCACATATGTTACTTCTGGGCATTCAACGAGTGCGCGATAAATTGTCATCCCTTTTCCCCTCCACTGTTGCTTCCTCAGGGAATACTAGCTGCGTTTATTTTAAATGAAAGTCCTGTTGAAGATGGAAAACCACAAAAACATAGAATTGCAGGGCTGGCATGCTGTCTCTACAAGATTCTGAGCCCCTTGGGAACAAGGCCCTTCCTTTTTCATCTCTGCATTCTTGGAGCCTGCACTTGGCCTGAAGAAAGCAGACATTTAATAAAGGTTTCCTTGAACTCTAAGGGACCTCAGAAATCACCATAGCCAATCCCTTCACTTTACAGAGAAGGAAATTGAAATCCAGAGAACACAAGTGACTTCCCCAGGATCGTAAATCAGTTGAGACGAGGGTAAGAGCCAGTTTCCTGACTCCTAGTTCCACACTCTTTCCATGATACCACACTAACGCGAGGTATTGAAAAGAATGGCAAAGCCATCGGATTTCCTGTGACGATGCATTATCCATGCTACTGAGTATCAGAGAAGATAATTAAGAATTAAATTTTGAGTAAAGCCCTGCATTTTAGAGAAATGTCTTCTGAAAACAAAATCAAGGAGACACCAGTGTTTCTACAGCTGTTCCTGAGTCTGGCTGGCCTGGGACAAGGTAGGGTAGGCTGGTCTGGGAGCAAGAGACAGAGAAGAGGTGGGGAGGAAGGGGGAGCAGAGGGCCCATTATTTCCATGCGTGTCCACAGGTCTGTCTGGGCTGCTGTCCTCATGGCCAGATCCAATTAGCCCTGACTCTCACTCTCCAGTGTGGCAGGGACCCCAATCACAGCACAGCCCGGAGCCAATTAACCCTTCCCAGAGAGAAAAAAGCAGAGATGCTCGACGGCTCCAGTGACCTAACTGACTGAGGCAGCTCTGGCGGCCCAGGGATACGGCTGTGCAGAGAAGAAATTTGTGTCTTCCATCTGAAGACATAGTATTGCTTTCCCGGGGATCCAAGATTTGGATTCCCAACTGTAATGATATTCTAGAGATGTCTTACAAGGAAGCCTCCAGCTGCCTACCTCTGAGCTTGGCTGTCGCCATGGCTACTGCCACCGAGGAAGGACTTATTAAGTGCCTGACTGCCCTAGCAAGCATGACAGAGGACTCAGTCGCTGTGGTCCATCTCCCCAAGCTGTGTGCTTACAGATTAACCTCTCCTGAACTTTCACTGGAGCTGTCATTAAAAGAACTACCCCGAACGGCCCACCACGGTTGGACTTCCTGTCATCCAGGAAAAAACTGGGCTTATACCAGCTTGTGTGTCAGTGAGATACTAGATACAGTGGTGGTTCGAGGCAGCGTGGTTACTAAGAAAATAAGGAACCGCTAATGTCTGCAGACAGGTACCACCTCAGGATGATGCAGAGGGACAGGTCCCATTGGATCCCACTGAAAACTGACGGACGGTTTGTCCATCCATCTATTCATTCATGCATTCATTCATTCACACACTCAGTCATTCATTCTGTGAATACTTATTGAGCATCTACTCTGTGCCAGGCCCTGCCCTAGGTGCCGGGGATGCAGTGCTGTCCAGACTAGCCCAAGTCCCTCCTCGGATGGAGCTTACGTTCTAGTAGGGAGATGGGAGACACCGGTCAACACACGAATATAGCAATCCACGTCAGAGGCTATGGAGAAAAGTAAAGCAGGCCAGGGGCCAGGGTGGCAGGGGTGCAGCCCGTGACATCCTCACGTGGGGAGGTGGCAAAGAGGGATACCCCAGACCAGACCCCATTTCAGGCACAAGAGACCTCCGCTCTCCCTGAGGGAACACAGCAAGATCAAGCCGGCAACTTTTTCCCTAAGTAACAGTTAAATAGACATCCAACAAACCATCCACATGTGGAGAGGTTCTGGAAGAGGCTCTGCAATGTCAGCGGCAGGAAGGAATATTTCATCATCCTCTTCCTTTGTTTACCGCAGCCATAAACGAGGGTAATAAAGACCGTCTAATTCATGGCACTGTGGTGAGAGTGACTAATAAAAAGCGATTACAAAGCACTTGGCAGAATGAACTGCTAGTTACATAAAGGGCAGGTAATGACAAAGGTCATCTCTGGATCAGGGAAACGAGGGTAAGTTTCCCTGGTACCTTCGTTTTAATCATTCTCATTAATCTGAACAAGCAAGATCATTTATTGCCTCATTTCCTCAGGAGCAACAAAGTGTGAGAGACTGGTGCTGATCAAATGTCAGAGCCCAAAGTGATCACAAATGGGTAAATGAATTTAAATGAGGCTGATGAAGATTTCACCCCACGCTCCCGGTTATTCAGGAGAAAGAAGAAATTAAATACACTTATGATGCATGCACTGCTGAAACAATTATTAAGGAGAAGAGGAAGGAAGCCAACGTATTTTGAGTAGGTGATAGCATAGACGATATCCTGGGTGCTCTACGTATTTAATCTGCTAAAGGTGTCTGAGAGACAAGTGTCACTATTGTTGCTTTACAGATGAGTAAAACTAGGATCAGAGAGGTTAAGCCACCTGCATAAAGTTACACAGCTTGTGTGTGGCAGAGTGACGCACAACTCTGCTTGACTCCAAAGCTGAAGGCAGTCAGGCACACAAACTCAAGCAGGGAACAAGAATGTGTGACCCCCTCTGCTTGAAGACAAATGGGAGTGGTAGGGTTGCTGTGACCTGGAGAATACCTGGATCGCCTAAACATACTTAACTGCGACAGGTTTTAAAACACTTTGCAGGAAAACAAAACACAAGTGGGGGATGCAGTTCAACTTTTTGACTTCAAGGGGTCACCTCAAATGAGCTGCAAAATGATATGATGGAAAAATCCCTTTGGTAGGACACAAAAGACCAAAGGTCTGGCCCCTTTTCCTCCACTCATAAGCAGTGTGAACTTGAATAAGTTTCTAAACCTCTCTGGCCTTGGTTGCCTTGTTTGTAAAAAGGAAATCTCCCTGTCCAAAGGCAGGAGGCTGAATGTGATGACCGTTCAAGGTGCCTCTTAAATTTAAGGTCTAGGAAAATCATTATTGGAAAACCATGGGCATGAAGATCACTGTGTACCACCAAATTCCGGAAGGGACCAAGGAAAGAATTCAGCCCTTCTCCATGAATACAGGTTTGGTTGGCTGCTATCACCAGCAGAAGTCAGCATTTAACCTCCAGAGACAGACACATATACACACCAACCCCCAGAGAAACACAACAGTAGCAAATGCAGACAGGACAACGCTCTGCGGCCCAGATGGCCACTGACCTTCCAAAAACTGGGTTCAGTTGCTTGGGGATGTATTTGTCGCGGTCTTTGATTTCGGTTTTGCCAAGCTTGAGCACAATGTAGGGATCCGACTTGCCATCTGGATCAGCTGGGCTAAGATTAAATGCCTGGGGAGGAAAAAGAAAATCCCTTTGGTCCAGCGGTTCTCAATGCTGGCTGCACACTGGGATCATCTGGGAGTTGTAAAAGATACTGATGCCTGAGTTCTATCCCCAAACGCTCTGATTTGATTGGCCCTGGGCTTTGGGATTTTTAGAAGCTCCCTAGATGATTCTAGTGTGCAGCCAAGGTTAAGAGGCTTTAGCCTCTCCATTTTGCTGTTAAAAGAAAAGTTATCAGCTTTGCCCAAGTTCAACTTTCTCTGGAGTCGTCTCCCTGGTGGAAGGCAGCTCTTGGCACAGGGTAATGAGGAATATGCTAGACCAGGAAGAAGAAGGCACGGATTTCAGTTCGAGTTCTATTTCTAAGTAGTTGTGTGATCTTGGGCAAGTCAAGTCATCTCTCTGAGATCTATCTGTAAGATCACGGGGTGGACCCGATAGCCCCTCCCAGAAATAATAGGCTCTGAATCCACGACCCCATCAGTCTTGCATTTAGCACTGGCTGGTTGAGTAAAGTTCTGTTTCTCAAAGTGAAGTCTGATTCCAGAAAGCTGGGTCTAAAACCATCACAAGCAAATACTTTCTAAGGGAAGGCCAGGGTAGGGGCTGGTGAGGAATAATACTGAAAAGATGGAGAAATTCTGCAGAGATGAGAGCTGACCAAGAAACAAGTCCACCCTACACATAGAACGGTAGAAGCACACACAGCTATATTTTCAAGGATGTTGATTAGAGCATTGTGTAATAGCTAAAAATTGTAAACAATCCATATGTCAATTACTTAGGGAGAAACTCAGTCCAAGATGGTCCATTTCCCATTTACTCTCATCACATCACCCAATTTTAATTCTCTACATAGCAGTTGTCTCTGACATTCATCTTATATACGTGCTGCTTCGTTTATTTTTGTACGTTCTTCATCTTCACATCGCCCCCAACTAGTGCGTAATCTCCAGGACAGCAAGTGGGCTGCCTGTCTTGTCTTGTTCATTACTTTATCACCAGGATCTAGAACAGGGTCTTCTTAATATCTGCTGAGTGAACGAATGGCTACTACATTAAGTCAAGAAAACACTAGGTGGCTACTAAAAAGAACGAGGAAGATCTATATGCGCTGACCTGGAAAAACGTCCAAGTTACACTACTAACTTGGAAAATAAAATAGACCATCCATACGGAAGGCACGAAGCGGAAGCCCATTAAATAAACACCTGGAGGTCGCGGTAGACAAGTGTAAATAGATATAGATGTGTTCGCATATTCATAAGAAAAGAAAGTTATTTCTGGGAATGGAATTGCAGAGGTGGATGATTTGATTTCTTTCTTTATGCAACTTCTAAGTAGCATTGCTTTTTACTTTTTCAGTGTTTTATTAAATTAAAAGATTTTTAAATTAACTTATTATTTAGTTAATTGATTAAATTTTAGTATGAGAGAGCAAACCACCCAATCACTGTTACTAGAAATGTCAGTGAAAAGCATTGACTGTCCATAATTGCTGTGAATTTATCCTACTCCCCAAAGCTCAGGCCACGCCTCCTCAGACTCTTCATTTGTTCGTCTTGCCTGTCCTCAAGCTCCAGCCCGAGCCTTCTCTCCTCCATGCTGCCTCCTGCACAGGAACCTGGTCTGCATTCCTGCCCTTTGTCTAGAAAGTACTGGGCACATAAAAGGTGTGTTGTAGAAATTTGCTGAGTGAATAAATAATCATCTTTCTCCAATCTCTGTAGTCCAAAAACTTTCTCCCTCTCCTTCCTACTGTTCATACTCTCTATTTCTGGGTTCCCCAAACCATGTCCCATAGAACCAGGTTCTGCAGGGTTTTCTGTAAGGGGGAAAAGAGATGTTGGGCAAGAAGTTTAGAAAATGCTGTTAAAGATTCAACAGTTAAATAGATTTCTTTGCTTCTGGAATCCTCAGGGCCTTGATTGTGCTAATGAGCTTTGTGAATCTCAGGGAAAATATTATTATATGCACCATTTCTTGAATTTATTTGAACACATAGCCCATTTCCTGAGGAATGCATATTAATTATCTCTCCCAAGACATGGGTGACCTTCCGAATAAAATTTTGAAAAGGTTAGTGTCAACAATCCAGCGGGTGGGTATTAATATAGACTACCTAGTGTCGCCAGGGATACTCTACAGGTACTTGCAGCTTATCCAACTAGATTGTGACTTCCCTGAGGGCAGAGACTGTATTTTTTGCATAACAACATCCCTAGTGATTAGACCGTGCCTGGCACATGGTGTTCGTGATGATGCTGCTGCTGCTGATGAAGGAAACATGCGAACTGCATGATGGGAAGGGAATATTTAGTTCTCCCTAAGCATTAAAGAATAACTCATCTTTGTTTTATGCTTTATTTATGTTTCTAAAAAAAAAAAAAGTGGGCCATCTAAGGAAAGAATTAAAACAAAATAAGACTACTGCAATCAAATAAGATTATGAAAATCAACTTGAAGGTCAGGAGGTGAAAACAAACACGTGAACCACAAAAGTTCAGCAGACAATTGCTTTGATTGAGTGTCAGATTTGGCCCTGAGCTTCCTGGCAATCAGGCCAAAAAGTTTCCCAACTAACGTTTTGTGCTCTCATTATCAGAAAGTAGGAAGCCTAGGGCAGATTTTTCTCGGGAATACATTCAAAACGAAATTTCTGACTACAACAGTGCAGAGGCATAGCCCCCAGGGGGAGCATCACACAGCGGCAGCTGCTCTGTTCGGCCCTCGTTTTTCCCTCTGACTGTCTTGCCCGAGAGTTTCCTGCTTCAATCCTATTTGGTTTTCTTCCCAGCTATTGGACAACCACAGAGCAAATAAAGCTACACAGAGCGGTCCTGTATGCCTGGGAAGTATTTTCCTTGAGTGAAAAGCCAGCAAATGTTCATGTTACTGACCAAACTTCATATCCCCTGTTATGGACTGAATCGTGCCTTCTTAAAATACATATGTCAAAGCTCTAACCCCCAGTGTGACTGTCTGTGGAGATGGGGCCTTTAGGGAGCTAATTAAGGTTAAATGAGGTCATAAGGGTGGGGCCCTAATCCAATAGGACTGGTGGCCTTAGAGGAAGAGGAGGAGACAACAGAACTCTCTCTCTCTCTCTGGATGTGCACACAGAGGAGAGGCCGTGTGAGGACATGACAAGAAGGTGGTTGTCTACAAGTCAGGAAGAGAGGCCTTACCGAAAACCAACCCTGATCATGAACTTCCAGCCTTCAGAACTGTGAAAAATAAGCGTCCGTTGTTTAAATTACCTAGTCTGTGGCATTTTGCTGTTGCAGCCCCAGCAGATTAAGACAATCTCTCAGAGTAAACAAGGACAGCTCACCGCAACAATGTACACTCTGATCAGGACTTTGACAGGGTGGTTGGGGGGAATCCCTTGCTGGATTCTCAGCTGCCCACTGTCCTCGATGCTGGAATCCTCCGGGCTTTTGTAGATGCAGAAGGAGCCCTGGAACCACAAAGCGAGACCCATTGAAACAAGATGGTCAAATGCTCCACCAAAAACCACAGAAGGTATAGTGCTGGGGAAAGTGAGCACAGCCTGGGACCCAACAGGACCTGGGTATATGCCACCCTTGCCTTGTGGGGTGTCTGTAGGCAATTCACACAACCTGCTTGCATCTGAGCTTCTTCATGGTACATCAGTGAATTGTGTTGGTACGGTCCTCCCAGGGCTGTCATTTGAGGAAAGGGAATAGGAGCATCAGATGGGATACTAAGTTCCCTTAACAGGTGGGTGCTGGGCCAGTGTTTTTTCCCATTATCTCATTCAATCCTGACTGCAGGATTCCTATTTTCAGATGCTGCAACCGAGGTTCAGGGAGGTCAAGTACTGTTCAAGATCATGAAGCTGGTTAGTATTATAACTAGGATTTAAATCCAATTGGCAAACTGCAACACCCATGCTATTTCCAACACACCACACTGCATATAAAGGACCCAGCATGCAGTAGGTTCATGGTAAGTGTCAGCTACTACTTTGTGATGCTGACCCCATAAGTCTGCCAGGTGAAGCTTTTGTGTTGTTTGATTAGTTTAATCATCCAACAGGTAGGTTTGCATAAATCATACATTTGGTAGGTCAGAGGTGGGAAGGGCAAAGTAAAATTCAGCGATTCTTTTAGGTAACAACTCTGTCTCTTTATATTTCACCAGACTGAGTTCCAACCCACTTCACTGGCCACAAAGCAAATATCTCAAGAGATTGGGGTTAGGTCCTGCAGAGTTCTAGAGAAGGTCAGTGTAAAGATCAAGGATTTTCCTTACACACATCCCACACCACAATCCCATTAACAGAAGTGAGTCATATCTGACACGTACGGACAAGAGAGCCAAAGAAAAGGGTTAACTCTGGAACTTGCCTTAAACTTTCCTATGACTCGGTCTCCATCAAGGCCATGGTCATCTTCTGTAGATTTGCCTCTGAAGAGCTCAAAAGTTTTCACCCAGTCTTCAAAATTGTTGAATTCACTTTCAAGATCACCATCATATATCTTTAGGGAGAAGGGAGAAGAGTGCTCAGAGGAAGGAAGACCCAGGATCGATTTAAAGAGAAACGCCAAGATGCTCCAAAACCAGCCTTACGGGTCCCTTGGAAAAATCTAAGAGGCTGCTATTAATTTCTCTTTAGCAAAATAAGAAAAATCATTGATTCAGCATCTCTAGAACTAACCATACTCTGAAATTTAAAAAATCTCTTTGATAAACTTTGAAATTTCAAGTATAGCTAAACCAAAATTTTAAAAAATATAATATAGAAGCATAAATGTGACAAACCTTTTCTGGTGAATTGATGTCATTGGTCATTGAATACAGACTATAACGTTTTCAGGAAACTTGAATCAATAAAGCCTCATTAATCATCTAATTTTTAACACATATAAGGTAACAGAATATTAGTTTTTATTATACTGCATATAGACGTGAATTTTCTAAGTGGGAAATTATATATACACTTTAGAAATCCAAAATTGTATTGAATTTTAAGTTAGGTAATATAATTAAATTACTCATTCAAATTTCTTATTAAAATTACTTCTCCAAATTGGTTATCTAGATACACAATTTTCATTCTCCCAACTTTCATATCCATAAATATGTTTCTAGCTAATAGCCTCTGGCTAATGTTAAGATTGGCCAGACAGAGCTGACTTTAGAGTTAAAACTCCTGCTATTTCAAGTGTGTACACATCTACATGACGATGTCAAGCTCCAAAAGCTGAGCCAAGGGTAACTCATACACTGTAAATTACCTTGCTGGATCCAGGCTAAACCGTGTAAATTATGCCCCTTTTCAATATGAGGACATAGAAAATGGAAAATTAGCAAGCTCCATTGTCTCGGCTTGCACGCTTGGTAAAGCTTACTTCTCCACATCAGTGATTATAATGAAGACAAAGCAAGTTAGTTCAGACAAAGGCATCACTAGGGTTGACTGAAGCACTAACAGAATCCCCCTTCTGCGCTTCCCATCCCACTCATGGCTAAGATGGCTGAGTCCACACACCTGCAAAACGGCCAGGTTGGGGATTTCATCCTCTTTGAGTTTCTTCTTGAGCATTTTGTCTTTCTTCTTCTTTGGACTACCTACTATATTTATCACTACCTCGTCTGGTTTGGTCTCTGTGGATATTTAGTGGAAATTGTTAGACTTCTCATGGCTGTTGCGAGGAAACAAAGTCAAGCCCCCTCCTTCCCTTTGCTCTGGCATGTGTCATGACCCTTCTTTTTAAAAAGAAATAGTAACAGTTTGCTGTAGGATTGCCACGCAGCCTTGCAGTCTGCGCACCACAGGACCGCAGGACTGGTGGAGATGCCACTCACATAACGACACAATGGCAACGTATTCTCTGGGGTGGGGCAATATATTGGCTTGTCCTAGAATGTGTAAATTCACTAAACTAGGCACAGAGAGAGTAAGGAATTTCCCAGTCACCCAACTAGCAAAAAACAGACCCAGGATGGACTGATTCCAAAGCTTTTAGTTACGTTCCCTCTCAGATCTGTTTGGGGACCAGAGATTCATCTAGCTCAACGATAGGAGGCTCAAATATGTGAAGGGTCTTGAGCAAAGTCATGAATGTAGTTAGAGGGATTACTCAGTGATTTTCCTAGGAGCAGGCTCTAGGAAAAAATCACCTGAGACAGACCTCCAGCTCTGCTGTTTCCTAGCTGTGGAAACTTGGGCAAGTTACTCAACCTCCTTGTACCTCTGTTTCATCATCTGCAAAATAGAGATACTATTGTTTATGTCATGGGGTTGGTCTTAGAACTAAATATGCTAATTAGGAGTGGCCTGAGGAACTAGCTGGGCTCTGGTTTTCCCACCTCTATCAATGTCACCTGAAACAGCACCGGCTGCTTGGTGTCATTGTTGTTTTTATGTCAAGACCTACCGTTGACTTGAATCGAGTTTGCGGTCATTTCAAATCCCAGGCCTCTTTTGTTTGAGCTTCTGCCAAACCAGATATAGTCACTCCTTGTAAACTGAGTCTTAGAACCTAAATCCAGCTCACCTCTATTGAAGTTTCTCATGATGGTTTTGGTCTTGCATCCCAGCTCACTCCTATTTTTACCCTGCTGTTTCTACATTAAGACCGTTAATGTAGGGACATGAGTCAAGGGGTTGATTTCAGCACTCAACTGGACTCAGAAGACCAGGAATCTGGCCCCAGTCCAGCTCAAATCAGCTACACGACCTTTGTAAAGTGTTGTCATTTTTCTGAGATTGTTTCCTCACTTGGGAAACAAGGGAGCAGAGCTCTAACATGCTTCCCATTGCTTCCATTGTATTATTTTCTCACCCCAACGGCCTTATGCTAGGTCCAAATGTCCCCAGAACAGCCACTTACCTGTATTGCCTTTTTTCTCCTTGGGATTGCTCTCCTTTTCCTTTGAGAAAAGAGGGAGACAAGATTATTGATGCTGCCACGCCTCATTGGGTAATCCTGACTGTTCACAGGTCTAATTAGACGATCACCGCTCTCTGCATTCTCAGAGACGCCATTTTAAAAGAATATGTGAACAGCCCCTGAGTGCAGCCTCACTGTAAAGACCTAAGTCCATTCTTCAATGACACCCTGCCCTTCAGTGACACCCTGCCCTGGAGAAGGGGTGCCCATACAGCCAAGAAAAGTGCCACCGAGCTGTAGACTTCCTTGTCCTCTGTGTGCAGCCTCCTCTCAGGCGCTGGGAAAGCAGCTTCTCACCCCATGATTTTCCCACCTCCCTGGAGCATCAGCTCAGTCTGCAACTTTGAGTTTTACCTGCTGGCGTGTTGGGTTGGTGGGTTTGTCCCAGGGATTGGGGAGGTTGGCAGAGGAAGAGGAAAGGGCTCAGTGCTCACCAGACGTAGTAGTGGCCATTGCAGCAAAAGGAAGGACTTTGGAGGCAGGGACTAACATTTAGTTTGTTTATTTAACTATATATCAGTATTCATGGATAGTCCTAAATGAAGAAATTATGGTCTTTCCAAACTAAAGAATCAGGAGAGTTTCTGTTCAATTAAATACAATGATAACATGTGACTAAGTTTCCTTCCCTTTTTCTCTTGAGGATGAGAAGTCTTAGCAAATTCAGCCAGTGAGCTTTTGCCTGAATCTCCAGACCCACTCCACACTGGTTCTCCAGCTTTGCAGCTTTCTTGTTCCACGTGCACATGGCCCTGTGCTGGCAACCTGCTGATTATTCCTGTTTGCTAAGACTTGCTAAGGCCAACACCTCTGCCTTTCCTTTGGTAGTTTCCCATATGAACTTAGAATCCTGCTGGAGATCTGGGGCCCTGCTGGAGACACCTGAGGTCCCCACTGCTGATGCCCCCCTGTCCAGAGACCCCATTTCTCCTGGCTGGACCTCCCTGAGTCTGACTGGTGGGCAAATTCTCCAGATGCCATACTGGACTGAACATCCTTCCAGCATTTTCAGACTGGAGCCTGTGTCCTAGGGCCAGCTCCAGCTGGAGGGGTGGATTTTGCAATCCCAGATCCCTGGTCCTTCCAGGGTTTTTACGCTTTCACAGCTAACAGAACCAGACCTGAGTAGGACCTACCTACAGTGGAATTTAAAAGAGGCGATAATGTGGGACTTGGGGGGATAGAGGGTGCTACGTTTTCCTATCCAGTCCCTTGACCGTCACAGCCAAGGGAGACTCTACCTTCTGTGCTTTCTTCAGGGAGGCATAATATTTAGACCACCAGTCAATGACGTTCTCAGCTGATTCATCTGCTATGGTCCTCTTTCTCCTTTTAGTAGACCTCCGGGAAGATTTCCTGGGATCCTGGCAAGGGAGGAGAGATAGATTGTTAATTAGGCCTCATGGATCTGCATGTTGATGGCTGACCGGTTTACTGAGGAAGAGAACGTATAGGTACCCTCTGGGAGGCAGACAGAGGTATTGGCAGGTTGTATGGTTGTGGCTCTCTGTACCACTTCAGGAAACAAAAGTTTAATAACCTGTTAACCTATTCATTCATTTATTCAGCAAACATTTACTGAGCAGGTGTGAGATATTGTTGTTGACATTGGGGATGTAGGGGTAATTAGACAGAATCTCCACATTTGGGAAGCTAGAGTTCGGTAGAGGAGTCAGGCATGTGTGGTATAGTAGAAAGGGCATTAACTTCAGAGAGACTTGGGTTATGAATCATTAAGTAATAAATATAAATGTTACGCTTCTCAGTTTCCTCAACTAGGGACAATAATACCCGCCTACTTCACTGTTGTGAGGATTAAGTGACATAATGTAGACAATTCCCTTTTAGCATCATTTCTGAATTGAACAGGTGCAAATAAACGACACGTACAAGAGAAGTCATGGGGGAGAGGAGAGGCAGTCATGGATGTGTGGCAGAAAGGAGGCCTCTGCGGGAGGAGACAGTTGGTCCATTGGAGACTATTTATGCAAGACTCATCACGTGCCTGTCATCCCTTCACTTTCTCAGATATCTCTTGAATACTTACCTACGATGTGCCAGGCACTCTATGATGTGCAGAGGATACAGAGATGTTAAAAAAATTATCTACAACCTAGTGGGACCCACAGCTTTATGGTGGCATTAAACACTTAAACTGAGAATTCTGATCTAAAGTAGCAGGCACAACTGGTGGGATGGAAAGAACCCTGTGAGCTGTCATAGAGGGTCACATTAAGCATGGATGAGAAGGGAACAGCCTGAGCAAACATCCATTAATCATCTTAGTCTGCTTCTTATTTCAGCCTTTACCATTTACTGCGGAGGTAATCGCCTAGGACTTTCTTAAAATTGCTTTTTTTTTTTTTAAGTCAATTGATACACTAGGATTTTGCACTCAGATTTATGACTTAGAAAGATTATTCATATCCTTGTTTTGTGTTTTTTTTCTATACTTGTCCATTTCCCCTTCTGGAATCTCAGCTAATTGGGGATGAGAAGGCTCATTTATCTTTAGAATCTTTTTCGTCCTATATGACCTTGTACAAAGTAGGTTCTAAATGTTTGCGGAGTAGGTCTATACGAGGAAACCATTGTCCTTCCAAGCTGATGAATTGGGAAGAGTTTATGTTCAATTAAATATTACCGTCACACTGACTAGCACTTTAATTTCATATACATTGACTGACCTGATTCTACAACAATGCTGTGAAGTGGGTATCAATATCCCCATCTTACAGATCAGGAAACTGATGCTCAGAAATGTGAAGTTTGCTTGCCCCTGGTCACACAGCTAGTAGGTGGGAGAATTAGCATCTACAGCCTCTGATACAGACTCTAATGGGCCTTGTAAGTATGAAGAGAGATTACATTCTGACCTTAGCTTTTCCATCTTTTGGTGGCTCCTGGGCTGCGGGTTTGTGTTCAGGCTCCAGCATAGGGGATGAGTCAGGGATGTCAGCCAGGCTGGCCTGCTGAACCTGGGTGGAGTCCGGTACCACGGTGGGAGGTGGCTCAACATCCACATAGATGTGATCCGTTGGGGGCTCCCGGGCAGAGCTGAGGGTCTCAGAGGGCTCCGTGGTTATTAGCGAATCTGAAATGGCTGAAATGAAAGCCCAGCAAGTCAGGCAACTGGGCGGCAGTGCAGGGGGTCATTTCAGGGACCCAGTACTGGGAATCAGGCAGATCTGGATGCAAATATGGCAACTTCCTAACTTCTCTGAACCTCACTTTCCTTATTTATAAAATGACAGTGAAAATACCCATCTCACTGGGGAATAAATGAGATCATGTTGTAAGGCATCAGGTGCATCATAGATAATAAACAAATGGTTGTACTTATTATTGATGCCTCAGAGTAATTTTAGATAACTGCGGTCATAGGGAGCATGCTTATCAAGGTTTAGGGTACGGTCCCCTGTGTTGATTGTCTTCTCCCAGTGTGTTAATTCAGGGAACGCTTGGAGGCTCCCGAGGTCTGTGAATTCCCCAAGTGTAGGCAGAACTGTGGGCACAGGAGTACATGAACTTGACAGGGAGCAGGGGGATGTCTCTGGACTTATGAGATGGTTAAACTGGGCTCTGGATCCAATAAAAAGGTCTTAACACTGTCCTTTCCTGCCACAGGTCCTCTTCTCTCCATTTTGTGCCTCAGAATTCAGTCCTCAGGAACATTTTCCAGTTGGGATCCTCTGTGGCTGCCAGGGCCTCCAGAGCATCTCTTCCCCAGTTGCTGACTTTTCAATGGTGAACTCAACCCAACAAACACTAAACAGGCATCTACTCTGTGCTGGACATGGAGATGGAGAGATCAGCGGGACAGGACAGAAAGTTCAGAAATAAACTAGGGATGTATGACAGCTGGACTGATGAAAAAGATGGCAGCACAAATCAATAAGGAAAGTTAGTAGACTGGGGAAAAAAGCATGTCCTATGTGGACCAAAATGCTGTTGGATCCCTACCTTAAACCATATACAAATGCATATAAATTAAAAATCTAAATGTGAAAGGTAAAAACATAACACTAATAGAAGAAAATATAAGATAAGGTCTTCAGAGAAACCCAAGCTAAAATAAAAATGAGATGCTACTTTATGCCCAGCAGAGTGGGAAAAACTAAACACCAAACCAAAACAAAACGAAAACTCAGAAAGTTAGCTAATAGCAGGGGCTGTTGAGGAGGAGGAAAAGGGGACTCCAGAGGCAGTAATGGTAAGAATGTAGACTGGTGTAGACGTGTGAACCAGCACAGCTCTCTGGAGCGCCCTCTGTCAGTATTTAGTGAAACTACATGTGCACCTTCCCTGCCACCCATTGCTCTCACTCCTGGGTGTCTGCTCCAAAGAAATACAGACACAAGATCCTCCCCCAGGGAACACACACAAGGAGATTCCTCACAGCACTGTTTGTGCGAATGGGGAGTTGGACGCAGCCTGGGATCCAATACAAGGGGAAGGGAAAAGCGAAGTCGCGTAGATGCAGCAGGTACTGGTAACAAGCCAGTGTACACACAGCAATATGGATGGATCTTAAAACACAACTTTGAGAGACAAGAGCAGGAAACCAAATGAAGATTATTGCACCATATCATATATGTAAATTAAATGGATCTATATTTTACAAGGATTGGTAGTATGGGGCCCACAGTGGGGAGGGGATGGGGAGTGGAGATAGGGAATAAGTAGGGGGCTGTGGATATAATGAGAAGCCTTGAGCAGACCAAGGATGATTGCACAGCACGAACTGAGAAGTGTAATTAATTCAACTCCGTGCACCTGCGATCCAAAACAGACCAATCGGAAGTAACATCAAGCAAAGAAAAATGTCAAGGAGCGGAGGCAGGAGGGAGCTTGAGCCATATTTAAGGAAGCCTTCTTAGAGGAGCTGACCCTGATGTCAGTCTCAAAGCAGGAATCTGACAGGTAAAGAAGCAGAGGGGACTGTGGGAGCGCGTTCTTCAGAAAGAGCGACTTGGCCGTGGGCATCTTCTTTGTGCGGGGGTCCTACAGCAGACACCCGCAGGCACCACGGCTTTGCAGTCTGCAGTTCCAGAATCTAGGAGGAGGGTCTTACCTTCGCCATCTTGGGTTCCGTCCACCGGTGAGGTGAGAGCAAGGGGCTCCCTGGATTTACACAAAAACTGCTTCAAGCAGTTGATGGTGTAGGTGCCCACCAGGGTGCTCCTTCCGAAGGCTCTCCAGTCCACCACACAGATGCTCAGGGGCGGGTGCAGAAACTCATTCTCAGGCAGCTCCTGGGGGGAGAGACCAGATGACGTGAGGGCCTTGCCTGGGCTGGGCCTGGCTGCTCACACCCTGCTGACCTGTCTGGGGGAGGGACAAGGCAAGCCAGCAGCCATCTTACCACTGACCATGGCTTGCCATTCTCTTCCTCCAGGTCACCCCTGCAGCTTGCCGGAAGTCTGGAGCATTGCCTTCAGGGAGTAACTACCCAAAATAGGAGGGATGGCACTAGCAATTCATCCCAGGTTTAAAATGCAAAACTCACACACTCCCAAATTCTCTATGGCCGTAGTCTTCAATCCTCTTATTTTGTAATTATTTACCAGCAGAACTCTCAACTCAAATAAATGTTTACCCAGGCCCAAGATATAAAACAGACGATAGTTGAGCCATTTAAAATGGAGCTGAGGGTGAGGGACCAGCACCCTGCCCGCTTCGTTCCCCCGTGGCCCCCAAGGCTTAATGAAGCCCAATATGAAAGGCTTGCAAACACCGCTCTCTTTCTTTAATTCTAGGCTCCGCTGATTTAGAATATGTGTCCATTGGAGCTGACTCACTTGGACAAAGCAAACTTTTTCTTCACAGTTAGTTCCCAATCAGAGCACAAAAAAGTACGTTGAAAAATAGTGAAATAAACAAAAGCATAGGTGTCCAAAAACATCACTTTAGAAGCATAAATTCGCATGTAAACTACTGACATGCCGTGTACAAATGAATGTGTAAAAACCTAACCATTCAAATAAGTTGTGTTGGTGTAGCTTGTAGCCAGTAGTTTTCAAGCTTTAGAGTGTATCAGAATCACCTGGAGGGTTTGTTAAACCAGAGGTGCCCGGGCCCCACCCCTGAACGGTTTCTGATTCGCTAGTACTGGGGTGGGGCCTGAGAATCTGCATTTCCAACAAGTTCCATGGTGATGCTGATGGTGATCAACTGGGGGCCACACTTTGGGAACCACTGTCAAGCTGCTTTGATTTACTGTATGATCTGTGTCCGAAAACTTTAAAAACAAAACAAAATAATAGCAAAGTCTATGTTATGTCATTCTGCAATTCTGGCTTCTCACTAAATCAGACTGTCCTTCCTTGCATGTTGTAGATATCTGAAACTCTGAAATGTCTCCCCAAGCCAGGTTAATGAAGGAACGGGTCCCAGCTGCAGAAACAGAGGGTAGGAGGTGGGGGGGGGGGAGTGAGAGGTCCACACCACTTCGAAAGCATCTGCCTGGACGTTGAAGTTTGGGTTGTTCTTGTAGCTCTGGATCACACAGGACTTGACTCCTCGTCCTCCACACTCGATGAGGACCTGAGGACGATCCACTGAGAGAAGCTGCACCTTCTTCATTTCTCGGACGCCCCAGAAGAGAACCTGAGGAGAGGATGAGCAGAGCTGTCACTCAAAGACCCAGGGAGGCGCCAGCACGCGTGCCCTGGCTAAGGTATGGGAAAGTGAGATGTGCCACCTGAGAACTACAGCGTGGTCTTCCAGGAAGGGACTGTGCAGAACCTTGAAGGCACCATCTGATCCTCCACGTCTCCTTCCCACCCCGCAATTCCCCACTTACAATACAGGCAAGTGTTGCAATGCACCACTGCCCTTTAGTCCCCAAGAACAACTCCATCCTTCCCTGCACCCACCTCCACTCGGTATGTGCTCAGCACTGGCCGAATGTTGGCAGGAACTGGGTAGATCTGGGTGACATCCGGTGGGTCAACGGGAGGGAGCCCTTGCAGCCCAGACTCAGGGACCTACCGCACAAAACAAGTGCAGGTCAGAAGGGCAGGGAGAGGCAGGGAGGGCAAAGGGGGCCACACCACCACCTCCTCCGGAAGACAGTCACTTTTAACGAAAGTAACATTTCCGGCTTTAAATGCAACCAAAGCGATGCATTTTACCACATTTATTTATTAACTGGCAAATGCATTCATTCACAAGAGTAACCAACATTTAGTGAGCACCTACGATGTGCCACAAAGTTAACCATAATAAGGTTTCAGTAAGCTCATAATATAGAGGGGAGAGAAAAGTGACAAGTGGATAGATCCTCACCACCCGATCAAATGACACGGGAATGACAGCAGTGGCACGGAGAAGGGGCTCTGGTCAGATTCAGAATCTTGGAGACTCGCCTACGATGCCTACTATAGAAGAGACCCATGTTTAATCAAAGACTACTCTTAATCAGTGAAACAGAAAATGGAGTCTTTTGAAGGCAGACCTCCGGGATGAAAAGGCATCGTTTCCTGTGCATTTGGAATTAATGAAACTGCAGGAGGACAATCATTGTGCTTTAGTGAAATCTCATACAAAGGCCACTAAGGAAAGGGTCTTTCTCTCTGTGTAGGCCATCCCGCGCTGCCTTCAAGACCTGGCTCAACACTTACGTCTTTCAAGAAGCCGTCCCTGATTGGATCCCAGCCTCTGTGGCCATCCTCCTATCCTTCAGTCCTTGAAACACAGAAGCCTCTGTGGAGACTTAGTGCAGAAATCAGTGGACTGAACCCAGACACCAGGTTCCGCTGTGTGACCCTGCGTGAGTCCCCTTCCCTCTCTGGGCCTCAGATATCAGGCCAGATGACCCTTCCAGCATTCAGAAGTCAGATGTTCTATTAAACATTGCTTTGGGGTGTTTGTATGACTCGGCCAGGAGGAAGTCTTTGTTGACTTCGTCTCATTCTCTAAGCCCCTCAAGTGATGCTCCATATCCAGTGGGTTCTTGATAAACGTTTATTGGCCGACTGACATATTAGCTCCATATGCTCAAAAAAGCCTAATTGCTCATCAAAACCTGCAAAGCACAAATATACCACCATCCCTTTCTCACAGATGTCTTCTAGTTGGCAACAGCAGATGTAGTTGAGATAATTCTAAGAAAGCTCAGAAAAAGAAGACAGTAGACACTGTGAATGCCAAATGGGCTCGAGATAATGAAGCTGCAGAATGAACCAGACGAGACAAAGGAGGTAGGACATGAGGGTGTATGCCCAGGACTGCCCGGCAGTGAGAGGGGAGCGATCTAGCCTGCAGGACGTCACTCACTGAGAACACTATTGCTCCTGCAGCTCCAAAGGAAAAGCCACAGAATGGCTGTGATGCTGGCATAGGAGGCTGCCTCGGATGTGCTCTTTATAAAGTGCCATATGTTTGCTCCTCCTGGGGCTGCTGAAATGATGGCCTGGGAAATGCCCTGGAGAAGCTTTGTTCCATAAGTGCCTCAAAGATGCCCTTAAGAATTCAATAAAGGCCTTGATGAATCTCACAACATGGTGGAGATTGAATGACTTCTCTGGAAGTCAAGATTAAACATTTTCCCAGTAAAATGGGTCAGCTGCTGGCTTATAAAACCATGTAATGTGTAGTCGCTCACACATGGGGCCAGGGAAGGATAAAGAAGTGTTATGAAGACAAAATGGTGAATCAGGGATGGGCAGGATAAGTTGGTCCAAAAGTCAGACTGCCCCAATATCCCAGTGGAGACAAAATATCGGGGCCTCAAAAGAGGTCCAGCCGCAGGGCCAGGACAAGGGACCTTGGGTGAAAAATTTAAGGGGCAGCACTCTCAGGGTCATGCATGACCCTAATCCCAGCCCTGCCCATCTGGAAAATCACCGATGCTCAGCAGCCTTTCTCCGTCCTCTATGTCCCTCAGCCCATCATCTCTACTTGTATTGTACCCCTTATTCAGTACAGTGGCTGGGCACCAGTCATGGGCTCCATCACTTACTCGCTGTGTGAACTTGGAAAAGTTGCCACAGTATCTCTAAGTTTCACTTCTGTCATTTGTATAGTGGAGATAATGATACCTAGTTCATAGAGTTGCTGTGAAGAATTGCTGAGACAGCATGCAAGGCACCTGGCACACCTTCTGGCACATAGTCACCTCTCTAGCGGTGAAGGTAAACTGGCAATCGACTCTTGCAAGGTTTAAAGCTCAACTTCAAATCATCTTAATCTCCAAATGGATTCAGATGATCTAGGGTGGCTGGTGTGCCAAACCACCTCGGAGGCAAATTTAAATTCTCTCTCAAGGAAAACAGTATCAGCCTAGGCTCAAATTTTCTCTACATATTTTACATGAATGAGTGAATACATTCATCTGAAAATGTCGCATTGAGAGTCTGCTCTGTATAAAATATAATTGTTGGCTCCCAGTGTGACACGGGATGAATCTCACACACACTTCCAATCCATCTGCCAACCATGTGGACTCTTCTTTTGATCCACACCCAGAATTCGCTTCTCTTCTTTTCCATGGCTACGATCTTGATCCAAGCTTCCAGTTCTCCAATCCGGATTACCCGATGGGCCCCCGCAGTTGGCCTCTCTCCTTCTCCCCTCACCCTTTCAGCATGTACTCAACTCAGTATCCATGGTGTTTCAACATAAATCAGACATTATGCTCAAAATCCTCTCTTGTCTTCCCTTCTTTTATAGAGTAAAAGCCAAAGTCCTCACAAGGCTCCAGGTGATCTTTTTCCTCCGACCTCATCTCCTACCCTCTCCCCATCCTTCACTCCACTCCAGCCACACTGGCCTCCTTACTGGTCCTTGAAAATGCCAGGCATACTCAGGCTCCAGGATCAGGCATTTGCTGTTCCCTCTGCATCAAATACTCTTTGCCCAGATATCTGCATGGTCTGCTCCCTTTTCCCCTCCAGGTTTTGACTTAAATACCATTTCTCAGTGATGCTTCCCTGTATACCTAAAATGTCCACCCCCAACACACACATGTCCACTTCATGTCTCACATTGAATTACCTTTTCTCCTTCGCAGTGATCACAGTCCTGTAACATCTTATGTTATAATTTACACAGTGTCATCTATTATCTCCTCTTCACTAGAATATAAGTCCCCTGAGGGCAGGGACTTTTGTCTGTCTATTCACTGAAGAATTCTTAGGAATGTGCCTGGCATATAGTAAACACTCAATAATGTTTGAATGCATGAATGAATGAGTGAAGCAGTCTTTGCCTTCAAAAACTTTACAGATTAATGGAGACAAGCCTGTAAACAATTGACCTTACCGTAGTCTGAATGACAGAAAAAGGCAAATTGCTCTAGCACAGAAGAGGAGAAAACATTTAATTTGACTGAGGTGGGTGTGGGGAAAGCTTCCTGGAGGAAGCATCTGTTGTTCTTAACTTAGATGATGACCATTTCCCTAACTTGGCCGATGGAGTGTGGAGGTTGGGGTGGGTGGAGTGGGGAGACACTCTGGAATGGAATAACAGCGTGCCTAAATGCAGAGGAGTACGTTTGCACGGTGAACTCACAGAACCTGGAGCGATCTGGCGTAGAGAGGCCATAGTGTAGAGAAATACGCTGAAAGATGAGGTTGAAGAAGCATTTGAAGACAAATTAGGGAGAACTCAAATGTCTAGTTATAGAAATTCAACATTCTCTCCTGGGCCAGATTTCTTTTCGTGAAATATGAAGAATTATCACGCAAACAAAAATGTAAAGTTTTATAGTCAAAAACATTTGGAAAACGTTAGATTTCAAAAAAGAAGTTTCGAAAGTTTCTTTATTCACAGACCTCTCATTTGCCATGGTAATGGCATTTCAAATCCCCAAGAGGGATATAATATGAAGAATTTCTTAAACTTTCTTTTCACTGTATTTGGAGGGACTGTCCTTGGCATTCCAAAAAATAGACTTTGAGAAATGTTCCTGGCAGTAAAAAGCAGGGCTCCACTGGTGATTTCTGAAGAGAGTGGTACGGTCTGCCTTGTGTTCTGGAAGGAATGTGGAGGATGAAGTGACTAAGAAAAGATTAGGAAGCCAGAAGACCAGGAAAGAGGCCAATGCAACAATCATGATGAGAAATGGAGTCTCTGGGAACAGGAAAGATGCAATAGTCAACGAGCTTGGCCTGGCTAGGGGTACAAACACAGACTGAAGAATTAAAGCTGAGTCTGAATTCTCAAGGACAGCGTCTGGGAGAACAGTAGGGCTGAAAGCCAGCAATGGGAGGACAGGGGGCCAGCTGGCTTGGTTAAGAAAGGGAAATGGAGATAACGAATTCAGTCCCGGGCATCGAAGAACCCAGGTACTAAATCCTTCTTCTAGACAGAGAAGCGTTTCAGTAGTGGAGACGGAGAGGCTGAAGTAAACCATCCAGAGATGAAAACTGAGAGCAGCTGGTGACAAACGAAGGCATTTTCCAGCTCCTGTCTTCTCAGCATGTACGAGATCCACTTGCTAAGACAGTCGCACTGATGATCAAATTACTTTTTGAACAAGTAATCAAATGAAAAGAAATCTTAATGAAACCCTAATGAATTGTATCTCTTAGGCTGCTGCAATGCTTCCTCTATTAACTCAGCTGTCAGGAAGCAGCAGGATCTTGCCTAGGACACTCAGCTCAGAGCGGAGGGAGGGAGCATGAGGGATGCAACTGTGGAACCCAGAGAGATCTGAGGCCTCAGAGGGCCTGTGGAGATCGGTCGTCCAGCCCCTCATTGATGGATTGGGGGACCCAGGCCCAGAGCACTTCAGCAAGCTTCATGGGGTGAAAATAGCAGTTGACTGGATCCAATTCATTTAGCCTTGAGCCTCAGGTTTCCAACGTGTAAAATGGGAGTGTTGCACCAGATCTAGTTTTCCCAAGTCAGCCATTCCTCTACCACCTTTACCACCTGTGCTATCATCCAGTCAGCATTTGCATTAGACATAGCTTTGTTTTTAAAAAGGAAATTTCATGTTGCTAAGGAAAACACTTGCCATAAATGGCAAGTAACTTTAAAATGAAAGCCAAACAATGTATCGGAATACATCACGGGAAGCTTTTCTTAAACTTTCTTTTCACTCTATTTGGAGGGGCTGGTGTTCCAAGAAGCAGACTTTGAGAGATGTGTCTACGGGCATCATTGATCTTTTTTACAGGCACTGAGCCTAAAGCCTGTACTCTTTCTTAAAAGGGAAGGTTGCAAGTTAGGTATTATAGATAGACTAGCATCAAACTAGACTTTCTTCTAGAAGTAGTTAGAAAGATCAAAAAGGGCAAAAGTCCATTTGTGACAATATGGAGGGACCTTGAGGTCATTATGCTAAATGACATAAGTCTACAGAGAAAGACAAATACTGTACAATCTCACTTATATGTGGAATCTAAGAAAAAGAAAACTCATAGAAACAGAGAGGAGACTGGTGTTTGCCAGGAGTACGGAGGTGGGAAAAATGAGTGAAGTTGGTCAATGGATACCAACTCCCAGTTACAAGATGAATACGTTCTACAGATCTAATGCACAGCACGGTGACTGCAGTTAACAATACTGTATTGTATACTGGAAAGTTGCTATGAGAATAGATCTTAAAAGTTCTCACCACACACATGCACATGCAAAAGGTAACTATGTAAGGTAATGGATGTATTGATTAATTTCATTGTGGTAATCATTTTGCAAGATACACATATATCAAATTATCATGTTGCACACCTTAAACTTATAGAATGTTATATGTCAATTATATCTCAATAAAGCTGGGGTTGGAAGAGAAAAGGCAAAACTCCCTTCCCATCGATTAGACGTTATTTAATGCTCTACTTGGCTTCAACCTAAAATCACTCATTGCCAGCCTAAAATCACCTGGATTCTGCCTAGAGGAAAGACAGGACCAGCTGGTTTTGCAGGTCACTTTCCATTCTGACAGTTCTTGTTTCCAGGCAACACACATCTATCTGGAAGAGCTCGTTCTATTAGAATCACTTGGCTTATCATCCTGGAATCCTGCAGCCTAAGATTTATAAGAGAAAGATTTTTCTAGTCCTCCCCTTCAAGGCTGCAGTCACTGTAGAGCTGGAACCAACACCTGAGTTCCTGCTACTCTAACCCTGCAAGGACTCGCCCAGCTTCACTTCCCCTGACAGAGAGCTAGCTCTTGCTCCAAGGCAGCCACAACATCCTTAAAAACTTCTTCCTTAAGTGGAGCAAAAACCAGAACACAATCAAAGTCTTCGATAGGATGGGCTTAAGAACTCATCACTGTAGTCATATGCAGCTCCCAGGGTGCGGACGCGGGCAGAGTTTGGATTTGCATACGTGTGTCTAACCCCACAGCTGTTCCCTTCCTCAGTATGCGCTGCAGCCTCTCCAGCTCCCAGGAGAATCTGTACACTTGAATTCCAAGCTCTAACCTGCCACGTTAAGCAACTCGTTACCTTTCTATCCAGCTCAATTTCTTCACCTGAAATAGATAGGTGAGACTAGACATTTTCCTTTAAGATTCTATAGTATAATAATATTAATAATAAAATAGGTAGCATTTGTTGAGCATTTATTCCATGCCAGGCAGTTTAGGTAGATGGATTATCATCTCCATTTTACAGGTGAAACATAGAGCGATGAAGTAGCTTACCCAAGGTCACACACTAATAGGTGGTGGGAATGAGATTCATTCCCGCGGGATCCAATCAGAGCTCCTTCACGCTTACTCATCCTGCATGTGTTAGGGATGCTTGCCTTCTAGTTTCTCTACCAAGTGAGATTTTCTTTAAAATTGGGATTTCTGAAAAATGGGCTTACCTCTAGAGGGATTGGTCTGAGCTAAAGGTAAGGTGCCACCTGCCCTCCTGGTGCCTCAGGAGATGGAATGATCAGGGAGAGACATCTCCCTGATATAGGGCCACCTGGTCACTTCTTTTCCAGGTCCTCTCCCTGTCCCATTTGGTTCTCCACTGAACAGCCAGCCTTGAGAGTCTCAGGTGCCCTTTCTAAGTATCCTGGTTTTGCTTTCTGAAAAGTCTTCCTAGACACACGTTTGTTCATAAATTCCCCTACATCTTAGTGGGACAGACTAAGAGCTCTTTCCCTTTGGGAAACTTTGTGATACAGTGTAAGGTGTAAAAGGCTTTAAAGGTCTAAGTTCAGCTCTCAGCTCAACCACCGACTGGCTGCACGAGGAGGTAGTTGCATTGACCCTCAGTTTATTATCTGTAAAATGGGAATCATATCTATCTCAACAGGATTGAGAGAGGTCTGGTGTGATGCAAGGTATGTGAGGCAGCAAATGCAACGTGATAAGTGCCCCCAAAATGTTTGCTTTCTTCCTCTTGCGTATCCTCTCATGGTCTATATGGAGCTCAGGGATTTCCGTATAGGGCTGTTGAAGTATTGTTGGCCAAACTCACAAGGATCTTGCATGCTAGGACTCTTATAGCACAGGGGGTCTGGGAATAGCCTGTGTCACCTGAGTTCTTAAGTGGCACCTCCCAGATCCCCAGAAGGAGACACCTCTGGACACGGGATAGCAAGGAGGGACCTGGCACAGCCTCACTGAAGTGTACTTCTGCTGAGGGCACCTCTCTGGTGAAGTGAAACAGACAGACATCTAGCGCAACTGACACTTCCTGGCTCACTTACCTGGAGCAGTTCAAATACAGCAAGGAGGTCCCCTCCAGAGAGGTTCCCACAAAAGATGGGGTGATAGCACAGCCTGGGGGGCTCATAGTCCTGGTCAGCCAGCTTCACAACAGGAGCAGCCACTGTGGCACCCAAGTATTCTGGCTTCCCCTAAGGCAGAAAAGAAATGAATTTTTGTTCCTGACTGTTACCCACCTGGTGTTGATGTGCATCCGTGTGATTTTGTAAATGATCTTCACAAAACTGTCAGCCTCAGTGTCTCTCTCTCACTACTGTCTCACTCTCTTCTTCTGCCAAACTCTTCTTATCCTTTTCCACAGGCTTGGGGAGCAATGCAATCTATTCAGGCTCCCAGGAAAACTCTAAGAGGCTTCCTGGCCCAAGTCTATCTCAGATGTTCTCTTTCTCCTCAGACTATTGAGCTCAATGGAATAAAGTTAAAATCATCTAAGGTAGACTTGAAGGGGAAAAGGGAAATAAAGCGGCACCAAACATTCCAAAAGATCTCCAGGGCAGGGCGCCGTTGCGGTTGGGCACATGAGCTTTGGAGTCCAGGCAAACCTGACTTGGGGTTCCCAAACCTACTGCTTCCTAGATCCAAGACCTTGGGCCAGTTACTCAACCTTTTTTGAGCCTCAAGCCTAAAAAGAGTTTGTTAAAAATTCCTGTTCACAGGGCCGTGAGGATTAATGTAATGATGTTTGTGCTTTGCACAGTGACTTGTATACAGTAAGTGCTCAATACATGGTAATATGATGATGATGATGATGATGATGAAGGTCAGGATGTTTAAGTGATAGAGCAGTCCTGTGCTATTTTTCTTGGTAGTGAAAGAGGGTATTAAAATATCTTTTTATATGTGTGTATATATGGGTGTAAGTTTCTTTAAGAACTATTCTTTAAGAACCATCTCCTGCCTCTCCCCAGACGGGCTCCCAGGAGCCTGGGTCCACGTTGCCCCAAGAACAGCAGGGGCTGGAGTAATCACTCTGCTTTGCTATTTCTCTCAAGAACTGCTGGGTAAGCTCCATGCAGGCAGGGTTGCCTGCCTTATCCACTGCTGTGTCCCCGGACAGGGGGCAGGGACTCATTCTATGTTTCTTGAGTGAAAGCTCTTGGATAAATGACCTCCGAAGTCCAAGGACAATGCCCACAACCTGTTCCGGCTGAGGCTGCATTGCTTCATTGCCTTTGGACTCATGAACCAGCACCTGCATTCCCAGCTGTAGAAGGAAACTTGGTTGAGGTGGAAATGGGGTTTAGTTCAGTTCACACTCGGAAACAAACAAAGCTGCCTCCTGGTATCCAATGGCGGAGTCCGACCTGTTCTGGGTACCCGTGGAGTTAGGACAGCTGGATGCGAAACAAGCAATCTGCTGCATAATTACTTTGTCCATGATCCTAGTAAATTAAGCCTGGAAACAAAAGAGTAAGCATAAACCCAGGCAACCAATTTGCCAAATATAAACTCATTTCTTACAGAGCCAGCAGATTCTCGTGAGGGCACAAGCCTCTGGGTATGAGAGAAAGCTCTAGACTAGATGCACGGGGCTGGCAGAGTCAGAATATCTGATCATCAGCCCAGGACTGTGGGCCCCGTGCAGCGGCAGCCCACAGGTGGAAGCAGAACCTTTTGCACGTCTACATGTATCTTTCCAGGAGGAAAGTGCAAAACGTTCATATTTCCTTTCTGTCCTACATTTCCTTTTCCTTTATGTGAGAATGTAAGCTTGACTTTTCTGTGAAGGGTTTGGCTTGGGGTGGGGGCTGGGAGGCAACATGGAATGGGGGTCTAGAAGGAGTTTGGAAAGCCAAGGGACAGCAAAGGGAAATCCACGTAGTCCAGAGAGTCGGTTTAGGAGGAGCTTTCAGAGATGCTTGATTGTCGTTATTGATTGTCAAATAACAAGTCCTCAGGATTGGAACCACGTTGTTGGGGATAAAACAGAAAAGGTACTTATTTTGTGGCCTTCTCTCCAGAAAATCTATACTATATGTACAGCAGTAGAACTCATATTCCATAAATATATACATCTAGCCCTAATTTATAAATTGGGAAATGGGGGCCAGAAAGAGTGACGTGGAGAAGGAGAGTGTGCGTGTCTAAAGGGACACAGTCCCACCAGCCACTCCCACATGTACAGGAAGAGGTGGACATGGGACAGGAGGCTAGGTTCAAGTCCTGGCTTTGCCTCCAGCTAGCTGTGACCTTGAATAAGGCATCTGACCTTTCTGGGTCTCTGTTTCCTCCTCTAGGAAGCAAGAGGGGATTTCATGCTCTCCAAGGTCCCTGCTCACCTTCTATAATTCTCCCATCTCAATTTCCTCCTGACCTTGAATCAAGGTCAGAGCTGCCAGGATGCTCTGAGGAGGCGAGAGGCTTTCGGAAGGCTTCTTGGAAAAGCTGTACTTAATGTATTCGTGCTTCCGCAACCACCCGAAGATGGAGAGACATCAAAAAAATTAAATAACTCTTTGCCTTTTATTTTAGACTTCTTAACTTAAAAAAGAAGATTTGCCTTAGGAATTTAAAAAACCCTTCCAGGAAGTTTTTGAACCTGCCCAGTGTTTCAGAACTCAGACATCTTCGGAAAGGAAGAGGTTTGGTCAACCTCATAACAGAAATGGGATAGAGATGAATGCATTGTTTCAGGGCTTGGAAGCAATAACCAAAAAAGAAAAAAGATCCAGTTACAAATGCTGAATTGATGACAATAGCCATCCATTTCTTTCCAGCCAGGCGAGACCAGTAAACACCTCCTGGTTTCAAAAGGCATGGACATTTTTATTAAGCAACGCTTGGACATGGAACTAGCTGGAGGCTGGATAGAACTGCCAGTTGCTTTTTATAATTATATTTCTTAAGAAGTGTGTGTCAACTGAAATTTTGTTTTTGTTTTTAGCTGAGGAAGATTCACCCTGAGCTAACATCTGCACCAATCTTCCTCTTTTTGGTATGTGGGTTGCCGCCACAGCACGGCCACCAATGAGTGGTGTAGGTCCATGCCCAGGAACCGAACCCAGACCGCTGAAGTGGAGCACGCTGAACTTAACCACTAGGCCATGGGGCTGGCCCTCGACTGAAGTTTTGTGAACCAGATGCTATTTTAATTGCTATCTAGAGGGAAATCTAAGTGAAAAACCCTTTAGTAAAGCAAATGATCATCACCAATTTTCCTGGTTCTGTAAATCATTGTTTTCCCAGGTCAGGACTACCTCCAGGTGCATCTAGAATCCCGGCTGATTAAATAAAGTCAGTCAGTTAATGTGGCATTTTTAGCACTGCCCCGGGGACACTCACCACCGCATCACTGTCATACAGCTCCACCACCACTAAAGGTGGGGACTCTGCCAGCTCCTTCTGGTCTCCATGCAGCACCAAGTCATTGAACAGCAGCATCTGGTTCCAGGTAGGGGAGAGGGTCTCGGAAATGATCTGGAAGGTGGGGCAGAAAGAAAAGCAAAAGATCCCGTGACTGGTGTAGGGACCTGAAATTGGCCACCCCAAGATATGTCTCTTTGGCATCAGGATTATTTGAGGCTGATTGCTTTTGATAAACTGGGACAGGGAAGGAGGCTCTGAGGAATGGAACTTGCCCTTTGTTAGGACACCTTTACATTTATAAGGTAAATCTCTATCTGTAAAAGGTGCCTCCCTCTCTGTACCAGGAAGAAGAAAGGAGATGACCTTCTCTCTAGAAACTCTTAATCAATACCAAGGCAAGGACTTAAAATCTGCATTTTATTGTGCTTCTTTGGTAACCTCCTGTAACTGACTTCCCTCCCCCTCCCAACGTTGGCACCTCCTTAAAGATTAAGCATCTTTCTTAGGGCTGGGAACTGATTGCAGCGCTCATCTGTGACCCCCCAGCCCGAGGCAACACACCTGCCACCCCGCGGCATTCATTGAGACAGCAGACCTATCTGCCGTTTCCATCAAAAGCTGTGCTGACAGAGCAGCCTCATGACTATTGTAAAAGGGATATTTCAATCACATGTGAAACACCCTGTTTGGGGGTATATAACCACTCTGTGTACCCCACTTCTTCAGTGCCCTTTCTTCCTTCGGGAAGAAAGACCCCGGGCCATGGTTCCTCATAAAGCTTTGTTTAATTTTCTCTTGCTATTCTGTCTCATGTGAATTTAATTCGTTCTCTGGCCAGATGAACCCACATTTGGGAAGAGGAAATGTCTTCCTCCCCTACACTGGGCTGTAGGGGCTCCAAGGTGCATTCATTCAACATTTACTTATGGAGGGCAAAGAGAACACATCCTCGTCATCACTGCTCACTCATTCAACATCCGAGCGATATTCTGCTATGTACTGGATGCTGGGGGATGCAGAGGTCCTGCACTGGAGGAGCTTACATAAGTTTCAAGAGCAGAGCTCCTGCAATGATTAACACCCTATTTGCATACATAATTTCAACTCAGTCCTCACAGTGGTGTTGTGATGATAAGACTAGCTAGCCTTTATTGCGTACTGACTATGTGCCAGCTGTTGCACTTTACATGCACCGTCTCATTTAAACTTCATAACAATTCTGGGCAGAGGATATAGTTATCTACTCACATTTTACAGACCAGGAAACCAAGGCTCACTTGTCCAGAGCCAGCAAGCAACAGAACTGGGATTCAATCTGAATCTTCTGGCACCCAAGCCCAGGCTGCTAACCTCAACCGCCCTCACCAAGTAGATGCTAACACTGTCTCCATTTTATGGAAGGGCAAACTGAGGATGGGGGGGCATCTAGTGATTCTTCACTTACAAGCAAATAAAATTTTGTCATTCAATACTCTAAAGTGAGGTTTGAATCTATTATTTCTTATTTCGAATTTTACTGTTTTGTGGATATTTATTTGACTGCATTGAACTGACCAGGGTCTTCAAAATAACTCTCACCATTTTGTACGACATTTTTCTTTCTACCATAGCAAACTGTGACATTGATAGTTGGCTGCACCCGTTATACAGATGGAGAAACCAAAGGACAAAGAAGGACAACAACCTGCATAATTGGTTCAGAACCATGAGTGTCTCCCTTAGAAGTGGTTCACAGCCCCCCTGCTGGGCCATGCAAGTGGTACCTTCAGAAGGGAGGGTGGAGCTGGGCTTGCATCCTCTACTTCATTGGATGTTTGGAAACATGCCAGTTTCACAGAGCTAAAGGCCGGGGTTGCTTCAGGATGGGTAGACTCTGCACCTGGGCAGAAACTGCCCCATTAATATGTGAGGCTAGTCCTGGAAAGAGGCCACTGTTATATTTCCTTCTCTCCCAGGCAGCGTAGACACATGAGCGATTTCACAGGTTAACAGACAACACAGTGGATGCTGGTAGCTGCCCCCTCACCGTTGACTGTTCACTCCAGGGGATCTGAGACAGATTTGGCCTGGACTAACTGCTTAGGCTCCAGACCCCAAATAAACTGTCAGCTCAGAGTTTTATACCAAGAGCCGTCACTAGTCACAGCATTAAATCATTTTCACTGTGGTCACGAAAGAACGTTTTATTGCTCTTCTTTATGTGAATCATAAAAAATATTGTGCTTTTCACAATTTCTTTCCTTTCCTGCTTTTTGGGGTTTTTGTTTTTTTTTTTTTGAGGAAGATTACCCTTGAGCTAACATCTGCTGCCAATCCTCCTCTTTTTGCTGAGGAAGACTGGCCCTGAGCTAACATCTGTGCCCATCTTCCTCTACCTTATATGTGGGACACCTGCCACAGCGTGGTTTGATAAGCAGTGGGTAGGTCCACGCCCAGAATCCGAACCAGCAAACCCCGGGCCGCCAAAGTGGAATATGCGAGCTTAACCGCTGCACCACCAGGCTGGCCCTGCTTTTAGAGTATTTTATGCCTCAGACACAGTGAGGTTTTTGACATAACATTTCAGAGAAAATCTTAACTTTTTAAACAAGAAAAGAACGGTTTCAACCAACCTATGAAGGGGAGTTATGGAGCTGCAGTGCCAAGTTACCCTGCGTTGATGACCGACATCGCAAAGAACCAGGTGTTCTTCCGTTGCTTTTAAAATAGAAATGTGATCTCTTTTGTAGCATGCACCCAACAGTGTGGCACCAAAGCAATTTTTGATGCTCACGGCATCTTTCCTATAGAGATATTTTAATGGCTTCCTTGGCACTGTGGGCCGTAAGTGCCACTTGATGAGATTCCAGAGGCCAGCATTCATTCATTCATTCATTCATTCATTCATTCAACACATGTTTATTCAGGACCCACAATGTCCCAGGCATGGCATTAGGCACTAACACAGCATCCTGTGAGCTTTTAATAAATGAGCAGGTGCTCAACAGTTACTTGCATGAATGAATGAGTGGGTATTGGCCTGTCCTCAGAGTTGTTCCCAAGAGTAAAAGGACCGTGCAGCCACCTTGAAGAGGTATTAAAACGTTCACCCAAACAAAAATACATTCTACTACTTTTCTACAAAGGTGCCCACACTAGCCTCATTTTTTCAGGGCTTCCTTAAGGAGTTATGCATTATAATCATGTTAAATGGCATTGCTTGGAGTCTCTAGTAACACTTAGCTGCCATTTTGAAGAAGGAGTGAGATTCCATGGTTGGGACATGGCTTTAGAATCAGAAACCCCTAGAATGGAACCCTAGTTTCATCCCCTGCCTTATGTCTAACTTGGGCAGATGATTTAACCTCTCTGAACCATAGTTTTACTCATTTCAATGGGGTTAGCACCTACCTTGTAGAATTGTTATGACCATTTTCTGAGATAAAGCATATTAAGTGTCTGGCACACAGCTGCTGCTTAATAAGTGCTTGTAGCGCCTCCCCTCCGCCCCCAACTCCACTCCACCCTGTGCACACTTTTTTACAAACAAGTAAACATTTACTGAAACCTACCATGTGCCAGTCTTGGTGCACTGGGGTACTTGTGTCTAACAGGAGACCGTCCATGTTCTCAGGACTCAGCATCAACATGACTGTGTGAAATCTCAGTTCCACATTCTCCATCCTTTAACAGCCTCCCCTTCTCCTCTAAGGCTCCCTCTGTGCCACTTAGTCCCTCTCCCATTCTATTGCCAAAGCCTTTCTCTTTGGGAGCTGTCTACCTTTTCCTTTATCCTTCCATTGCCAAAGGATCTCTAAGTCCCGCATCCTCAGTGATGTCTGGAACAACTGGGTTCTCCTTCTGAAATATTTCAGGCCATTAAGTCACTTTATAGGGGATTGGTTTGCAGGACAAGCCCTGCAGAGACTGCTCCCCCTGAGCTCCATGCGGTCAGTTCAGATGAGCGCTACCAGATGACCGGCAGAGCTCACCTATGACTGCAGGGGTTCCCAGGCTCAGCTTCCCCATCATGAAGAGTGTGAGAGGGGGGCATGTCACACACAGACCAGTCCCTCTGAGGCAGCACAACACTGAAACGGGAGAGGGAAACTGCAACACTTTCTTACCAAAATGGAAGCAGGGTAGTAGTTAAGCCAGGTGACTTTGGAATTGGACCAACCTGGGTATCCAACTTGGCTCCACCATCTTCTGCTTAAATCATCTCTAGGCCTGACCCTTCTCATCTGCAGAATGGGGACGCTAACAGCATCCACCCTTGGACTGCAGTGAGATGTAGCAAACAATGCATACTCAGTGCTTAGCATCATGCCTGGCACGTGGGGAGCTTTTAATAAATGACAGCTACTATTATTAACAAGAATTAGGTGCTTGGTTCAAAAGTATGGAGGCAAAGTCTAGGGCTCAACAGAGCCTGTTGTGCCTTTCAAATGATTCTTTGATAAACAACGTCACCTCTTCCTTTGAGATATGGGTCTAAATCAAATGAAGATACTGTATGGAGATACAAAATAGAAGGATAATCACATGGCAGCCCAGTGAGCTCGCTCAGCCCCCCGGCACACCCAGGGCCCTGAGATCACCTCTAAGGGCTGGAATTCCACAGCTGTGGCAGGCGGGGGAGGACCCCAGGGGTCCACCCTCCAGAATGCCCCTTGCTTCTGGTGGCCAGCCTCAGTGACAGTAATAACAAGCAGTCACATAGAAGCTGTTCTAAGCAAGGTGCTGTCCTGGGTGTTTTACCCTCTGGAGATATATGCAATACCATCATCCCTGTTTTACAGATGAAGAAATTGAGGACAAAGAGGGTTTTGCTGAGCATCACACAGCCAATAAACGGAGGAGCTTGGATTTGAACCTGGGCAATACAGCTCCAGAGTCCACCCTCCTAATCACCAAGCTAGGTTCTACCTCTCAAAGCAGGAAGGAGAAAGAAGCCTCGAGTCTTCTTGTTTTCATGCTCATTTACTAAGTGAGGATGGAGTCACTTTCCTTCTGAGATCTCGTTCAACTTCCCTCCTAGACAGAGATAATCCATCTGAGCCCTCCACGTGCCTCTGGGAGGCCCATCACTATGGGGTCTATCACAGCATAGCTAACTGTCTGTCCAGACGACAGCCTACCTCCACACCCAGATCATACGTGATGCAGGGGCAGGGGCTGGTCCCCACCTCCCCCTGTTCCCTGGAACCCAGCAGGTGCTGGAGAGATGGACCAGATACTGGTTCACATTATCATCTTGGTCTACATGTCACAAATCAAAACGTAATCTCCCAGGTCACGGGCGTCACTTTGGAGAGAAATGTCAGCCCTCATCACATGAGCCAATGTATTGGCCACGATTCATCGATCACCCTATACATTTAACTTTTCACTTCTTCACAACAGCCCTATCTTAAGATGACAGACTGAGGTTTAGTGAGTAAATGCAGCTAGAAAGTGGATGAGCTAGAACGGAACCTCAGGTTTCTTTGTGTCCTCTTTGTCTGAACTCTCAGAGACAGGCAAATCCTCTCCTGAGCTTCCCTCTCGGAACAGCGAATCCTCAGAGAACAGCGTAAATCCTTAGAGAACACGATCTAATGAGAACGGCAGCCTCAGGGACTTTTGCTAATTAGGAGCCCTTTTCACATTTCAGCACTCAGGGTGCAGGAAAGGGAGAAAGCACAGAGGAAACGGGTATAGCTCCGTCTCCATTAATCCCACAACATCTATTAGGAATAGTATTTTCCAGTGGGAGACACTGAATTACAGAGGTGTTGAAAGTGTGCAAAGTCCCCCAGCTGTGACAGTGCAAAGTCTAGGACTTTCTGACCACAAAGCTGGAAAACTTTCCTCCCCACGAAGCCCCCTCAGTAAAGATGGCATCCTCAGCCTCATGCGGGCTGTCTGTGTGCTGTTGTGTCGTTCATTCCTTCCCCATTGAACACGGCCCTGTGCCCAGCACTGCCGCAGGCGTTCTAGGAGCCAGGTTCTGCTTTTCCTCCTCATCTCTCTTTCCCTCCCACTCTTCTTGATCTCGGGTGCTTGCTCTCTTGGCTTCAGGACAATGGATCACAGTGGAACAACAGACCTTCCCCGTGTCGGTCCTTCCTTGCACACGTGCTTTTGAGTCTGAAACACCTACACACCCAGAGACAGCTATTTGCAACAAGCCCCTATTCTTTCCTTCTGGGCTGTGCTGAGGATCAGCTGTGAGCTGCAGGAAGATGGCGGATGGGCTTCCCCGGTTACCTTCGTGGTCTGGCAGTGGGAAAGGAACGTGACCTTGGCAAAGGGGTCTGAAAGTCCGTTGCTGTCAGCCGCGATGAGGCCCCGGGCTTGGTACATGTGCGCTCTCAGCTGGAAGACGTGCCGGTCTGTGGATGGATATGGAGAGGGACAGGCGTTAGCGGGCTGTTCCAGAACAGTGTGTGAATGGGTGTCTGTGGGCGATGTGCGTCTGCAGGCGTATCCAGAGACAGACAAGGAAAGCATGGCACCGCCACCTCCGAGCCTGAGATGGCAGCGGGGGAGAAGGCGGAGAGGTCACATTGATGGGAGTTTCGGGGCCAGGCAGTCTCCTTGTGCTTTCACCACATTGTGGATTTTTAATCTTCCTAACAACCCTGTGAAACAGACATAATTATCTCCATTTTCTAGACGAGGGAAATGGCTCACAAAAAGGCTAAAATACTTTTCCAAGTTTGCAGAGCTAACCAATGCCAGAGCCTGGATTTCATTTCTGTCAGGTGCCAAAATCACCTTCTCTTTCTAAAATACCACATTTAACTTCCTAGTAATTCTCTGTTTCTGCTGGCATGAGTGTGTGTGTGTTCATGGGTGAAAGGGGCTGCTCCACAAATAGTTTTTGCTTCAATAAATTCAATAGAAGCTTGAATCATTTATGCATCCATACATCCATTCAGCCAGCCAATGTCATTTTGAGCTCCAGCTGTGTACCAGATACAGTTCTGGTCTCTAAGGATTCTGAAGTAGCTGAGACAGCCCCCTGCCTTGGGGAGGGCCAGGGAGAGGGCAGAAGATAAGACAAGCATCTTAATCACAGAGCTAAGTGTCCTGTGAGAGATACAGGCAGAGGAGATGGGGAGTTGAAGGCAAGAGCGAGCACATCTGTTTGATGGGCTGGGACGCAGAGAGAGGGCCGCTGGTGGAGGCAGACCAGGATTCAGTGGGGGAATCCCAAGACAGAGCTGAGTTAATCATATTCCTTTATTCGTTGGCTCATGGGACTTTATGAACAAGGCCCCTCTTGTTTGTCCTATTGACTTGTTCCCCGTTACCCCTTTACTCATCCCCATTCCTTGTCTCTCCCAAAGGTGACTATTGTACCATGTTTAGTGTATCCGTGTTTTTGTGTTGACATGGGACTGGGATACAGGAACTCTTGCACACCAACTTGACTAGCTCTACTCAGTTCAATTAAGGGTACAAATACCCTGTGCCCCGCCGCAATGCCACTCATAGGCTTATAGCACCCAGGTCCATATGAGGACTCATACAAGTTCCTAACCCTCTCTGTGCCTTTGTTTCCTCATCTGTAAAATGGAGGTAATAATAGTTCCTCGTAGGGGATTGTAGGGGATTGAAGGACTAAGACGGGTGCCTGATACATGGGAAGAACTTTAAAAGTGGTGTGAAGATGCTGGTGTGGCTGTCACTATTGCTCATTACAATGTGGCCTGTAATGGTGGACAGCTGGGGGCAACCTGGGTGTCCCTCAGGGAGTGGACAGGAAGAACATTAGGGAACTTGGTATAGCAGTTAGAAGCAATGGATTAGAGGTATACAGAGCAAAATAGGTGGCTCTCAACAATACAGAGCTTAATAGAAAAGGACAAAACAGCATGAGATACATAACAATACTACTTATGTAAAACGAAAATACGTGCGCACAAAAGGAAAATTCACATTCGCCAAAGCACGTTCAAATAAAAAGGGGCAGACTCTAGGGGAGGTGGTACTGCCCTTTGAGCAGAGCCCTAAAGGGTGGCAGCATTTGACAAGCAGCAATGGGGTGAGCAGGGCTGTGGAGAGCTCTCCAAGTGGCTGGAGCGGGGTAAGTAAAGATGAGGACAAAAATGCCAGGCCACGTAGGGGACAGGATGAGTCTAGTTTGGCCAAAGTATGAGGTCCCAGAAAGTTGTGGTCACATTGCCGTGGGTCTTTGAGGCCTGAATTGAACAGGTAATGGGGACCTCTTGAAGGTCTGTGCCCAGGAGCCGATGATATTCGAGCAAAGCTTCAGGGGAATGAAACTGTGAGTCAAGCATGCAACAGACAGAAGAGATGCTGCAGGAGGATCAAGAAGAAGACCACACTGTCCATCCAGGTGGGAAGTTTTAGGGCCAGATCCCATGCAGTGGTGGAAGAAATTGAAATGAGGAGGGGAAGAGAGAGACATTGCGGCCGTGGGTGCTACAGGACTTGGCTCCTGACCGGCAGGGCGAGCAGGGGCAGTGAAGGAAGCGGGTGCCAAAGATAGCTCCTTACTTGACTGTCTGTCATCATGCCTGCACATGTTTCCATCCTTCTACCCCGTGCCACTGTCTGCCTACATGGGGACCAATGTGGAGCCTGAGAATGCAGCAACCACAACAGTTCCCATTCTGAGCCTGCAAAGGATTTAAAAACTTGAAATCTGCACACTCCTGAATTAAGTCCAGCTGCTTCAAGCACAAAGTGCTTAAAGCTCTGATCAAGTAGGGGAGCCAGAGAAGTGATTCTTCAGCCTCAATTCCAAGTCCTCCCCCATCCTCACCTCCACGTACACCAAAAACACCCTGAAGTGGACAGACTGGGACTTGCTGACAAGAGAGAGCCTTAATATGGCGACCACAAACAATGGACTGTTCAGTAGAAGGTTTAGGAATTTCTTGACGGAGTCTATGTCTAGAGAGAGCCCACATGTTCCTTAACATGCGGTTTAGTTTGGGAAATTCCGCAGCTGGGAGTGAACTTGGGCATGGCTCATCCCCTGAGAACCAGCTGCCCCTGAATTGACCAATCCCAGAATTTTAGCAGAGGTCCCAATTGCAGACACACAGGCGGTATGCTGCACAACTCCAGGGGGCGCTATTTACTTAGTCTAAATTTTTGATTTTCTGAAACCTAGAGTCTTACCAGCTCTGTTCCTTAGACTAATCAAGTCAGCTTCCTCTTTACTCTCACACTTTCGTGGCCGGTCATTTGTGGTAAGGCTCACTTTGCACTTGTGGTTATTAGAGACATGTCTAGTTGCCCCCACTTGAGGGCCGGATCACCTCTCACTCAACTCCACATCCCCCGCTAGTCTTCCCACTGTACCTGCCATATGTAGGTGCAAAATAATTATTGGTTGAATGGAGATTTTCTGAAGCACAAAATGACTGAAGAAGCAAAATTCTCCAGTAGGTGTGGAAGGCAGCCAAAGCCATCAGTGTCAGCGCACAGCGGAGGAAGTTTATTAGGTCACTGCATGAAAACAACATGCTGCAGAGGATCAGAGAGCTTTGGAAAGAGTCTTTGCTCTCCTCTGAATTGTTAGTAGCTGGGACAGCAAATACATCCGTGGACCTTAGGTCTCTAGAGACAGTGTCTACAGAAATACAAAGATAACTTGATGTGGGTATTTTTCATCCAAAGATGAAACTCTCTAAAGACAGGATGGAAAGCAGTGGAGATAAAGCAGGGTCTGGAGATGGTTTGCTCCATCATTTACTAACTGTGTGATCTTGGGCAGTTTCTAAGCATCTCTGATACATCCTTTCTCCATCTATAAAATGAAGAAGCCACCCAGGTTGATGTGAGAAATAAATCTTATGTATAGAATATAGGGCACAATGCTCGGCACATGGGGGGCTATGCATTTTCTAAAAAGACAAGGCTGAGCTTTCCTTGCTCTTATGCATTGACCTTGGGCATATCAACCATGAGCTGCGCCATTGGATAAACATCTCTAGAACCTTGTTTTTTCTAACCATTGAGCCAGTTAGATTCCACGGGCAGTCAAGGTCAACCAACATCCCAGGAGCCTTGTGCAACACAGGAAACCTGGGTGTGTAAGCAGTTATTCAGTGTTTCCAATACACTCAATTCAAAACTCAACTTCAGACAAAGTAAAGGTAATCTGCAGTCTACTCTGTCTGAATTCAGCAGCAGGAGATCCTGCAAATTGAAGCCACTTGGAAACAGAAAGCAAAATGCAACTGTAACGCATTACTACATATAATAAAAATCAGAATTATATGAAAATATAAACACGATGGCCCTCATCGAAAACATCTACATAGGAGAAAGGATTACATAAAGTATGTTGAATTTCTAAAAGCAGCCAGGTCAAGAAGCAAGCTAGAGAAACATGAGTGACCTCAATGCTACCAGTTTCCTTTGGGTCATTACCAGGAAAGGTAACTGCCTGCTGTTTATGGGTCAAAACCCCAAAAGCCATGTAAAAGGAAAACCTGCTTTAATTTCAGAGGTCATTTCAGCACAAGAACTTACTGATGTTTCTTTAAAAGACATCTTTTGCTAAAAATGCAAACTTAACCTACATAGTCTGCCTACAAAGAAACTCAAATTGTTCTCTTTCCATTAACAGAAAAATACGAATTTTTATTCCAGGTGTGTTTAATGACTTCACTTTATTCTTTTTAGATAGGACATCGGAAGATAAGGAAGAAAATTTAGAAACTATATTCAAAGAAAGCAAATAAGTTGATCCTAAAATGATGTGCAAACAATTCACACATGTCACCCTCCTCACTGTTTTCTCAGAAGCCAATGACCCTCTTTGCCCAGTGGGCATCATACCTTGGTAGAGCAGGTTGGCTGGGGGTTGATTGGCACCAGCCACTTTGGAGGACATTTCTGCTTCGTAGCCTGCTGGCAAGTTGTCCAAAATGGCACTTGAGTGTTTGGTGGAGCCCAGCCAGAGGTATACATCGACTTTTGCTTGCACTGACCAACCAGCCGGCCGTTTTCCAGGAAGCTGGGGAAGGGTTACAAGGAAGACCACCTCATTAGTAGGAGTGATTATGGGCCTCACTCTTTGAGACAAGAGGTCCTTCCTGGGGACACACCTGGGAGTGTGTTCAGAGAGTGGTTCTCAGGAGCTTACCTTATACTAAAATGAGAGCAATGACGCCAGTTGCCACGATGCACAATTCCAGAGGCAGATCCAGGGTAAGTGGGGCCTGAATCTTAAACAGGCACTGTGCTAAGCACTTCTGAGCCCTGGATCATTTAACCCTAACAGGTAGGTATGGTTATGGGCCCTGTTTTATAGATGAGGAAACTCAGGCTCAGAGAGGTTAAATAAGTTCCCTATGATCATTCAGCTTTTAAGTGACGGAGTCAGGACTTGAACTCAGGAGAGATGATTCTCAGTCTAGACTTTGGACTCTGAACCCCCACAGCTTGCCTCTTCCCGCACTGAGTTGAAATCTCCCTTCCCAGAACTTCCAACTGCCTGGAGTTCCAGCCACAGCCTCTACCTCATTGCTTCACTCAGAAGAATTCAAATGCTTCTTCCACAGGTCGGGCCCTCAGGAGCTTGAAGGAACCTACGTGCCCTGCCATGTTCTTTCTTCCTAACTAAACATCTCTAGCTCCCTCACCCATTCCTCATGCAGCGTGTTGCAAATTCCCTTACTACCCTGCATTCTCTCCTTTAATGTACTTGGATTTGTATCGAGGTTTTTGCTTGTTCGAATTTGTGTGTTTACGTGTATTAGTGTGTGTGGTGTATGTGCACATGCATATGTATGTGTGTGGGTGCACGTGTTCTCAAGGTGTTAAGGACACAACTCAGTGCAGCGTGGTTCCTTTATTTCTCCACCACCAGAATTAAGGGAACTCTTGCTCCCATCCAAGGAGTCCCAGGGCCCAGACTTGGCTGCGTTCAGGGTTGCTAGCAAGGCCTTCATTCTGAGAGTGGCTACCTCTCCAGATTTTGTTGACTCTTTTAAGTGCCTCTTCTTAGCGTTTCTTAGCATTTCTTACCAGTATTTTCCCCTCTCTTCTGCACCACCTCTTTTCCAGAGAGAATCACAAAATCCTACTGCAAGAGGCTACAGCTTGCTCTGACAATTTCCAAGGCACCCACGGAGAGCCCCTGAACCAAAATTAAGCACAGCTGTTCACCTTTCCATCTTGCGTTGTGGGTTCGCTAAATGGATTTTGAGCAACTCAATTCAGCAGCTACAACAAGTGTCGCTAGGCCTTGCTGAGGGGGTGGGGCCAGGAGGGCTTCACAAGGACCAAGTCACAGACCCAGCCCCGCATCCAAGAGCTCACGTCTAGACGAGGAAGCTGACTTGCATTCACTTACTCGCATGCAAAGTCAAGCGGAAGAGAGAAAATGCTGAGGGGGAAGAGAAGTAACAGCAGGTATTTCCATCTTTTCTTGAAGATTCAAATATTTAGCTGGGCTTTGATCGGTACTCTGGAGTTGGACCAGCAGAGAAGGCATCCCAGGAACAGGGCAGTGTGTGGACAAAGATACAGGGGCAGCAAGAGTGGTTAAATGGGTTAACGTTTACTGAGTGCTTACTCTGTGCCAGCAACGGATGTGCTAAGAGCTTTCAGAAAAGAAAGAGCTGGGGCAGAGACTGACGCCGAGGGGGCTGAAGAATCCTGCCGTTCTGTGGAGGAGTCTGGATTGTATTCTTTGGGGAGTGGAATGCCATTACTTATTCAGCATTAAAAAGAAAAAGTTCATTTTATTGTTGGTAAAAACAACCACTCTGCAACTCAGAATTTTTAAAACTATGGCAAGACAAATAATCCTCAATTCATCACTTCTATAATGATAATAATAAGAGCTAAAATGCATTTAGCACTTGTTCCATAAAACAAACGTTTGTTGAAAGCCTAAGTTATTTTGTTGTAATAAAAGCAATCCCTCTGCCATTTGTAGACATCACCAGGACACCAATTCACAAAGGCCGGGATTTTTATGTCTGTTCACAGTGATGCCCCCAATACCTAAAAAAGCCCTTGGCACCCAGGAAGAACTCGGTAAATACTTGTCAAATTATGTATTTATTTTTCTAATAATAATATTTTACACATGGTGAGCACTGCATTGTCCCAGGCTCTGCCCTCATGTTCCTCCCTCACACAGAATGTCCTGTTGCTTGCATACTATTAACAACGGGGCCTGCCCTGTGGCTGAGGAGTTAAGTTCGTGAACTCCACTTCAGCAGCCCGGGGTTCGCCAGTTCAGATCCTGGGCATGGACCTACGCACCGCTCATCAAGCCATGCTGTGGTGGCAGCCCATGTAGAAGAACTAGAATGACCTACAACTAGGATATACAACTATGTACTGGGGCTTTGGGGAGAAAAAAATAAAAAGAGGAAGATTGGCAACAGATGTTAGCTCAGGGTCAATCTTCCTAAAAAAATAAAACAAAGACAAAAACTGCATTGTATCTCTAAAAAAAAAAGCAAGCCACAGGCTATCATTCATCTTCATGATGACTATAAAATAAATACTTTTATTATGTGCATTTTAAAGATGAAGCAAAGGAGGTTCAGAGAGGTTAAGCAATAGTCCAACATCACAGAGCGAGGCAGGGATAGAGCCAAGACTCAACCCTGCTCACCCTGGCTCCAGAGCCCAGACTCTTAGCCAGCGCTCCTCACACACTGATGTGTGTGTCAGTGCATGTGAACGGCCTGGGCATCTGGTTAAAATGTAAATTCTGACTCAATAGGTCTGGGGTAGAGTTTGAGATTCTGCCTTTCTCCCTGTTGGTGCTGATCCTGCTGGTCTGCGGACCACAGTTTTAAGAACTGAAGTAGCGAAACTTAACTAACGATGCTGCATTGTCCCAAGCAGATCTGATATCCTTTGCTTCTTAAAGTAAAGCAAAAACAAAAACAACAACAAAAAACATCATTCATTTCTACTGCTATGAAAACAACATGGGTGTGTGAATTGATGGTTAGAACCAAAAACTCAGCTAACATCTTGTGACAATGTTATATGAGGACACTGCTATAATCCTGAGTTTGCAGCTTACACATCTTTTTAAAAACACACAAACTGAAACTGCTTGCAAGACAACACAGAGCCTCTCACTCAAGTGTCCATGTTGGAACTCACACGGCATTATTGAGCACCTTGCTAGGTGCTTTCAGAAACAGCATCCCATTTTTAGTTTCACTTGCACTTCCAGCCTGGGTGTGTCTTCCCCTGCCTCCTTCTCTTCCCCATTCTCCTGTCTTTCTCATGTACTCCTCAAATCTGACCAACCACAGCAACTTCTTTCCTTTTGAGAGTAGCATGGTAAGGTAGGAAAAAATAATAATAATAATTAAAGAATGCAAAAGTGCATCAAAAATCTATGATCATCAAAGTATAAAAATTGTCTGAGACAAAATGCTACAGTCTTAGCGTCTCTCATGCCCCATCCACCCCCCTCCAGGGTCCTCAGGAATGCCAGCTGGCTTAGAAGGAAGAGGAAATCTTGGCAAACCATAAAAAGGAGAGAAAGGTAATTCACACAAATTGTGCTGAAGTTGGTCAATCAATATTAGTCAGAGGAAGGGTTGTTTGCTTCGTGGAGGTTTCATTTTGTGGCAAGACCCAGAAGGGTGTCTTTCAGCCACCACTTTCTACTGCATCCGAGGGAAAGCTGGATGGAAAACTGGAGGTTGGAGAATAAGAGACTAGACTCCGGTGTGGAGCAGAGGATAGGATAGAGGTGGAGACGAGACTGAGAAGGGGCCTCTGGAGTCTACAGGGGCAGACTTGGCACAGAGAGGTGACTCAAGCAGAAAAGAAAAGGAAGATCAAGCACCACCCTCTGTCTGGGCTCTAAGTGCACCCAGCTCCTCCCACAGGATGAGTTTCTCTTTGGTAATGAACATGCTGTTCCCCACTTCGGCCACTAGGGAAAGGGGATGAGACTGAAAAGGGAGAACTCTTGCTTTTTTGGCTGGTCAATTAGGTCTAATTTCGTTCCAGCATTTTTAGTAGCATTACCAATAGATTTAAATTAGAGAAAAAGAAAAATCATGGAACCAGGGACCATGAAACCCTGCTTGCAGTTATAGATTTACTGTTACGTAACCATGTGACTTCAGATGAGGCCCCCTTGTTTCTTCTAGATTAATATGCCCCAAATGGGACCCCCAGAAACAGTAGTTTCCTAAAATTTGTAAATAGGTATGCTAGATGATTATGGTTGTCAAATGTGGGTTGTAAAAGTTAAAGCTGTTTCTAGAGCCTTCTACTGGTAAACGAGCACTGAGAAACTCCAAGAGAGGGAGACCACGGCAACCTCCCAAACGTGTGAACATGGGATGCTTATGGAGGCACTCAAAGGACAGATGTCCCGTAGAATAAGCTTCGAGAAGAGTCTTGCCTAGAGATTTATAGATTTACATTCTATGCTTTGTCTTATTGCACTTCCTAATTCCCAGATACAAAATCAGAGTGGATGGCAGGTGTGTGAACACTCTGTCCCCCTGGTACAGCTCGTACTTATTCAGACTTAGCAATTCAGTGAGGAGCAGGGGTCAGAGAGGGAGGCGGAAGGAGCAAGTGGCAATCAAAGGTGACACATCACAACAGAAATGAAAATGGTTTTGCTAAATCATCTCAGCAAGACCTTTCATCGTGTCGGTTCAATTGAATTCAACACAATTCAGAAGGCTGTCACACAAAGCAGTCCCAGTGGCAAAAGGAAATTCAGATACAGAAGTAAACCCAGACCTCGGGGCAAAGGTTCTGCACTCCCAGTTATGTCCACCCTTTGGCTGTATTTGACACCCGCTCTTTGTCCTAATTTTAAATAATGCCAGGATACATCAAAATATTTAGGAGGGAGTAACTTGACACTGATTTTCTCGTATTTTTAGCACAAGGCCTTCTGAAATGATTCACTATTTTTAAGTATTTCTTGCAACCCCAGAATTCTTTAGATGGAGAAAGTTAAAGAAAAACTCTGATATTTGTGACGAGTAACTTGGGTGAAAATTTCTTTTTTCAGTTACAGTTTTACAGGGGTGGGTTTAAAAATCATTTTACACAAGTGACAGAAAATAACAAAGAGAATCACATACAGAAGGGAGCACACAATTCCAGAAACATCCTCTAGATGTTGGATGTCCGTTTGTTTGAACGCCAGCATTTGTTGAATGATGACCCTGGATGATGTACACTGCATGTTCTTTACATGCATTTGTCCAATTAATCCTCAACACCATCTCCATTTGACGGATGAAGAATCGTAGACATAGAGATATTAAGTAACTTGCCCAATGTCATACAGCTCATAAATATTAGGTTAAATTGTATTCCTCAAAAATTCTTATGCTGAAGTCCTAACCCCCAGTACCTTAGAATATGACCTTATTTGACAATAGGGTCACTGCAAAGATAGCTAACACGAGGTTAAACTGGAGCAGGGTTCTCATAAAAGGATACGATGTGAAGAGAGACTCCCACACAGGGAGAACATCCTGTCAAGACTGGAGTTATGCTGCCACAAGGAACTATCAGAAGCTAGAAAAGGCGCTTCCTTGGCATCTTCAAGAGGGAGCATGGCCCTGCCAACACCTTAATCTCAGACTTCCAGTCTTCAGAACGATGAAATACTAAATTTCTGCTGTTTAAGCCACTCAGGGGTACTTCGTTACAGCAGTCTTAGTAAACTATTACAACCCAGATTCACTTTATTTCAAAGCCCATGCATTAAACCATTACTCCACGTTGCCTCTTCTGTCTGCAACATTTGACCATCACATCTATAGTAGACTCTAGCAATTGGATGGCACTCAGAAGCCATCTCGTCTAGCTGCCCACTGCCATATTTACAACAAGGGGACAAGGAGCACATTATGGACCTCCATTTAGGGAACTATTTCCCTGTAATGGCTATCGTGAGGCCTGGTTCTATCCCCTGGAAACAAACACAAACACTCTCAACCCATGATCCATGTGGTAGCCCTACAAACACTTAAAATCTCTATCATGACATCAAATCTCTTCTCAGTGAAACATTGCTATGTCTTCACCCCTTCCTCGTATGGCATGGTTTCAAACCTTCACCTCCTCCTTCTGAGGCAGTAGAAAAATAACTATGTTACAGCAAGAAATCAGAACCGAAACTGGCAGAGCAGTCTACTATGGGTTGGGAAAAGTTAAATCGGTCAAAGCACACACTCTAGCTGTCAGTCATTGGTGAGTGTTAATTAAGCTTTTGGACTGCTTTTTCTCCATATTTGCACAAGTCTACTTCTTGGAAAGAAATTTCTTCATCATAGAGGTAAAATGCCCAGGGTCTCCAAGAAAGGCTCAAATCTTGAATTAGAGACAGCAGAATCCATCCAGAGATGGTGCCTGAGTAGCCACTCATGAGGCATCAGGGGACCATGTCTCCAGGAAGGATGCAAAGACTCAAGTTGAAAAGACTCATATTCACAATTTAAAAGTCACCAGGACTTTTATATTCCATAGAATTAGCAGTTTTATGGAATATAAAACTCTCCTCTTGTAATTTTCTTGAAATCTATCTTTAAAATATAGATAAATTCATGTGAAAAGATGCCATGGACAAATTTCACTTGAGAAAATGTACAGAGGAAACTAATGGAAAAATGTCCATTCTTCCTAGTAATCAAAGAAGTAATAATTAAAGTAACCTTGAGGTGCTCCTACTAGGTTAAAAGAAAATCTTACATGTCAGGTGACATAGTAATTAGAAAACTGGAAAATATTCAGCCTTGAGAAAGTCTATGAATCACAATTTGATTCAAGAAGGGCAAGGTGTTCCAGCTGTCTTCAGATCTTTGAAAGTTTTGAGGAAGAGTCTGTGATATGGACACACACTAGGAACGCTGAGCAACTCAGGAGGAAAGAGAATTTTTGAGTCAAAAATAGTGCAGACTTACTTTGAGGAAATGAGTTTTGATCATCCCGCAGTGTTTGCCCATCTGCTCCCTGGCGGGGGAATAGAGCAGGTCTTTGGACGGGATGCGGGCATAGGCCACTTTCTTGTTGTTGCTGAGCATCCAGATGAAGACATCGGGGATGGTGTGCTGTGGCTGTGGGAACAGAGGGGAATGGATTTGATAGGTTGGTGTTTAACAAGGGCACTTCCAGTGATCTCCTATCCTAAAACAGCCCCCCTTCTGCAAAACTAATTCTAGGGCTTAAACCCTCTGGGTACTTAAACATCTATGCAATCAAGCAAGTGTAGCTTCTTTGAGAAAGCCTTCGGTCATGAATTACAAGTACCTATAAACCCCATATGCCAAACTCTTATTGTGCTTTGAGGATATGCAAGTTGGATTCACGATTTGGCATCTTTGATGGCCTACTTTTCTCCATCTGTAGAACAAACATTTTTCTACACCTTCCCATAGATTTTCCTTTTCTTCTTTTTTTTGCAATCTTGTAATAATGATTTAGCCTTGAGCATTGGCCCTCCTAAGAGCTAGGTAACATTTCCAGAATATTGAAATAAAAAACCAAAAATTCATGAATATCTTTCCATTTGCTCTTAAGGAAGGAAAAACAATTCTGCAAGGGACTTTATACCTAAAATATGATTGCCAAGTATTTTAGCTCCATTTTAGGTGGTTATTCAGGAGAAACGACTAAATTGCTCAGAAAATTAGACTTTAAAGTTGAGCTAATCAAGACAGGAATTGCAGAATCTCCTGCCAGGAGGCCCATTATGCTGTGAGTGTTTGAAATGCACATTTCTGAGCCAACACAGCCACCAAAACAAAAGGGAGGTATATTGTTATAAACTAGGCTTTGGCATTCCCGGCTGGAAGCAGATCTCTGCCTTTCTAACCCCATAACCCTCTGGTGAAATTGCTACCCAAAGAGGGCATCCCTTCTCCCTTGATATGGAAACACAGCTATCATGTGGAGGTTTTCCGGGCCACAGAGCTGGTCAGTCAGAGACCTGAGGCCCCAGTTCCTGGCCTGAACCTTCTGGGTGCTTATTGAAACTCTTGCGTCTACTAAAGTGACTGCTTGTCTCATTCTTTATTAGGCCTTCAGGGAATGATGGATTTGCAACAAGAAATACAACTTTTGAGAACAGAAGCGGTAAATCTGTACCTCTCTGAAAACTTCCCACATGAAACTCGGTTTCTGACAGAAACAGATAGGAGGGCCGTTTTAGAGCATTCTAGAAGTCACCAGAGAGGCTGTTTACAAGCAAATTTAAAATGAGAAGCTGTTTTGACTTTTACTGGACGTGAGTTTAAATCTTCTTAAGTTGCAAACTTACCAAGCTTCCCGTGCTTATTTTGATTTTTCTTGAGTCCATTAGGGAACATGCTTTTTATTTCTGCTGAATACTTGGGCTTTGCAAACCAAATCTGTACATTTGCATCTTAATTTTAAAATCTCCTTTATCACCCCTAAACTAATAGTGTCTGCTCAGCTCAGTAGAGTTTGGGAGAAAACACTGCTCCTCTTTCATCCTTATCAAACATTCACACCTCACTGGGAAGACATTCAGTCTAATCTTCCAAATTGAGTTTTGCCTTGAGAGTTGATTACCTCATCAACAAGAAAGCGGATTTTTTCCACCAAGTTTTGGGCTTCCTGGATCATTTCATCAAGAGATAACTTTTTCTTCTGCTGCTGGATGATCTCCTTGGCCTCCTTGACCATCACGTCCTAAAATAAGACAAGAGTCAGCATAGATCTTTCTAGAAATCTGGACAACGAGCACTGTCCTGTTGCTGGAGAATCATGCAGGTACTTTTAAGTTCCACAAGGAGCCACTCATGAGGGCTGCTTCAGGGTCTGCCAGCGCACACTGCCTGTTGAAGAGAAATTTCGTAGGAATACGGAGGCGGTGAATATCTTCTCATGGTTGTTTGGCAGACGAGAAGCTGAGGCCCAGAAAAGTCACAGGTTTGTCAAGCTCCCATAGCTCTGTTAGGCAGGACCTAAATCTAGGCTTTCTAATACTTAACAACAACAGCAACAATCACAATAATAACAGCTGAAAAGGAACGAGCTCTTCCTCTGTCCAGGTGATGTTCTAACTGCTGTATTAATCCTCATAACTCCTCATAGCAACCTTACGGGGTAGGTGTTATTATTCCTGTTGTACAGTTGAGGAAACAGAGTAATAAGCTACCGAGAGGCAGAGCTGGAGGTGACCGCCAGCTGAGTCCAGAGTCCATGTCCTCGATCACTGCTCTCGCCACCTCTTCCTAGGGGCATGGTGGGTGCTTCCAGACCAAGTCGGCATCATGTGGGAAACACCACCAGGGGGCTCAGTGTGCGTGTTTGGAAGATCCAAAAGTGTTTATTTTGATTCACTCATTCAGCTCACATTTATGCGCTTAGGAAAAAGACCCAAACCCTTTGCGGTGCTTTCTAAGGCCCTGTGTGAGTTGGCCCTGCCTGCTCTGTCTCATCTCATGGTGCTTTCCTCACTGTGCCCCAGGCACACGGCTCCTCAGGAGGGCCTAAAAGATACCAAGCTCGGTCCATCCTCAAGACTGGTGTGCTTCCATTTCCTCTTGCTCAAATGTTCTTCCTGGACTCTGCGTGGCTGGCTTCCTCAACTAAATGTCACCACTGCCTTGCATCCCCCCACATTTTCCTGATTGCCATGACCTTTTAAAGTTTCCTTCCTAATCATAATCTGTAATCACTTTTATTTACTTGTTGTTTACCTGTCTCTCTTCTGTTTTCTCCACTAAAACGTGAACTTCACGAGCCAGGAACCTCCTCTGTTGTTCTTACCTTTTATTATCGGTGTCTGACAGAGTTCCTGGCACGTAGCAGGTGTTAAATAAATGTTTATGGAATGAACAAACCAGTCAATCAATAAATCCCTTGATGACAAGCACCAAGTACTCACAGCTTTGTTTTCCCGGCACCAAGCACAGGGCCTGGCACATTGAAAGCCTTCTGTACCTGTTGATTGGAAGAACTGAATGCCTGCTCTGTACCAGGCACTATTCTAGGAACCAAGGTCTGGGGCGGGGGAAGACCCATGCTTCCTTCCTCTGAGACTTGGACAATTTGGTGGGGTGAAAGCAATATATGCAAATAACTAAAATGTGTGGAACATCATGAGAGCAGAGAGGGGCAAAGCTAGGTTTTATGGATGATATGACATTTGAGCTGAGTCTTAAAAAATGAATACAATTCATCAGGTGACAAGAAGAAAAAGGACAGTCCAGACAGACGGAACAATTACATGTGAAGGCACGTAATCAGTGAGAATTCAAAATTGTTGGAGCATAAAATATCTAAGAAGGGATTAAGTGGAGGTGAGGCTGGGATGCTAGTTTGGAGTGAGATGATGAGCGTCCCTGTATATCATGCAAAAGGAATTTAGATTTTACCCTATGAATGACTGAGAGACTCCAGTGAATTCTGAAGCAATGGTGATCTAATCAGGTTTGTGTTTTAGAAAGACGGTTCTGGTCGTAGTCTAGAAGATGGATTGGAGGAAGACTACCGCAATAGTCTAGCCGGAGATGCCAAGGCACTCGTTTAGGCAGTGGTTCTGGGGATGAAGTGGAGTAAGTTCCAGAGTCTTTAAGGAGCAGAATCAACAGGGCCTGGGGTGGAACTGACTATTCAGGGTGAGGGATAAGGATTTAAAGTCAATTCTTAGGCTTCTGGTTGAAGCAACGAGTGTAGCTGGTGGTGCCAAAATGGGATGCGGAACAAGTTTAGGTGGGAAGATGCTGGGTTGAGTGAGCTATGTTGAGTTTGAGGTGCCCTGACACAAGCAGCTTACATGTCCATGAGGAGGCTGGACATACAGGTCTGGAGATAAGGAGGTAGAGCTGGGACATTACAAAGATTTTGAAATTGTGGGCTTGTTTAGGCCCAGGACTGTCGGACATGGAGAGGACAATACAATTCTGTGGGCAGTATGTCGTGGAGGGACACCGCAGAGACAGGGAAGGGCAGTGAGAGGTGCTGATGAAGAACTGGGGTGGGAGGAAGATCCTATATATGGTGGGAATCTGGCCTCCCTTGGAGTGTAGAAGAGGAATACACAAACTTTCATTTATTGTTCTGGAAAGAAGGATGAACTAGGAGGTTGGAGACTTGAGTTTTAGTCTCTAGACTATGATTAACTAGCCGTGACCTTTAAAAATTATTTAATCTCTCTGGGCCCCACTCACATCTTTAAAATGTCCCTGGCCAACCAAACACAGAGGAGTGTTTCTTTGCAGAATTATCATGGCCTCATACAAAATGTCCCTTGGTGCCATTGCTGGAAGTGACGTTTCAGAATGAGATAATCCAGGGTCTACTTGGTCCAGCGTTTATCAGTCTTCACTCGTTCAACAGGGACTGAGCATCTAGAAGGCACCCAGCACTGTGCAGGGTCTCCAGGCCACAGAAAGGTATCGGCTCGTGCCTTGTTCTCAAGAAGTGCTTACGACTTTAACACAATTCTCAATGGGAGGAACCCAAAGAAAGGAAGAATACTTATTTCTTTTGATCTCTCAGCTTGTAAGGGGGAAATGTCAAGTCTTTGACAAAATACAGATGTCAAGAAAATAAACAAGTGGGAAATGTATCAGAATAGGATGTAGAACTGGTGAGTTTCCAGCTCATTCTTGTAAACATCCGATAAATGCTAGTTCCTTTCCAACTCACTCTCATATGTTCTTCTCATGCCTCTACATCGTGCAAATGTATAACCTTTAGAACCTTATCCTCATGTGGTCTGTGACCTATGCCTCATCCACAAGGTTTATTTTTAAAGCACATGCTTTAATTCTGTTCAAAGTATAAATAGCTTTTCACATACCAGCTCCTGCCAACAGAGCGTGAGTCGTTTCTTATCTAAAGTGGTTTGGTTCAACATCTTGGGCTGCTTTTCTGCTTCAGAGATAAAGGCACTATAAGAGAAGAATAACAAGTTTGAAACCTACTTAGTGAAAATCCATTTATATAATTCCAGAGATTTGCAAGTATACTTTCCGCCATGCAAAGAGAAAGTTGATGAGCCAAGATTTTTCATTTAGGATTAAGCAATGATGCACTAACTTTTCTAAGAGACAAAATGAGAATTGGAAATGATGCCTCGACCCCACGTTAGTCTTGGGAAATAGATGCTTGTTTTCCCAGTTTCTTTCAGTACATATCTATTGTGATTGCTATTCGAGCTCATAACAACAAACACAAAATAACACAATTGTCCTTCATCTTAGAAATTTAACACTCACCAAAAGCTTCCTGAAAAGTTGTATGTAGAGCAAGTATTTTAAACTCAGTACTGAGATATGCCTTCACATTTTTAAAACTGTACAAAGGACTGAGTAGCAACATTTTGGGGGATGAAGTTAAAAATGTATTCAACAGGAAAACGGTAAAGGTTATGAATGCAATTGAAGAAGAAATATGAATGGTTTTAAAACTTGAGGAAATAAGATATTGTCCTCATTAGCGACAACTTAGATGCAAATTAAAATCTACACCATTTTCACCTATGAAAAAATGAATAATATTCAAGGTTGGTGAAGATGTGGAGAAATAGTCACTCTCCTCCATTATTGTAGGAAAGTATAAATTTTTATAATGTTTAAGAGGGTATTTGACAGCACCTATAAAAATTTAAATGTCTGTATAATTTTTTCTAAAAATTATACCAGAATTCTATCCTTTAACTATAACTGAAAAATTTTGGAAGAATATGTTTACACAGCAACATTTCTTGTAGCATTGTTTATAGTAGCAAAATAAATGGGAACAACTTAAATATCAGGAACCAGATAAATATATGACACACCACGCAATTGAATATTGAAGACGATTATTACGTACTACTGTAGAAAGATGCCAGTGACATATTGTTGAGTGAAAAAGAAACCTACTGAACAAAATGTGTGGTATCATTTGTGAAGAAATAGAGTATTTTTATGAATGTGTGTGTTTGAAAATGCAAAGGAGAAAATCCAGGAGGACAAATCAAACTCTTCTGTCTGAATGGTGGGATTGGGGAGAAACTTGAAAACACTGTTACTTTATACATTTCTGTATTTTTTTTTTGGTAAGATAAGCATGTAACGCTGTGATAAAAAATTAACTACAAAAGTGATAAAAGGGGAAATCTAAGATGTCACACCCCCAATGAAGGGTCCTACACCAGAGCTCTGTCTGTGGCATTTGGAGGCCTCATCAGAAATTCTCTTTGGGCATCCTAGTCAAGTTACATTTTCTCTTAATTTTTAAAAAGAATAAAAAATATTGTATTTTGAGGAGGCATCTTATTGCCACACATCTACCATCCCAAAAGGCACAAGGAATTCCATTCTACTCCCAGGATAGATCAGCCCAGATGGTGGACATTTCTGACTTCTGATCTCTCTCCCTTCCTCACAGGGCAAGAAATCATTGATTCCTTCATCAAAACCAAGGTAAATGACCCCAGAACATGTTTCTGTTCCTTCTTCTTCTTTCAGACCCAGCCCTGCTACTGGCTGTGTGGGCAGCCTCCTCAACTCGACATGGCAAATGCTCTGTCCCTTCTTGGGGGAAGCCCTGAAGTCCAGCTGCTCAACCACAAATGGGTGGGTGGACCAGAAAGCCCACCTTGACCTCAGGTCCAAGCTGCTTTCTCTAATCCAGGTTCACCAAATAGAAAACTAACATTTTGATCTCTGTTTGACCCTCAGGAATATTTTTTCAGTTGGTCGTAAACTTGAAGAGAAAGGAGAATGAATATCACCCCAAGTAACCCCCTAATATAGAAAAGTTATTGAGCTATTAATTTGCCCACCGTTTCTAAAAATACAGAATCATGAAGCTTTTTAAAGATGTTTAAAGGGAATCTCAGGTGGCACTTAGCTCACAGCAGGAATGGCTCTGATATATATTGCTTCTATAGTGAAAAACAAATAAGAAATAAAGATAGAAAGAAAAACTACACATTTATTTCTTTGCTTTCCTTTTTTTTTTTAAAGTAAAAATGCTTGGGTAGTTGAGAGATTAGGAGAGACAGAATTTATAAAGCCGAACACCAGAATTTAGCTAGTCCCTGTCTACTAGTTTTTGCCTTCCATGAAATGAATCTCCATCTCTTTTCGTTTAATTCCATTATGACAAATTCTCATTTTTGCTTGAGTCTTGACCTAATTAATTTCAAGAGCAGGTCCAAAGATTTTTCCTTACATAGTAGGAAGTCTCCGTGATGGTGCCCAATGAGCCTCACCTCCTGCTATACTTGTCATTGTGTAATTCCATCCCTTTAAATGTGCACTGGACCTAGTGACTTGCTTCTAATAGAATACATCAAGAATGACGGGATGTCATTTCTAAGATTGGGTCATAATAGACCGCGACTTCCATCTTGCTGGCATGTTCTCTCTGGCTCTTCCTTCTTGCTCACTCTGATGAAGTCAGCTGCCATGTTGTGACAAGCAGCTTTGAGAGGTCCACATGACAAGAAATTGAGGTTGACCTCTGACCAACAGCTAGCAGGGAAGTGAAGTTGTCAATTCAATAGTCCATGAAAACTGAATTCTACAAATAACCACTTGAGTGATCTTGGAAGGGAACACTTCCCAGTTGAGCCCTGAGATAACTGCCACCTCTCTCCATGCCTTGATTGCAGTCTGTGAGAGGCTCTGAGCAAAGGACCCAGCTACGCCACACTTGGCTCATGACTCACAGAAACCATGAGACAATAAACATTGTATTAAGCCACTAAATTTGGAGGTTATTTGTTACTCAGTAATAGATAACTAATACACCCTATTTTTAAAAATCTTTTATTGTGTTGTGTACCTCCTGGAATAAGAGTCATTACTTGGTTCTTATTAATGTGTTATACAAAAAATTCTATTAAATAGTATTTGGTATAACACGTCCATCTAATTGTCAACTAGTTTTTGAGTATCTACCTAATGCAAAGAACAAGGCTGGGCACTAACCCTCCTAGCATTTTTCTTGTTTCATAAAGAGTTTCTGCAGTAAGTCTTCTCTTCTTTCTCCTTTGCTTTATGTTTTAGTTGTTTAAGTGTCAGGAAGCCGTAGTCAGCCTGACAAGTGCCAGCTAAATTACCGAACAAAACAAAGATGGATATAATACTATAAAATGCCTATCTGAACGCATGTAAAATGGACCATTTGTGAAAGTAATTAAAAGCTGATTCCATATAAGTCAGCTCCCCATGTGCCGGCTGTCTCTCCTAGTACCTGCTTTGACTGATGAAGTCACTGAACACCGTCTTCATTTTCTCCTCCGGTGCTTTCTCTGAAATCTTGCCCAGTTCTTTCACTTCTTCTGTATTTTCTTCCTGAAACAAACCACAGAGGTGGAGGGATGAGAGGTGGGAACTAGACATCGTAGTGGAGGTACTGATTGTAACACCCCAGAAATGACATTCAGCTAATTTTTTGTTTTGGAAATGAAGAAAGATCTCCCTTGCTTTCTCGTGCCTGAGCGGGGAAACACTACTTTAGAAACTTCCTTTTCTTAACTGGAGTTGGTCCAGATTCAAGTCTTCTCCTCTGCTGCTCAAACTCATTGTTTCTGTTGCAGATCCATTTCCTAACTGGGTACCATTTATTTAGAGTCTACTGTGTAGGGAGACCTGATGTCATTGGAAATATCTAACAAAGTAAATTAGATATAATTATCGTAAACTTCTAAAGCAGTGTTCAAGTCAGTTTGTTACATAGGAATGTAATTGTATTGAATAATGCCCAAAATTAAAGGGATATCAATTCTTCTGCTTATAGGGGTTTCTGGCCCAGGGAGTGGGGTGGAAACAGGTTACATATGGCAACAGTTATATGCTTTTCCTTTGGGGCCTAAATTCTAGTATTCCAAGAAAATGGCACCCAAGGGGCAATGTACACGTTGCCACTACTTTGCTAGAATTTACAAAAACTACATTCTCTACCACATGCCTGCTGACACGTTTCCCTCTTTACCTCTTCATTATAGGAACAGGCAATATGGTGGCATGCTTAAAGACCTAGGCTTGGGGTCAGACCACCTACACACAAATCCAGGCTCTAACACTTACAAGTGCCAAACCCCTGGTGCCCAGCTTCCTCATCGGTAAATCAGATGAGAATAGTGCCCACCTCGAGCACCAGAGGGAAGCGAGAACTTCTTCAAACAGTGCTTGGTGCTTAGTAAACACTCATCCCATTAGCCACGATATGCCAGCATGGCAGGGATCCTGGCTCTGAGAAAGGAATTAGAAACAAGTGCCAAAGGCTACTATGACCTCCAGGGGAAAAAAACTCTGATTTGTTTTATCCAGCCTTTTAGAAATAAAATAGCTATTTTGTCTGAACAAAAATAGATATTTTGTCTGAAGGAGCAGCAAGACCTGCCTTATAAGGAGAGTGTGTGGCCGCCACATGGCGTGACACCAGACTAAGCTTCCATGACCGCTTTCAGACTGTCCTTCCATAAGGCCTGGAAGCCCCAGGGCCAGAGGCAATACTTTGTCTGACACAATTAGAGAGAGAATATAAAGCAAAGGAGAGAGAGGGCTGTTCTTTCCTCACCGCAGGTTTTCACAGAATGAAAGAGAGAAGACAAGGGTCAGCTGGTGAGGCATCGGGGGACAGAGAGTAAATGATGCACCCAGGAGATGTGTAGGGGTGAGAGAAATGTGAGCACAGGAGGAGTCACAAAGGGAAGCTGCAACATACTAAAGAAGCAGAGTTCCGGGTGCTCTTTCTTTCCTAGGTGTTGGGTGGAACAACCTAGCATCTGTGCCTATTGGCACCGTTTTAAATACTTTCACACATTCAGTTCCTCGAATAATTCTTTAGCCCCTCTCAGGAGCCAGGTATTATGCTAGATGCCATAGAACAGTGGGAAATGAAAAAGAAACCTGCAAATAAATGATAAATTTTGGTGAGAACTCTGAAGGAACAGAACAGGGTATAATGGGAGAGGATAAGCAGAAAGCTTTTCCGAGGATGTGCTTGGAACCGAGCCATGGAGGCTGACGGGGTTACACAGGAGAAGCATGGAGGGGAAAAGCAGCCCAGGCAGAGGGAACAGCATGGAGGTGATTATGAGGCATAAAGGAACTTGGTTTCTTTGAGAAACTGTGAGGAGACCAGTGTGCTTAGAATAAAGTCAGGAGGAAGAGCATACAAGAGCCTCGACTGGAGAGGTGGCAGGGCCTGATCTGTAGGCAGCCATCCACCATGTTAAGGACTTAGGATTTCATATTAGTTGAAGCCAGGATCTATCAATTTCGTGAGAAAGTTGTCAATCCCCTGCCCTTTGAAGAGTAGGAAAACGGTCTCTCTCTAGGTCCTATGACAGTAAGAAGTAGAGCAAGGACTTGAATTTGGATAGTTTGGTTTAAAGTCTAGGGGTTTTGCAAAATGTATTCTCATTCCCCACTGGTCCATGTGGTAGGAGCCACGTGTCCTCCAAAGGCAGCAGCCTCCATTCATTTGTATTTAAACTTAGACTAAGGCCCTCTACTAGGTTGGTAAAAAAATCTCTTTTGCCCCCAGCTCCCTGATATGCAAATCCATCACCTGTCAGTGTCACCTACCAGCAGGTCTGCCATTTTCTCCAGCATGTTGGACCAGTGCAGCCGAAACGTCTGGTCTCCCCAGGAACTGATGAAGGAGACACAGGGCTTCTTGCCATCAAATGGCAAATAGTTGTAATTCCTGTGAAAACATGTTAGGTCTGGAAGTTAGTTGGCAATCGGTGTTCTTCTGGCAATTCCAGCCACATGTTCATGTTTCGTATGTTCTGGGTGGGGTGGGAGAGGGGTGGTGACAAAATGATCAAACTATTAATTCCATCCGTAGCCTATAACCGGGGACTCATGAACAATAAATGATGAGCATTTATGTGGCTACAATGGAGAGGTTACTAACAGCTACCACTGTCAGACGGAGGGCAAAGCTTAGAAATGATCACCAGAGGGCAGGATTTATCAGGGAAGCCTTCTTCAAGGAGGAAAGTTTTAAACTGAGAGAGGAAAAAAGGGAGAAAAACTAACATTTTTCCCTTAATGTCTATATGCTCGGCACTGGATGAGGATCAACTGAGATTACAGATGTGAATGCATTTCGCCAACTCAAGTTGCTAGAAAAATGCAAGAGGGTAATAATATAATTAATGAGGATGAAGCCATGTGCCTCAAACTAAACTTAAGCATTCATTCCATGGCTTGCCATCCATCCATCCTTCCATCTATCCAATATTTGTTGCCAGGCATTGGTGCAAATAATGTAGGTGACTCGTTTGGCTAAGAAAGGACAAGAGGGATGGCAAAGTAGCTAGAAGAAATGTGGAGCCAAAGGGAATGTTTGAGTGTGATAGGTGGATATGATTAAATGCTGATGAGAAAAAGATGGGTAACAGGAGGAGAAGAAGACAGAAAAGAAGGAACTAATTTGTCAATTTCGGTTCCCAAGGAGGAAAGGGGTGGATGCAAAGACAGGTAAGCTGGGAGAGGGGTAATAAAAAGGGGAAGTTCTTTGCCTAATGACAGCTGTATTCTTGACTAAGTTTTCCCCAAACCCTCTGTAATTTCCCCACAAACACCTGGAACTGTGTGAAGAATGTAGAAGGAAGGCCAAAGCAAAGTTCTTGGAATAGGCATGATGGGAGAGGTGGCCTTGATAAATGTGGACAGTGTTTGGAGTCACACACCTACAGAGGCCAAGAGGCCAAGAGTGGGAGGGAGAAAGGGAGGGAGAGAGAGAGAGATAAGCTTTGTTTCCATTCCAAAAAACTAGAGAGGCCTGGCTTGGTGACATAGTGGTTAAGTCCGCACGCTCTGCTTTGGCAGCTGGGGGTTCACAGGTTCAGATCCCATGCACAGACCTAACACTGCTTGTCAAGCCATGCTGTGGTGGCATCCCACATAAAATAGAGGAAGACTGGCACAGATGTTAGCTCAGCGACAGTCTTCCTCACCAAAAAAAAAAAAGGCTAAAGAGAATTTTAGCCTGAAAGAATGTGTGGTTGTTCTTTTTAGCTCTCCAACCCAAATTTCTTCTGGAGATCATAAAATTAGCAAAGGTGCCCCATGGTCTGTTCTGCAGAAAATAAACCAGCAGGTTTCCATTCAGAAAAGAAGCCAATAAATTCTTGGCAGAAACTGAGGTTGTTATTACAGCAGGAGAACAAAAAAGTAAGATAAAAAAGGTTAGAAACCAAGCTGCTCTTTCTTTTATCTCTTTAAAAATTATTGCACTGAGAATCCTGCAACGAGATAAATTCCCATGCAGTGTTGTACTTTGTTCCAAGGTTTCTTAGCTTTGGATTATTTTGTGCTAATGATGTTCAAGGCCTTTGTCTCTTTGGCTCCCAGGGTCCTCCTAGTCTCACTGGGTCTGCATGTACAGGATACTGTAGTTTCTCAGGCAAACTGCAGTGCAGATGGAGGACGGCAGATGGGAGGGCACTGCGTTGCCAGTGGAAAGAGGAGAATGCCAGTTTGAATGGCTGCCCTGATACACGACTAGCCTTGTGACTTTGGGCAAGGTTAGGCCTGAAATCAAATGATGCTCCGCCATTGGATGACTTGTGCTCCAATCTCATTCCTGAGCTCCAGCACGAGGCATAAATTATATGTGAATGCTTAGCTTTGTAAAACAGGAAAGTCCAGATCAAACACAAGGTGGTATTTTAAGGCCCATGCTAAACCACCCCTTACAAGGTAGTATTTTAATGGAAGCAACAGACAAATAAATTGTGTGTGTATGTGTGTGCACATGTATATGGACACTGTGCATGCATGTGCATGCATGTATATGTGTGTGCACACATGCATAGGCGTCTATTGTAGACATAGAATCTTCTTGAATTCAGCTGCTGCCACCCTGGCTTGCCACTATGTGGACAGAGCCTCCATATAGTGACTGAGGAATATACAGGAAGCCCCAAGCACCAGCAGGACTTATTTTGTTTTCCTTGAGCCAGCTGGCCAGCATTAATATGAGGTTCATCCGAGGATGCCTTGAAACCTCGCTTCTCCTCCCAAATCCTTCCCATAGTACATTCCCTGATATTCCCACAAATAGTCAACAAGGGCACAGTTCAAGAAGGTGAGGTATGTTGTCACTATCTGGTCCCAGTGAAAGGAGAGAGAGTACCTCTGAGTAGTCTCAGAAAAGTCCCCTGGAGCTGCAGATCCAGTTACAGGATCCACTTATCAATGTCTTCAGTTTTGAGCATGGACAGAGAAGCCGTTAAAGGATGGGGAAGTTTGGGGGTCTTTGGGTGCATGTAAAGGAGAATGGACAACCAGTATGACTGTCAGGGAGCCTAAAAAAGGCCCCTAAAAAGGTGGGCTGTGGGAAGGGGATGGTGGTCCATGGAAGGGAGAGGATTTAGAAAATAGAGGACACGCCCCAAAACAAGAAGACAAGCAGCTAAGATTATTTTCACTTACTCCTTCCTACTTTATCCCAAGCACTGTTCCAAGAAAGCGCCTGACTCCACCTTCTTAAAACAGAATTCTCATCATCCCCTAAGGCCTTCTCATCCTTTAGGATATCACCTTTTCTGTGCCCTTTCCCAATTCCTCACCTCCTCCCCAGGCAGTGTAAGTCACCCACCCGCTCTCTCAGCTCCATGGTACCCTGTGCCCAACCCAGTTACAGCAATTCCTTAACTCATTCAGAGACAGCCATGAGCATCTCCCATGTGCCAGGCACAGAGAGCAGCAGACATACAGGTGAGTCAGGACAGGCCCTGCCCTCGGAGTGCTCACAGTGTGATAGGAAGACAGACAAAAACATCTTAGTGCAGTGTGATTAGTGCTTGATGGAGGTGAGACTAGAAGTCCAAATCAGACTTGGGGTTCAGGCAAGGGAACTTGGCCTTCATCTTGAAGGGTAATGGGAGCTAGCAGTTCTGAGGAGGTGGCTTGTTGCCCGGCAGAGGGAAGAGCATGTTCAAAGGCCCAGAAGCAGCAAACAGCAGGATACACTTGGAGAACTGCCGGGTCGCTGTGTGGCTGGAGGAAAGGTAGAGTTTGGGGAGTGACTGGAGATGATGGTAGAGAAGTAGACAGGGATTGAATTAACAAGCTATGGCCTCTGAAAATAATCCTGAAAGCCACAGGCAGCCAATTATGTCAATCAGGGAAGTAACTGGTTCAGATAGATGGTTCGGTGAATTTCTTGAAGAAGATCCAAGCCAGGTAGGATGTTTTTTAAATAATCTGGGCCAAAGATGTCAATGGTCAGAATCAAAGAAATGGCAATAGATATGAGAAATACTTGAGAACTAGACCTGACCAGACTTCATCACTGATTGGATGGGGGTAGGAAGGAAAAAGAGAACAATTGACAACTTTCTGATTTGTGACTTGGAGTCATGCAGAGAATGGTGGCTCAGACCACAGAAAACCCTCACTATGTGTGGCTTCCCCTTCTCATAAATCCCTTGGCTGGTGCTTGACACCACTTTCTTAAAACAGAATTCTATAATTTTACTTCTCTTTGCATGTTGAAATTTTATATAGATTAAAGATCAATGAGAGTATATGAAGGTGCCCCAGCTCTTTTCTGAAATGGTCTTTTCTGGTGGCTGACAATCGTTTTTTGAGTTCTTCAGCTTGTGGCAAAAATAAGAGAAGAAATGGTCTATTCAATGATCCCACCAAGTGGATTTGACATAATAGCACAGAGCTCAGATGAGTCTGATAACTGTTAATAGGGTTTGGGTTGAAATTTTAAATTCTGACCTTCCTACGTTGTTATGCTTCAAAGTTATAGCACAAAGGGGGCTTCAGATGTGCTAAGAATAATCACCATCATCGCTCTGCCCTTAAATGAATTACCTGGATGTGTCATTCGGAGAGTTGTTGACATGTCACTATGGATTTAGGAGAGTGGCTCTTACCGTGTCGTCCCTGCCCTCAGAACCCTGGCTCTCCTCCCCTGCTGTCTCCTACCTGTTCCCTTCTGTCACGAGTGGCTTCTCTGGGTGAGTGGTGGAGGCCATAGGGATGGCAACATTGTGGGCCGCGTCCCCTTCATCTCCGTGTAGCAGTGGAACGTTGTCTTCTTCAGCTGATTCAGCTGACTTCTTACTCCCCTGATGAGACCCTCCATCAGTCAAGTTCCCAAAATTACCTGTAGAGGCAGCAGCAAGGGAAGAGGGGTCAGGTGTCAACAAGCAGAATCAGGCTGCTTCACATAAGGGATCAAGTTCATGTGCTCCCAGGGCGGAGAAATAAGATGCCAGTATGAAGGTCGGAAGAAGGATGGTCAGAACACAGAAATAAGATTGACAGTGATGATGAGCCATCATCTACGTCCATCGTGCATTCTGTTTGGTAAAAACTACTTAAGTCACAAATTAAGTGGATTCCATCTCCATTTCCTTCCGCTCCGCTGAAGGAGAGCTTCCCAAACGTGAATCAAGACCATCTCTGACAGAACGCTCTTTCTTGGAACAGTTTTCCCAGCTGTATACCAGCTCAGGAAGATTGCTGGGAGTTATAACAACCCTACTATTAGCACCTATTGTAATAGCTGATGAGGATTTTTAGGCTGCTTAATTTTAAAACGGCTTATGATAAGGATTTTTAGGCTGGTTAGTTTTAAAACTACAGATGAGATGCAGGCTCCAAGGAGTGGAATTTGCTTGTCCCTTTGTTGGGAAAGATTTACATTTCTAAGGAAAACCTCTATCTGTGAAGATGCCTCCCTCTCTGTGCCGGGAAGAAGGGGGATGGCCTTATCTCTAGAAACTCTTAATGCCAGAGGCAAGAACTTAAGTTGGTTACTGTCTGGCAACCTCATGTAACTGAACTCCGCCCCCAGCCCCCCCAAGTCCTCCTTTGTCTTTAGCTGAGGATAAAATTCAAGTGGTGACTTCTGCCACCCAGTTTGATTCTTATCTAAAATTTGTGGGACCACCAAATGGCCAGACCATACAGGCACTGATACCGTTTTAACTTTTTACATATTCTTTGTCTTGTAAAGAGATAACTCACATACCTATGCCTTAAATTTAGCCTTACTCTCCACCCAACTTGGCAGCAGAAGCAGCAGCTGAGGCAGCAGCAGAAGCGGCAGCAGCAACATGCCGGCAGCAGCTCTGACTGCCCATGGGTCCTGTCCCCATGCTATTCTGCTCTCTAAATAAAAGAGCACTACTGCCAGATCTTAAGAGTCTAAGAAATCTTTCTTTCCACTCCTCGGCTCACCGACCCAGCATCAATAGCTATCTTATGCATGGCACTTTGCATGCATTAACTCATCAAACCTTACAACAGCTCCATGAGGAGTTACCATTATTCCCATTTTATAGATAAAAAGACTGAGACCCAGAGAAGTTAAGTGAGCCTAGGGGTAATGGAACCAGGATTTGTAAGCCAAATCTGTCTGAATCCAAACTGTACTCTTAATCCTTTTTTCTAAGTATGAAAACAAATCTATTCCTTACATATTGACAAGAAGAGTGAACAAGGAATCATTCACTTCTTTCTGAGGTTCCGACCTCCACCAGAGCACCATCATCTCATGCAAGGCACTAATTCATTTATTCAGTGAATAGGTACAAAGCCCATGCATGTGCCATACATTGTGTTTGTTGACAAATAAAAATGGCAAGCAATAGGATATATTGGAGTATATGAGGAAGCCATTTGGTATAAACCTAATTCGGCTTGACTTTGTTTTTTTCCAAAAGAGCCTGACTGTGGCTATTGAGCACGCATTGTATATCTGCTTAGATATTTCCTATGGCCAGAACAAAGGCCCTTGAGATAAAGGTGCAACTTCACTCTCCCTCCCACATTGGCATTTCCTTAGGGATAAGCATCTTTCCTTAGGCTAGGAACTGATTGCTGCACTCACCTTTGACCACCCAGCTCACCTGTGACCACTCAGCTGGACACAACAGACCTGCCACCCTGCTGTGTTCACTGAGACAGAAGACCTACCTGCTATTTCCGTCAATTGCTGTGCCGACAGAGCAGTCTCGCGACTATTGTAAAAGGGACATTCCAATCCTGTGAGAAACATCCTCTCTGGGGGTATATAACCACTCTGTGCACCCCACTTCTTTGGTGTCCTTTCTTCCTTCAGGAAGAAAGGCCCCGGGTTATAATCCTCCTGATGAGGATTTTTAGGCTGGTTAATTTTAAAATTACAGATGAGAAGCAGACTCCGAGGTGTGGAATTTGCTCGTCCCTTTGTTGGGAAATATTTAAATTTCTAAGGGAAACCTCTATCTGTAAAGACGCCTCCCTCTCTGTGCCGGGAAGAAGGGGGATGGCCTTATCTCTAGAAACTCTTAATGCCAGAGGCAAGAACTTAAATTGGTTACTGTCTGGCAACCTCATGTAACTGACCGCCGCCCCCCCCACCCCCAAATCCTCCTTTGTCTTTAGCTGAGGATAAAATTCAAGTGGTAACTTCTGCCATTTACTCAATCCGGTTTGATTCTTATCTAAAGTTTGTGGGACCACCAAACGGCCGGACCCTACAGGCACTGACATCATTTTAACTTTTTTACATATTCCTTTGTCTTGTAAAGAGACAACTCACATACCTATGCCTTAAATTTAGCCTTACTCTCCACCCAACTTTGCAGCAGAAGCGGCAGCAGCAACAGGAACAGGAACATGCCGGCAGCAGCTCTGCCTGCCCATGGGTCCTGTCCCCATGTCAGCAGCGGCAGCAGCAGCTCCCCATGCCAGCAGCATCTCTGACTGCCCGTGGGTCCTGTCCCCACGCAGCAGCTCTGACTGCCCATGGGTCCTGTCCCCATGCTATTCTATACTATTCTCTAAATAAAAGAGCCCTACTGCCAGATCTTAAGAGTCTAAGAAATCTTTCTTTCGACTCCTCGGCTCACGGATCCCGCATCACTCAGATTTAAGCTCAGAATAAACTCACCCAAATTTTCATTTATAGATTGGTTATGGATTATTTTCGTCGACATTGTCTACACTTACCAATAGAAACTTCAAAACTAATGGGTTTATCTCCAATCTTCCGGTCAATCATGGTAGCTTCGAAAAATGCTCCAAAGAGTAAAAATTCCTCATATTTTTCTGGTACAATCTATAGAAAGAAAAAAAAAACATTAGACAAGGCTGGCTCTTTTTTTAATCATTGGGAAGCTGAATTAGTGATGCTAACCTGGTCCAGGGTAATTCCTAGGCATTTGAGTCTCAGTGTCAGCCTGAACTGGCACATCATTTCCCCACTAATCAGACAGGGAGGAACGAGGACCTTCAAACTACAAATCCGAATTCAGCCATTTATCTAGAATGATGTGGTCTCAGCCTCCTGAGCCACACCTCCTTATGATAAAATCTTCTTTTATTTTAAAGGCTAAGGTAGGTATGTGGATCTTTCTAGGTGCTGTTGGTGAAACCCAGGCTTGGAATCACCTGCTGGTGAGCAGACGTTTAGAAAAAAGACAGACTCACAGGATGAAGCCCTTACATTTGAGCATAGTTTTATGCATCATACAGCGTGGTCACATACATTCTGTTTGTTCCTCTTAACAACCTTAACAGGTCAAAATTTGGATCGTTCCCATTTTACAGATGAGGAAACTAAACCTAAGGTTGAGGTTAGTAACTTTCCCAGTATTCTGACCACAGAACCTGTGTTCTTTGAACTTCGACATGTGTTAACCCAACGCCTTGGTGCTAACTCAAAGACAGACTTTACTTCCTGAAATAACATAAGCCCAGACAAAAGTGGGTGCAGGGTTGGGCATTTGCATCAGCATCAGCCAATTAAGTGTGTCCAGGATGGGCTATAAGTGGTTGCTGCTGCGAGGGGTGCACAGGTCCCAGAATCACAACTGCTTTTACATTGAAAAGGGCCTTAGAGCTCATCTGCTCTAACCACCACCTTTTATCCAAATAAACTAAAGCTCAGAGAGACTAAGGGGCTTCCCAAGATCACATAGCAAGTTAAAGTCAGTCAAGATTTGAAGCCTGGTCTCCACCGAGGCTGCCTTCTCAAGGAGCCTGCATTCTGGAAGATGGGACTGTGACAGGTCACAAGACAGGAGCCATCTCAAGATAACACACAACTATTTGCAAATGACTCCTATTGACATGGAACAGGCTGATGGTTCAGGGAGCAGATACAGCTGGGACACCGTGACACAGCATCACGTTTCTGAGCGAAGAGGCTGAATGAGCCGGAACCATGCAGTCTGCGCTTCCTGGTTTTACAGTTGGATTCATTAAACTCCATGGAAAAAGAAATAAGGTTCTTCTAAGGAAATAAAGCAGTTGTGGCTTCAGAGGTTAAGAGCCCATTCAATCAAGAGCCCTGACCCTTGTCCCTCAGAAAGCCAATGGGTCCCCAAAAGGTGACCCTTCCTTCAAACAGGAGCCTGCTGTGCCGTCGGCATCAGCAGGAAATGTTTCTATTGACCAGAAAGTGTCAGACAGGGTGGGGGCCAAGTGCTGGATCTTAGTCACAGAGCACACACCCCTCCCACCTGCTGCCCCTGTATCCCCTGCCTATAAACCAGCCACTTATCTCCCTTCCTGAGGCCGAGTTTACTCTCTGGGAGGAGATTAAAAATCACTTGGAGACCTGGAGGGAATGTAGGCCACGTAACCTGGAAGAGGGACAGCAGGCTCCATAGCCAGACAAACATTTCTTCAAATCCCAGCCCTGCTTCTTCCTAGCTGGTTGACTTCAGGCAAGTCATGTCCACTCTGGGCATCATTTTCCTTGTCTGTGAAATAGACATCATAGTAGGGCCTACAGTGGGGAGAAATGAGATCATCCGTGTGGAGGACCTGGTATAAAGCCTACACATATAAATGCCACAAATGGTAGTCAGGATGAGGATCTCAACAGATTAGAATTCATGTCTCAATCCTACCCATCCTTCGAGGTACAACTCAACTGCTTCTTCCTTCTGGAAGCATACCTTGATTCCCTGAGCTGGAAAAAGGTTGATGGTAATGTTTACTTAGCTCTTGTTACATGTCAGATGTGGTTTAAAGAATTTTACCCACATTATCTCATGTAATTCTCACAACTCCCCTGGGAGGGAGATATTTTGATTCTACTCATTTAAAGATGAGGACACTGCAGTCCTGTGAAAGATTAAGATAACTGTCCAAAGTTACAAAGCACGATGAATATTTATTGAGGGCTTACTATGTGCCTTCCAGGCTCTGCTCTAAGCACCTTGCGTGTATTAACTCATTAAACCTTCACTATGAGCCTACAAAGCAGAGGTTATTATTGGAAATAAGCATAAGGAGCTTAAGTCACTTGGCCAAAGATTCAGATAGTGGCACTGTTTCTCTAGAGGCAAGGCAGTAACCATTACACCACACTGCCACATCTTAAATCCAGCTGTCTTCCTGGAGAGCCCAACATTTTAGTCGTTATACTTCACTCACTCTAGGAAATAATAGCACTTTATCTGTACCTCTTTATTGCACTTATCACTTTCTACTTTCTGTACATTTATTTTGCATGCCTTACCTCCCCTTCTAACCATAAATTCCATGGAGTCTGACTCTTTTTATTCCTACCAATGCTTAGGATGATGTTTAAACAGGAAGCTACTCAACAAGTGTTCACAGAATTTAGAAATGAACATATCTATTGGATTAGTGATGCTCTGTGAAAGTTTGGCATAGGGAAGATAAGCTTTGATGGTGGTGATGAAAGGCCAACATCATGGGATCTCATTTGTCCAGATAGGCAATGAGATCATGGCTGCAGCAAGAGAGATTGGAGCTTGAAAACCCTGGAGAGCTAAAAAGAGGAAGATGCTGCAAGAAAGGATATCACCGTGTTGGTGAGGGCGAGCTCTGAGCTATTGAGGCTCTGAGGAAGGTAGAAGCCCAGTGTGGTGGTTTTAAAATATGTCCATAAATTCTTGGAAAAATCCTCTCCTCAAAAGGTGAAGCTTAATTCCCCTCCCTTTCAGTGTGGACTGGACTTAGTGACTCATTTCTAACAATTACAACATGACACAAATGTCAGTGTGTGACTTCCATGGGTTTGGTCATAAAAGACATTGCAGTTTCCGCCTTGCTCTCTCTTGGATCACCCACTCTGGGCGAAGCCAGCTGCCATGCAGACACTCAAGTAGCCTATGGAATGGTCCATGTAGTGAGGAACTGAGGCCTCATGCCAACACCCAACAAGGAACCAAGTCCTTCTGCCAACCGCCAGCGAGTGAGTAAGATGTGAGCGCACCATCTTGGAAGTGGATCCTCTAGTTCCAGTCAAGCTTTCAGATGAGACTGCAGTCCTGCCAAAATCTTGATTGAAACCTCATGAGAGATTCTGAGCCAGAACCACCGAGCCAAGGTATTCCCAAATTCCTCACCCACAGAGAAAATAAATATTTGTTGTCTTAAGCTGCTAAATTTGGGGGTAATTTGTTACATAGCAATAGATAACTAATAAACCCAGCAAGAAACTGACACGTTTCTTGAACTTCTTGTTTGTTCGGGAAAAACAAGAAGCCAAAATGAAGAGAGGAGAGAGGTGAAATAAAGGTTTGAATGATACTGAATTTTCCCCCTCTCTTCTACCTTCTACACAATAGCCAAGATGGCCCCTGGCCTTGTAGGAAAATGTACACTCTGCTCCACATGTTCCCAGTCACCCTTTCTTTCTGCTATGATCTATTTTTTCAGACGGCCTCAGAAAAAATATCTTGAAGACATTGGCTTGGGTTAAGAAAATCTTTACTAGCCCCTTTCTACTTGGCAATCCCTGTTTAGAGAAGAATGCCCAGTATCAACAGCAGGAAAGATTGTCACAAGGACAGATACAAGGCATATCGGCCTAGGTGGCTACCAAGCTACCCACGATTTCTGGCAAAGTCCAAAAAATAAGTTTCCAAAGTTGGCATATATTCTGAAGAAACACACATAAATGTAATCACGTCAAGGTGATGTCAATTCTAACCACAACAAACTGACAGTACGCATTTCCAGAGAATATTCTCCAATATATAAGTTCAGAGGGGGAGCCGGGGGCATCCATAAAAAACCCAAAGTAAGTCACAAACAACAGGGTGGAGAGTTCTGAATAGCTGCCCATGGCGGTGGGAGCAAACCACAGTAACGTTGGTAAAAACAACGAGAGCAAATGGATTGCCTGCTTACCACATCTGTGCTAAGAACCCTGCTGACCATTTTACAGGCATCCCCTCACTTATCCCCATGAGATGCCTATGACAGAGGGACTATGACTACCCCATTCTGTTGATGAGTAAACTGAAATACTGAGACGAGTTAGTACTAGAGCCATGAATAGAATCAACCCCCAAGATTTGCAATCCTGTGCTCCAGCCTCTCCCCCACAGTTTCTTAAGATTTATTAGATCCAAGAAGTAAAATTACGCGGCTCTTCCAAGGCTAAGGTGACCTGCATGCTACAACCCTTCAGTCTAGTCTCCCCTAGGAATGGACAGCTCTGGGAAACCAGCCATCACCTCTCTTCCGCACCCGAAATGATTGGTTGACCAGAGAAATACACTCCTAGGGACAGAATCATTCAAGCTGAGAGCTGAAATCCACCCACCCCTGCTACTAACAAAACATAAAGTTCTTTTGTTGCTTAACTACAAAGTACTATTGCGAAACTAAACAGTTGAGAGGATATTCACTGTTTGAATTCAACTTGGGGCCCCAGATCTCTTTCTCATAATACAGAACCAGGCTGGAAAAGTGCTAATATGCTTTATGTTGAGTAATAAGCAAAGATAAGCATTCCCTTGAATTGTGATTTCCCCATAGGTTTGGGGCAGGAGAACAGGTTTCTCAATTTCTTGTATCCCAGCTGGTCACCCACCCTTCCTCCTCTTCATCCCTCATCCCACATTATCTCATATCTCAAGCATATTCTAAGCTAACAAAGCTAAACAAAATTAGGCCACAGATGTGGTTCCGTCCACCACCTCACCACCCACTCCCACTAGCTTCCCCAGAGCACTTTTATTTCTCTTTTACTCTGGTTTCCATGGGAATCCATGTTTGGAGGGACGCTGAAGGAATTTATCACGAGCAGATTGCCGTGATGTGTGCAGGAAGAGGCAGAGGATCAGCCCTGCATACAGGGCTGAGCCGACACACATTTTGCAGGGGGGTGAGACCTGTGCAGGCCTTCAGAAGGTTTGGGAGCCTGTGGCAGGTTCTGTCTCTGCTCCGGGCTCACCTCACAGGAGCAGTGGAGCAGTGCTCAGACCTACCTCCGGGGGTACATCGAAAGGTTCCACCTCGACCTCTGTTGAGTTGGTCTTGTCCGAAGCCTGCTGGGGTTTTCCATCATCGGTTTTGTCATCCTTGTCTTTACTTGAACCTTTGGAAGATTTGGAATCTTTGTCCTTCGAAGACAACTTTAGTCCCTTGAGTGCTTTGGAAAATTTAGACTCCTGTGCCCCTCCCGAGAGGATTTCCACAGCAATTTCTACCAAGATTCTGCCCCGGAATGACACGCCTTCTCCGAAGCCTTCGTTCAATTCCTGGTAGTCGTCCATCAGGCTGTGGTTCCTGGGTGAGCCATACAGGTTAATCCAGGCAGGTCCGAAGGTAGGTAGAAAGCCTAGAAAGATCCCAAGCTTTAGTTGCCTGGTTATGTTTACAAGCTGATTATTTTTTTGCTTTATGAAAGTTGTGCATATTCATTTAGAAATGTAGAAAATGCAGAAAAGACAAGAGAAAATATTTATGAGATATCCTGTCACCAAAAGACAGCCATGATTACCATTTTGCTATATTTCTTTCTAGTCTTTCTTCCATGCATATGTTTATACTCATTCACTCATTGTGATAATACTATGAATGCTGATATGCATGCTCACCTGTTCACTCATTCATGAAATGTTTATTGACTCCTAACATGTGCCAAGCACCATGCTAGACACTCAACATAGAGCCCAGTGGAGAAGAAAGCAGATACAAACATTAAACAAATAAATATTTACATTCTAAATGCTATGAAGGAGATACACCTTCTGCTGCAAGAACAAATAACAGGCTGATGTGGCATGGAAAGGAGTTAGGCAGAGAGAACAGAGAGAAGAAAGAGTTCTGGGCAGAGGGAACAGCATACAGCAGTTGGAAAGGAGCTAGCAGATAGAAGCAACTGAAAGAGAAAGCCCGTGTGGCTGGAATCCAGAGAGTGAGCTATGTGAGAAAAGTTTGGAGAGGTGGGTGGGTCTTGGGGCCTTGACAAGAATTTTGGTCTTTATCCTAGAAATCACAGGAATATTTTACAGAGATTTAAGCAAAGATACAACATAATCAGATGTGTGGGTTTTTTTTTTTTTTCCTGACTGAGCAAGATTGGCCCTGAGCTAGCATCTGTGCCAGTCTTCCTCTATTTTACGTGGGTCACCGCCACAGCATAGCTGACACACGGTATAGGTCTGCACCCAGGATCCAAACCCACAAACTTGGGCTGCTGAAGCAGAGCCTGCCAATCTTAACCACTACACCACAGGGCTGGCCCCCCAGGTGTATGTTTTAAGATCACTCTGGCTGCTATGTGAAGGATTATAAGAATGGATGTGGACAAAGTTGTTCAAGGACCACTTCGTCATCAGAACTGAAGACATCAGTGGCTTGGACTAGGGTGGTGGTAGCGGAGATTGAGAGAAGTAAGTATTCTGAGATATGTTCTAAACGTAGAACTGAAAAGACCTGATGATTTTAGTTTACAATTAGCACAGATATTTTCCTTTCTTAATACGTAGCATCTGGGAAAACGCAGTGTCTGTGCAAACATGATTTGGCAATAGAATGTTTCATTTTGACAGGCAGTACAGGACTGCAGTCCTGAAGCTTGACTGCCTAAGCTCAAATCTCAACTCTCAGCTTGACGTTTTCAAGCTATGGGACCTCGGGCGAGTTAACTTTCCTCTGCTTCAGTTTCCTCATCTGTAAAATGGAGATGTTAATAGTACCTATCTCACCTATCAGGATCAATAGAGATAATATCTATTAAGTGCTTCACACACGCCTTAGGAAGTGCTCAAGAATATCTGCCATTACTCAATAAATACACGTATCATAATTTGCTTAATTCCCCCATTGTTGACAAATAGATGTTTCCTTATATTGCACTATCAATAGTTTTATGCCTAAATGTTTCCTCCTCCACTTCCCCTCCCCTCCCCAGACTAAATTCTATTTCTCCTCTGAGTAAATTTTTTTTTACTAACAAGTTTTTGGTTTTATTTTTGTTTTGCTGAGGAAGATTAGCCCTGAGCTAACATCTGTGCAATCTTCCTCCACTTTATATGCAGGTCGGCGCCACAACATGGCTGATGAATAGGCCTGTGCCTGGGATCCAAACCCATGTACCTGGGCCACTGAAGTGGAGCACGCCGAACTTAACTACTATGCCATGAGGCCAGCCCCTCCTTTGAGTAAATTGTAAGAAGTAGAGATATTGTGTTAAAAGGGGTAGAAAGAGGGGCTGGCCCTGTGGCCAAGTGGTTAGATTTGCGCACTCCACTTCGGCGGCCTAGGGTTTCGCCGGTTCAAATCCTGGGCGTGGACATGGCACTGCTCATTGAGCCATGCTGAGGCGGCATCCCACATGCCACAAGTAGAAGGACCCACAACTGAAAATACACAACTATGTACTGGGGGGCTTTGGGGAGAAAAAGTAAAAAAGTAAAATTTTTAACAAAAAACCAGGGGTAGAAAGAATTTGGGGCCCCTGATGTCTACTTTTTTGAACACTGTCATACATCTCTTGAACGTCATCAAGATGTTCCTGAAAAGTTGTGGGTAAAACATGTTTACATCTAGTTAAGAAATCCTGTGGATGGGTGGATGTGCTTTCTGCATAAAGCAATTGCGTGCCAAACCCTTCCAACACAGGAAGAATCGAACGTTAGATCTTTAATGAGGCCTCTCTATGGTGTCACTCTGTGAGGGCATAAAAATGTGTACAGCTTGTTCTCTGCTTAAGCCACGCCTTCAAGATATATGTGTATATGTATAAATACACACACAGAGACACACACACATATATACACAAATATATACATCAATTAACACAAATTTGCAGCGCAGAGAAAGATTGCCTTGGGATTAAAGAGAGGGAGGGTTTACTGGGATATTTAGAGAATTACCACCTGCTAACCCAGGTTTTGCAAATAAAGAGCATCATACTGGGTGGAGGCTCTTTCAACCTTCTCAGTGGATTAGCTGGGGCTCTCTGTTCCCTCCCCGGCTCTCTGAGCGCACAGTCAGAAGCACCTTCCTGCCATACTCATGTTCTCGCGCTCCCACGAGTGAGTTGGGGGCACAACGTTTTTGGACTATTTAAACATGTAATAACCATTCTTAGCATGCGAACCATACAAAAATGTGTGGCAGGTCCTATGTGGCCCATGGACTATAATTTGCCAACCTCTGAGCTAATCTAAACTACGGTTTTCAATTAAGAGACCTAAAGCCCAGGAAGAGGGAGTGACTGCCTCAAGGACACACAGCAATGTTTGTGGAAGACCTGGGACCAGGACCGAGCCTCCTGGAGTCCAGAGCTTTGCTCCCGCCACTGCCCTGACCACAGACCACGCAGAACATGGAAGGTGCCTAACACATTGCCTGCTCCGACCCTCTTGTTTTAAAGATGAGAGCTCTAAATCAATCATTTCAAGACCCTATTTCCAAGCCAAAGGCTGTACCTTTATCTCCATCCTGTTCGTTGGAGATTTTCTTCAGGTCAATGAAATGGGTTGCCAGCGCTACATCATTCATGCTGCCTTCATCCCACACCTGGATTTTCACCCTCCGACACAACGGAGGGAACATTTCCTTGAAGACCACCTGTTCGTGCCACACAGGATTGGCACAGTTCTTCTGCACAGTGGTTCGTCCCTAAAACACAGCCAGAGGATATGAGCCATGCAAGGAAATGAAAGAGGCCTTTGACCAACCAAAGAAAACTCTTCAAACCAGCTGGAAATATAAAGCAAGTTGCTAAAAATAATGAACCTTCGTACACCCAACACTCATGAAAATCAGCTATACCCAGCAAACATTACTGATGACCTACTCTGTGCCCGACATCAGGGACAAATGTGAGTAAGTCACGAGTCCTGCCCACAGGAAGTTCTCATCGGCATACTGGCTTTGGAGTGAAACAACCACCCGTTACGGGCAGGAACTGTTCCATGCATCTCCAGAAACGCAGCAGATACAGTTAGACCCTGAGTTCATGTTTCATAAAAGTAGGACCTTGTGTAAATCACTTCCCCAGGCGGGACCTCAGTTTCCTTGTCATGAAATGGAGGTGTCATCCAATATGACCACCAAGGTGGTCCAAGTCAAAAACACCTCAACGCTCACCCTGCCCATGGGAGGGGTCAGGGTAGGCATATATTTTAAGTGCAGAGACAACAATGTGTCAGCTGGAGCTTCAAAGTCCAGCCAACCAAGATTAAGCTCTGACCACATGCCCAGGCCCTGGTACTTCCAGTGGCTCCAGTAGGGAACAGAGATGTCCAGACTTACGTAGGACCAGGACTACCTGGGGAAACTGTGGAGAAGATTGGGAGGGAGATGGCAATTCTGCAGGGTCTGGGGACTGGGAAACAGGCCAGGGAAGTGGCCAGAGGTGAGGAAGGAAACCTGTCTGCCTGGCTCCTAAATCATGATCCCCCCCAAAGCTCCTCTCCGTGATCTCCAACAGAGAGTGAGTGGGTGATCCTCCCCTATTTTCTTATCACATGATCCAGGGGCTTTCGTGACAAGCTTTCTCTCTCAAGGCACTTCCTAATCTTGGCTTTAACTTAATTTCATTGGACTGAAAATACCCTGGATAAAGATCAGGGGTCTGGCCTAGACCTGCCAGTGTTGGTGATAATGGTTCCTTACCGTTTGCCCAGCAAAGGAGACCTCCACGAAGGGATCCACAAGGTCCTTACCGTCACCCACAAATGCTTTGGTGACGTTCGCCATGATGCTGGAGTTCATCTTGGGTAACCCTTCCGCTTTGTAGAGTCTCACATAGAATCTGGCCCAGGGTCTCTCTGATGGAAACCCTTGAGGGATCAAAAGGTTCCTTGGGGTTTGAGTGGGGAAACAAAAACAAAAAATGAGAAGGCTCCCTCACTTGAAAGAATAGAGAGAAAAGGTAGAAACAATTTAGAGGCAGAAAGAAGGATCCTGATATAAGAGAAAAATCTGAAAAAGATTAGGATTCGTCGCTAAAATGAGCTTTGTTCCTAATGTTAAGGACAGCAAAAGGTATGAATAGAGTGAATGCCAACTCATTCAGGTGCTGGAATTATAGGAAAAACACTGTCTCTCACTCTGCACCTTAAGAGAGGTGCATTGTCTTCCCTTTTCACAACCCAGTGGTTGAAATTATAATTCCTTCAAAGAAAAATCAGCTAAATTCAGATAAATCAGATAAGCTCAGGAACGGCTTATCTATTATGGCTTATTACAGGAAGACAGGCTGTTCTTGTCCTAGAAGCTGACTTCCCAAAGGATAGTCATGCCTTTGATAAGAAACATCTTGGTGCCTCCAATAGAGCAGAATCCCAAGTGAACAAGCCATGATCTTGGCTGTTCTCATGTACCCAAAAGGAAAGGGATAGAGGAAGGGGAAAGAGACAGGGAGATTGGGACCTGTCATTTCCATTGAATGGCCCTGGATGGACCTGTCTCACTTTTCTATTTGCTCCTCAGCATCAGAGATTTTGGGGTTGGTCTTTAAGACATCGCCTTTCCCAGTCACGCTGATGTCACACTTCAGGTACCCCTTTGTGCCGGTCGTGATGTCGCCAGGGTCTGTGAGCAGGGCCCACTTGTCGCAGAACTGATGACCTGTAAAAGCATCCTGACAGCTCAGAAATCCTGCACAGACGGACCCAGCAGCTCCACCCAGTTCTCGCCACACCCAAGGCCTCCCAAACTCTACTCCCTAAGAAAGAGTAGCTCATGGCAGTTATTTCCAAGTCTCCTGTTGCCTCCCTCTCCTTCTTTCCCTCCTCTCCATTGCTTCCCACCCACGTCATCTTTTCTCCAACCTGCCACAGGTATTGGGGAAGCCTTCAACCTAGTGGAAATCGCATAGGCGGGATCTAGCTTTGACCAGATCAGAGGACGTTAATGGACATATTTCACTGGCTGTAAATGTGGCTCGTGGATCTTTTTGTTTGGCCCTCACTGTGAGTCCAAACTTCAAAATCTAGACTTCTGGCTTATCTTAAAAAATGTTTGTTAGATCTGGCAATACACAGTGCACATTTCCACACAACAGCAGGTGGTAAAGGGGCTGAGTAGACACCACTCCTTCCATATGGGTTGTGAACCCTCCGGTTCCCCACAGCCTCCAACACCCCTTAGTGTATTAAACTCAGCCCACTGCCCTCAGTTATGCCCACTGCCTGGCCCCGCTGGGGTCATGTGATTCGGAATCACTGCTGAAGACAAGGGGACTTTCATGAGAAGATCTATGTTGCTGGCTCTGTTGCTTATTAGCTCTTAATCTAGCTTCTCTAAGTTTCACTTCCTTATAAAGCAGGGATAATAATAATTATTATAGTAAATCCATTTATGGCATGCCACAGTCATTATTCTGTGCTGAGTTTTGTCCTAAGCACTTTATGCATGTTTATTAACTTAATCCTCCAACAACCCTATGAAGGACGTACTACTTTATCCCCATTTTGAAAGATGAGGAAACGGAGGCACAGAGAAGTCCAATCATTCACCCAATGTTGCACAACTAGGAAAGAGCACATGGGAATTTGAACCTGGCTCTCTGGCTCCAGAGTCCACATGCTTAACTTCTATACTCTTCCATCTTTCTTGCTTGGGTCTCACAGCACTAAATTAGACAGAATTTGTAAGGAAAAAAAAAAACTGCTCAGAAGTATGGAAATATAAGATAATTTTAACAGTAGATTGTAAACTTTGAGGAGAAGAGTCATGTCTTGCTCAACTTCGTGCAATTGGTGCTCAAGGTCATTGAAAGGAGGGTGAAATGGATGAGTGCATAAACAAGCTGGACCTCCAGGTGTGGCAAAGTGGAGATGAGTAAGTGAGAGATACCGGGAGGCGATGCTTTCTTACCAGGTTGATTGTACACGGTCCCCAGGTCTACTTTGAAGGAGCCAATCAGTACACTCCCTATCAGCTTGTGGTGAAGGACCTGAGGAGAAAGGAGGCAGTGAGTCCAGCAGCACTGGAGTTTTTGGAGGATATATCTGTTAAGTGGGTTCACAACATCTCAAAGAGGATTTTAGGTCTTGACTCTTGTCTGGCTTTCATTCTCTTCTGAACCACAGTGACGTTTGGTCCTGGAACCTCAGGGCTGGCTCAGAGGTCGTCCAGGAGGATCTCACCTGTACCTCTTCCTACCGCAGGGTCTCAGCTAATCCTCTACTGAAGGACACTGAACAAATGTCACCACCTGAAAGGGTGGGGGTTTTTTCCGCCAAAATGAACTCTAGTGCAGCCCACCCTTCAACACTCATCTCTGCCTGTTGAAACTCTACCCATTGTTTGATGCCTAGTGCCATTGTCACCTCCTCCAGCAGCCCTCCATGATCCTCTGCAACTGAAGGTGTTCCCTTTCTCCTCTGCACTCCCACAACACTTGGCTTGCAGCTTTCTCAGAGAACTCATCACGTGTTGCCTTGAGAGGTTTTGGACACGTACAATAGTCAGAACAAGGGAGGTGGTCATCCTCAATATTTTGTCTGATCAGAAGTCAGCAGAGTGCCTGGCTGGTGACAGCAGCACACTTCAATGCTGATGTCAAGATGAGGAGGCTCTGACGAAGGTGACAGAGCTGGTGCCAGGTGCAGGAGCTGCATTGTGTGAGAAACTGCTGAAGAATCAGGAGAGTAGTTTAACCTGGAACCCCAGAAAAGAGGAAGCTGGAGGGAATCAAGGAAGGGCAATGGTCACTGAAGAGTCTTCAAATCTTGGAAACACCACCATCTAGAAGGGGGAGTAGGTTCCCCGTGTGGTTCCCAAGTTACAAGAAGAGAGGTTTCAGCCCAGTGTAAGGACAATTTTCACAACAGAACTGCCCAGCAATGGCATGTGCTTTTCCAGAAGCATCACTGGAAATAATCAAGTGGTGCCCGAGAGCCCCACGTCACGGAGGTGGCAGAGAGGGATTCCCGCAACAGCTGGAAGTTAGACTAGATGCCTCTGAGTTCCCTTCTAACTATAAAACTCCATGAGTTTCTTGATTCAAGGATGGGTTCCTACTTTCTTCTACCCACCACAAGGCCTTGTTCATATTAGGGGTTCAATCAACATTCAGTGAACTAATGAATGATTGACCAGGCGAATGATGGATGAATGGGAGACCGTGGAGCTTCTGAACAGCTCCTTTTGGCAGAGGCAATAAGAAACAATAAATTCAATGGACTTCAAGAAATGAAGAAGTGACAGCCCTTCCCATCTCCCTTCCCACTCTTTCTCCCTTGCCCAGACTTTGCAGAGGAGTTAGAGAACTGAGGGGCAGTCAGCACAGCTTGGCTTGAGTAGAGAACTTATTTAAGGCCACATGCAGAAAACTCACTTCAACCCTCCCACCCCGCATGCTTGCAGTTGCTAATGCAGCTTCCCAAAGACCGGAGCCAGAACACAAGCCTGACTCTGGCTCTCTTCCCAGGTTGAAAGCATCTGGGTCTCTGTGGGCACAATGGGATGCAAGAGCCCCATATGGATCTTTAAATAACACAGGAGGCCTCCTCCAACCATCCACCCAGTGTGAGCACCAGGCCACCCTGGAGTGGTCAAGCACTAGATTACAGGAACTCTGGGTCATCTCACATACACAGTGCTGGTGGCCCTGTATGCCTGGGGCCACTGTCAAGGGAAGATGGTCTTTGACACCACCAGGGTCTGCCACAGTCTGGCTGTTCCATAGCATGTGCTTACAACACTCCTCGCTTCTTCTCCCATGCTGAATTTATTCTGGGCGTGCTGACTTTTAGTCCACAGACTGCCAGAAAATTTGTATTAAACGCTCCCCTCTCCAGAGGAATTTTCCCTTTAAAATCTTTCGTCTCTGTCCCTAAGGATCATTTAGGGAGCCCAAAGTATTCTCTTCTTCCAAGTTAGAGGATGAGAGACAGGCAACAGCAGCTTTGATCCTCTGTCTAGAAATCCACTCGCTCCACAGAGAGTCAGGACCCTTGTCTATGATACAGTATAAAAGTCTAGCTGTTGACTGTGTGTCTGCAATCTGCGTGGTCCTAAGAGCCTGCCCTAAAGCCTATCGCCCAAACAGGTGGTTGCCCGAACTGTGCAACGTCCCAAAGCCCTGGGCAATGCCCCAGGTCCCAAAATAGCTGCTGCACCACCTGTCATCATGCCTGGAATTCAAACATGAAGAATGTTTGGCTCTTGATGATTTTTCATTCTTCAAGGGTCACATTCTTCAAGTGCCCCTGAGAAAGATAATATCATAATTGCACTATTACCTATGCCTTATATATAATATATACCAATATAATAATGTGTATCAATATAATAATATGTACTAATGTAATGATATGTACCAATATAATAATATGTACTAATATAATAATGTGTACTAGCATAATAACACGTACTAACATAAGATAATATAATGTATATAATAGAGATGAGTGGGTGATAAGGACAGGCAAGGATGTCTCCAAGACAAGTTTCGCATCTTCGCAATTCTAATTAGAGTTGATGTCACTGTTTAGGAAAAGCTTTCCTTCTCCAGGCATCTTACGTTGGCACATAAGTAAGACTACTGCCCTTTCAGAACTATTTGGCAGAGAGCGCTTCCCCTTCAGCTCCTGACCTCTGCCTCCTCCAGGCACGCACACCCTCGCCACCCTCTCCCTGGAGAAGCAGCAATATCTCAGACTGGTGGCAGAGATGCAGTCTGTCATCCACTGGTCTCCGTCCTTTGACTGAGTGGTGTGAAGTGGGTTACGATCCATTTGGCCTGCCTTTCTCTCATCTGGACTAGCACAGCTTCAACACGGCACTTTCCCTTCCCACTCCTGGCCTCCATGTGGCAGGCCAACCTGGATAAGGCACCTGGCCAGACCAAGAAGCTCTCTCTGTCTCTACTCTTCACACTTGACCTGTGGAGGCAGGAATTCACCTGGCAGGGCTTGAGGGAGGGTCTATGCAGCAGACCCAGCCCACTATGGGCAGGTCCTGTAGTCTACACTCAGAGGCAACTAGTAAGAAGCCAAATAGCAAGCACTTGCTCCACATCACATTCTCTGATCCAGCATCACTGATATGTTTGGTTCCTTACTGATTCTTTTTCCTGTTTCTCCATCTATCACCAACTAGCAGGGGAAGGGATGTGATTAATTATCATTACTGAGGATATCACCCCAAGAGAGAAACAGTAATATTTGCTTCATAAAAAGAAAGAAACCTACTCAAAATGGCAATCCATTAAGATGTCATTTGAAGCATATGTTTCGGGTTCTCACATCAGTAAGCTGCACAATTCAACTCATGACGGCTTGATACTAGTTTGTAACTTGCTTCCAAGAAGCATAGATTTTCCTGAAAAGGTTTTCCTTCCCAAACTCCTCTGCATGCTGATTTCAAGTTCTATCCTTTTGGTTTCAAACTCACCAACCCACACTCATCCTCCTGAATCTACTTGTCTCTAAGCAGGCTGAGCTGTCAAAAAGAGTTCCCAATGCCCAGAAACCCTCCCACCTCCCCCTACTCTCACCACCAATGATATACTTACTGAGATTTTGATGATCTTGTCAAAAAGATGCACTTGGGGCCCAATGAAGTCGAAGACAAAGTACTGTAAAACATAGAGTTCATTCTGACCATAAATTCCAGGCTTATATCTACAAATTCTATTTCTGGAGTAGATGTAGATCTGTAATATTCTAACCAATTGCTGCATGGTCCCCAACGGCATGAATATACCATCAATTGAATGGCAGTCCCCTATTTAAGGTCATTGAAGTTATTTTCAAATACAAAAGAAAGGCCACCAACCACATCTTTGCACAGGATATACGGGAATTTTCCTCTAAAACGGACTTGAGATGTGGAATTGTTGGATCATGGCTTATGAGAATGAAAATATTTAGTAAATAGCATGAAATTTCTTTCTAAAAGGGCTAAGTCACTTCTCATTCCCACTGGCAGCATATGAAAATAGCCATTTCTCCATATCCTTGCCAATCCTTGGTAATGTCATTTCTTTTAATTTTTTTTACCTATATATAAGGATGGATGAAAATCATATCTCAATGTGGTTTTAATTTGGGCTGAACTTGTTTAAAATCTAATTTTCTCAGGACTTTTCAGTTTCAAACATTCCTGTGAAATTCCCAAGGTTGACTAGGCAGAGAATGAAAAGAAATTACAGACAGGGAGATTTCTAATTTTAAGAACGTGATTGAATCTTAGAGTTGAAGAAATTATCTAGACTGGTCTCTATTTTCTACAGATAAGAAGGCTGAAGATTAAAGGATTTAAAAGACATGCCTAGAGTCATACAGCTAGTGATTGCTGGGCCTGGGACCAAAGCCGAGTTCTCCTGAAGTTATCACACAAGGAGTTCAAGTACCAGATGTTTCACCGTCTGAACTTTATGGAGTACTCCCCACTGTGAGGTTGGATGCTCCTCAGATGTCAAAAATTAGAGTGGTGTTTTGTTGCAGGTTGTGTGTTTTGGGGGCTGGTGGGGACATGGAAGGCAGGACTAGGAGGTTGTTTCACGGATTCTTTGTTTTGTTTTTGAGCTACAGCGTGGAGGAACGACACAAAGACGTCAGAGATGAACACGATAGCAGTAAGAAAGGGAGACGTGACCTCTACAGCCTGCGTTTAGAGGGCAAAATAGGAAAACCAAAATGTGGAAACTGAAAGATGTCATCGTATACTATAACAAGAAACCTTCAAAATGGCAGTCCTTAGGTGTCAAGGAAAGGTTACATTATGTTAAGTGTCTTCTGTTTAAGAGAACAGGGAAATATCCATAACATTTCAGGAAGTTTTTCATATATATGTGCAAAATTTTTAAGAGTTTTGGTGTTTAGAATTTCTTTTATGTGCAAAATTCACTTACACGAAATTCTCGATTCTCTGATAGATAGGATGCTGTGGGTTCCATTGGATCAATAAATTAGTTTCAATGTCTATCGCCTTCTGCTGAGTTTCACATGTTTCAAACTCAACTGCCTCACCCAGGTTCCCTAGATCTCCAAACCCAAAAACATTGTCCTAGCTGGGAAATGTTCCCCATCCCTACTAGCTGGTTCCTTCAACCTCTGGTGACCTTTGGGCTTGAAAATTAGAGTCAAAACCTGTAACAAAGGTTTTTACTTTAACTTCTATGTTTTTATTTGATTTCCTACTAATTACACTTGGGTCCAATTTAATGTCGTTTAGATCCAGGACTTGAATGCATAAAGCAAATACTAATTATAACAACTAACAAATCTGTAGAGCTTTGCAGTTTTAAAGCATTTTCCTGAACATCATTTCACATCACATCCATGCCAAAAGATGTTATGGGGGTGGGGAGTGGAACAGGAAGGAAAAATCTGCCACTTGCACTCATGGTGAAAGGCTCAGATGCAGGAGGGACGAAGACAAAGGAGTTAACAGCTCAAGAGGGATTTGGGTATTGCAGGTTAATTTCATTATCCATGCTCCCTCTGCCTTCCTTTTCAATTACCACTCCCATTAGGAAAATAATTAAAAGTTTACTGCCTTTTTTGATAATTCATGGCGTCTAAGTGTGTATGGGAAAATAAGCACTGTTGTACACCGTTAATTGGAGTATAAATTGTTACCTCTTGGGAGGGCATTTTGGTGATATCAAAATTTTAAATGCATATACGCTTTGTCCCAGTTATGACATATAAATATTATAAATAGTATCCAAAGGCTAAAAAGAAATTTAATATCCATCAATGAGAGGTTGATTTACTAAATTACAGTGTAGCAATGCAATGGAAAATTCTACAGCAATGAGGGGAAAATGAGACTGAACCATATGGCCTGATATAGACTGATCTCCAAGATACATTGTTTTGTGCAAAGAGCAAGGGCCGGGACAGCACGCATAGAATGTGTGTGTAGAATGCTATCATTTGGCTGCATGTTTATTTGGATTCTTGCACCTGCCTGGATTATCTCTGAAAGAGTACACAAATGCCTGGTGAGGTGGCTGCCTCCAGGGAGGGAGAATAAGGAATTAGGGATCAAAGATCAGAGGGACACATATTTTTCACCATCTATCATTTTATACTCTTTGTATCTTTTACTGTTTTCTTTTTTTTACACTGTGTGAACTTTTTATTTTAAAAAGAGAATGTAGTGTGTACATTTAGAAGTTTTATGTCTCTCTTTGATGTTCTTCTTTACCATTTTTATACTGCTTAGAAAAATACAACTGTTTTACTTTCCAACACAGCATGCCTATTTCAAAATTAGTAATTAAACTTTGAATGTCTCTGCTGTGCAAAAGAGCACACATCTCCTCACTAACCTACACACTTATTGAATATAAACCCAGGGCTCATAATAGATGAAGATGAGCTTATAGGAAATAAGAAAATGGGTCTATTGAAAACATAGCAATGAATGTAAAATCAGGATGAGTTCCTGGCCTCTCCTTTCCATCATCTTTTTGTTAAAAGGTATCATTTTAGGGGGCGGTTTGTAAGAAGCCTCAAAGGGTTTGCTGTGGGCTTAGATGAGCCATGGGAAGCTGTCACGAAGGGACACAGCTTTTCCATTTGGCTGAAGAATACAGCAGAGCGGTGGTGAAGAGAGAGTTGGGAGAGAGGTTGTTGGTGACTTACTTCATTGTAAAATGGGCTGTTGGTTCCTTCTTTCACTGCACTTTGCTTCTTCTCGTCCCCGATCTCAATGGTCACGACTGGGTCAATGTTCTCGCCCACCAGCTGGCGGGCCTCGATGATGGTGATGGCAATCTACAACACAAAGCAGCGTGTACGCACTCTGGACCTGGCTGTTCATCCACGCAAGAAGAACTGGGGGAGGCTGGGTAGGAAGAGTCCATCACTTACTTGATAATTTTGGGATCTGATCTCCCCATCATGGATCTTAGTCAACAGTTTTGATCTATTAAAAGAAAGTTTAACATATTTGTTTCATCAAGTTAGAACACACTTTAGATCCATAAGCCATGATCATATTTTCCCAAGTATTCCTAAGTGCTTTTATTTATATTGTATCACATATTCTCTTTACATCTCTGGGGGAGTTAAATGGACAAGGGACTTAACCTCCCTATGACTCAGTTTCCCCATCCTAAAAATGGAGCTAAGAATAGCACATGAGGTGACTGCTACAATTAAATGATATAATGCATACAAAGTTTTAACCCAGTGCCTGGCAAGAATAAACGTCAACTCTTATTGTGAGCATGATTATCAGTACTATTTATTTTTTCATTTTACAGAATGAGAAACTGAGATTCCCCAGCATGTCAGTGGCAGAACTGGGTCTAAACAAGGATCTCCTCGTCTCCCGTCTGATCCTACCCACAGGACCACTTTGCCATTGCTGGTAGATATAACAATTCTGAGGTTTGTGATTGCTTTTGAAAGGATTGGTAAAAGAGAAAATTGAAAGGAACAGCCAAGATGCCATCTCGGTGAGATTTCACCTTCCAGAGGATTTCATTTATCTGGACTGTCATAAGTAATTAAAGACAGATGTGCAACACCTGGCCATTTACAGACTGGATAATAGTAGAAAGAGATGCAGAATCCCTGTTGTCATGGAAGCTGCAACGGGTGGGAAACGAACTGAGCTTGAGTTCCTATTGAATTTTATTTTCTTGCCTCCTAACAATACCATCTTGCATTTGACTTCATTCCATTTCTGCTGATTGTAATTGAGTCCAGCAGAGACCAGAGTAAACTAGTAAAAACCTCAAGACTTTGGAGTTGGGCTGATCTGAATTAGAATATTTGTTTTTCCCAATTTTGTGACATTAGCCTTAATTTCTCATCTGAAAGTAGAAATCATAATTCCTACCATATAGGGTTGCTCTGAGGATTAAAGGAGATAATGCATGTAGGAAAGGGTAGATAGCAAAAGGTGTATGTTCATTAATTAAATGGCAAATTCATGCTGATCATTTATTATGTGAAAGATCTCTGCTAGTCTCAGAGGAAAAACAAAGATGAACAAGCCATCATCCCAGCATTTGCAGAGCCAGCAATCTATCCAAGGGAGGGAGGACCAAAGCACATAAAGAGAGAAATAGTAAATACAAAATGTGTCATAGAAAATGAGACAGAAGTTCAGAGAAGAGAGAAATTCCTTAGAGCAAGGGTAAGCAACACAGACTGCACTGCAGAGGACGGATCTGAATCGAGCATCAGCTGGGGGTAGGATCTCAACTGTTGGAGAATGCACTGACCAAGGAGAAAGCAAAAGGCTACTACTCCTGACTTTTTCTCCTGCCTTCCTCCGTTCCATGCTATTATCCTGGTGAAATAAATAAATAACATCCTTTAAGTGATCCCTTAAAGAATATTAAAACATAATTGAAATCCCTATTCAGGGGCTTGCGGGAGCGGGGGGGTGTGGGGGGGGGTTGTCATGTTGCGGTGTAGGGGGAAGAAGATATTGCAGTGTATACATGCATACAAATTTCATGTCTTCTTTTAAGCATCAACCTCTGAGCTATCACCTTCTCTGATTTCCATCTGTCTCCCACTCTCCTCTGCCCCTTACACACATACACTGCCATCCTGTCACAGCCCAGTAATAACAACTCAGAATCTGCCACACAGGGAAGCAACTAATTTGCTTTATTGATAGTAACAACTCTGAGCAGAAAAAGAAGGGATGGGCATGGAGAATTATCATGAGTAAGAAATTGACATAAACAAACATGGTAGCCTGGAAGCATAGATAGCTCCAATTGTTGACTTCCTTGTGTCTGTGCTCTTTGCCCTGTAATTTGCAATCTCCTTTCACTCTGATGTGGGCTGCTCTTGTGACTTGCATTGGCCAACAGAATGCAATAGAAATGACTTTTGCCAATTCCAAGTGTGGGCCTCAAGAAATCGAGTGTACTTCTGCTCTTTCTCTTGGAACTTTGCCATCACTCCCATTGAAACAAGCTCCGACTAGCCTGATGGATGACCTGATACCATGCGGTGGAGGGCCCAGCGGTCCCAGCTGAAGCAATCCTAGACCAGCCTACCCTCAGCCAACGCTCGAACTGAAATAAGCAGAGCTGGTGATACACACGAGGGATATATCTGTGACTATCTGGAGCCAGTAAAACCATCCAATTAATCCATAGATTCGTGAGCAATAATAAATGCTTATTATATTAAGCCACTGAGTTTTGGAGTTATTTGTTATATAGCAACAGCTAACTGATACAACAAATGACATCAGAAGGCCAGTTTGTTCTGACTTTTTGTTGGGTAGTATAATAACCACCTTCTCATTTGGGCAAACACAAAGCTAAGACACCTGGCACCTTGATGAATTAAAGAGCGGGTGAGGGACAGCTCCTGGATCTGTCTCCTGTTGCTGCTGTCCTTTTTGAACTATGAGGGACAGGAGGACCCTAACCCAGGGAATTTAAGACTAGAAGCTGGAAGAACCAGGACCCTGGCCTACTGAAGGCTGAGCAGTATCAAGAGACCAGCACCACGACAGAAAAGCTGGGGAACACAGAATTCTGTATTCCTGCCTTAGACCTTTGGCTCCTTGTAGACAGTGAGTAGGTGCTATTCTCCTCTGTTCTCCTGGAGCCTGCAGGGTCACATGGCCCATGGGAGATGCTCGGTAAATGTGTTTTGACTGCTGGCATCAACACCGTACCTTCTCTTTGGAGGAGCTGAGGGGACAGGAGTGAGAGACACATCATCAAAAATCAAATCTCCTCCTGGTCCTTCCTGGTGAGAAGGTCCCTCCTGTGCCGCTTCTGCTTCACTTTGACCATCTAGAGAAGCAAAAAGGGAAGAAAATGTTGTTGAGTATCACACATAGTGGCGATCTGATCCCCCACTCTGTGTCCAGCACTGTACCAGTCACCGTAAGGGGTACAAGGCGACTTTAAGACAGTCCTTGCCAGTATGAAACTTAACGTCTTATTGGCAGAAAAGGCAGACACATAGCTTAATTTTTCTAAAAAACTATGTGTCTTCTATCTATTTCCAAAGAAGAGTAGGCTTCTATGCACAGTACCATAGAAAGGAAACAGGATTATGAATTTAAAGACAAGTTTTCAAGCATGACCATGCCGCCATGGAACTTTAGACAAGTACTTTATGCTCTCTGAGCCTCATTATCAAAATTCAATGTGCATAAGAATACCTGGGAAGTTGTTAAAATGAGATTCTGATTCAGTAAGTCTGGGGTGGAGCCCCAAATTCTGCATTTCCAACAGCAAGTTCCCAGATGAAGCCATTCCTTCTGCCTAAGGGCCAATTTTGAGTAGTGAAGAGTCCTGGGTTGAATAATATTCCCCAAAGATAATGGGTCCTATTCCTTGGAACCTGTAAATGTGACCTTATTTGGAAAAAGGACCTTTGCAGATGTGATTAAATTAAGCGTTTTGAGACGAAGAGGTTATCCTGATTATTCAGATGGGCCCTAATTGCAATCGCATGTATCCTTAGAAGAGGGAGGCAGAGGGAGAAAAGAAGAATGCCATGTGACCACGAGGCAGAGACTGGACTGATGCTGCCACAGACGAAGGAATGCCACAGCCACCAGAAGATGGAGGAGGCAGGAAATGGATTCTCCCGAAGGAGTGGGGCCCTGCGACATCTGGATTTTGGTCCAGTGACGCTGATTGTGGACTTGTGGCCTCCAGGACTGTGAGAGAATAAATGTGGGTTGTTTCAAGTCACCCAGTTTGTGGTAATTTGTCACAGCAGCCATAGGAAACTAGTACACAAGGGTTTAGAAATGTTCAATGAATGGATAGTAAACAGATCTTCAGGCCTTCCGCTCCCCAACCCGAGGGATTCTGATTTAGTTTATCCGGGATATTGCCCGGATGTCAAGTTCTTTTGATCCCCCAGGTGATGCTGACGTGTAGCAAAGCTTGAGAACCACTGCTTAACCAGGTTTTTGGCAAAACCAAGGAGTGGGTGGAACATTCTCACATACTAAGAGACTCTGCACGGTGTAGTTTAAGGCTTGAATCCAAAAGGTTGGGGTTCGAATCCCAGCTCTGCCACTTTCTAGCTCCTGGATTTGGGGCAAGTTATTTAACTTCTCTCAGCCTTGTTTTCCTCCTTTCTAAAGCAAGGCAGGGTAGTGAATCTACCCCACAGGGCTGTTAGGAAATTAAGCAAAGTAGATACACCCCTAGCACAGTGCCTGCCAGGTGCGTGGCGGGAGTTCAGCTGTGCGGATTCCAAGCTGGGTGACTTGGGCGAATCACTCAGAATTTCTTGGCATTTTTTTCCCTTGCCTATAAAATGAAAGGATTAGACAAGAAAAGTGATTTTAAAACAGCATAACCCTTTCACAAGCATAATTTCATACTGAACCTCAATATGCAACACACGTCTATTTATACCAAGCTGTTCTATGTGCCATGGGGCGGAATGTGGGGCAGAGGGCCTCCCACCGGGCCTCACCGCCATCCTCTTCAGGGACCCCTGAAGCCATTTCTCAGGACCCCAGGGGTCCATGGGACTCAACTTATCAATTTCACCATCTCTAAACATCTTCCAGCTTTGATAGATTTTGGTTCTCTGATTTTAATCAGCAAACCAAGCAAAACAGTACCAAGTCAGAAGACAGCCCATAATGTCACCGGAGCTCATGGACACAGGCCTTAGTAGGTGTTCGGTAGTTACAGAAAGGATGACTGAACGAATGCAGTCTGCTCTGACTCTTCTCTCACTCGGGAAATAAAAGACAGACCAGCCTGCAGAGCCACCAGAAGGAATGCCAGTGCCTGACTCATCCCTCGAAGCAGCAAGATAAGATGAAGCCTTGCTCCCCTACCTGACTACGAGGACCTCAAGGATAAGGGGCAACTGTTACAGATCCGGGTTTCCGGTGAACGTTCTTAGGTTCTTTACGTATGCCCGAAACTGCGCTCGGATAGATGCTAAGGGTGGAGGGATTAACCAAACGCGGACCTCTCCCTCTAGGGGTTTACGTCACAGAGGTAGAAACGCAGTCAGCTAAAGCTTATTCTATTCATTCCTTCATTGAGCTACTACTATGTTCTCTCCAATCCACTTACCAAGGAGCATCCAGGGTGAACTTCTTAGAAAAAAAAAACAGATCATGTTGTTTCTCCTCTTAAAACCCCTTGATGGCTTTCCATTGCAGTGAGAATAAGTCTGAAGTCCACACATGACTCTAACTCCCTGCTCTATCTGGCTTCCCTCTCCTCCTCTTGGCTCACCTGTCCCTCTGTCACCCCCCTACTTAATGCTTTCTAGTCACTCAGGCCTATTTCAGTTACTCCTAAATAAACAAACTCTCTCCAGCTTGGAATTTTCCTTCACAAGCACCCCTCCACCTGAGCTGCCCTCCTGGCCCCTCCCCTGGTGGGCTTCCGCTCTTCCTTGAAGTTTTAGCTTAAATGTTACCACCCCAGAAGACCTCTCTCCGACTGCCCTAAAAGCTTCCCTAATGGTCTCCATTTCAGCAACTGTCTCTTTCTTTATAGCACTTTTCTCAACTTGTAATGCCGTTACCTCTTCAGGGTCCCAGTAGATAACAGATGGCCCATCCGGAACAGAAGTATTTAAGGACTTTTGACAAAGGTGTGGGTGTAGAAAAATCCCAAAGGGTTGTGAAGCTATCTGGGGCTCACAGCAGCCAAGCTGTTACCACTCAGAGGCCCCCAAAATAAGAAGAAAGAGCAGTTACCAGAACCTGGAAGGAGAGGAAGTCGGGTCCAGCTCGCTTCCCTACAAGGAGTCACAACCATCCTTCAGCTGAAGGACACCTCCACCTGGAGCCTGGCCCCGCTCTCCTCCCTCCCTCAGACCTCCTGCTGGGGTGTCCCACTGGGGAAGGGACCTGGGTCAGCATCCATAGAGGTCAGCCTCCTGGGACAGAGAACACGTGGAGAAGGGTGGAGAATAGATCTGGAGGGGTAAATGAAAGGATCCCGCACAGGGCTGATCTCCCTCTAGATTATGCAATGTCCACCATTGTATACCCACAACCCAGCATGGGACCCAACACTCAGTGGACATTCCATTACTATTTGTTGAGTAAATGAATGAATGGATGATCATGAGAGGTATTCAGTAACTGTTGTTGGGTATATAATTAATGGATGGGTTAGGGTAATTGGAATTTTAAGAAATTAAAGCATAGTTACTATGCCTCAAAATACACAGATATAAGAGATAGAGACTGAGAATCTTCAAACATTTCATCCATAAAAGCCCTAACTTCCCAAGCCAAGCCAAGAAGGAAAGACCGAAGTATACTCAGTTCTATAGACTCTGTTTTGCCAGTCCCCTGAGGGGCTCGCCCCTGGCCAGCAGGATGGACGCTGTTTACTTTCTAGGAGGGTCCTGATTCCTCTCCTCCCTGTTTGCTTTGTGGGCTGAAGACTATAATTAGAATGGGCCATGGGAGCCAGCTCCACTGAAATTCTTGTGGTTGACCGCCTTAAATCTCCACCAGCTTGTTCTTTCCTCCTCTGCACAGTCTATAAGGGCTCCTAACTGGAGGCTGACTCATGGGGTAGGAAAGGGCAGGCTCTGGGGTAAGACTGACCTAGGCTCAGGAGCCAGCTTCTCCACTTATTAGCTGTGTGACTTTGGGCAAGCCACTCACCCTCTCTGAACCTCTATTGTAAAACAGAGGCAAAGGAGTCTTCATTTCTGAGTCATGAATGATGTATGTCAAGTAGAAAGCAGCAGGAGCTTATTAAATGTGGCAGAAATATTATTATTTTTCATAAGATCCTTGAGGGAAGGGATTGTGTCTTGTTCAATCTTGTGTCCCCAGGACCTACTGCAGGGTGAAGGACACCAGGAAAGACCCCAAAGCCTTTTCTACCCACTCTCTGATACCTCCAATTCGACTGAATAGACAATACTTCCATTAAGGTTTAAGCCTCGTCCCCACTTAAAATGGAATGCCTCTCCCATCCCATCCAAGGTTAACTCTTAATCACTATTATCAGCACTTCAATATGAATGAGTTTCCATAATTTTCTATTCTAAGATTAGGTTTTACCTGTGGGCAAGAAGTGGAGTTAGGGGGGACATAAGGCTACAGGACACCTGCAGTGAAGGAGTGCCCTCCCCCCGCAACCCAAGGAGACAAGATGGGTGACATTAAAGCAGACCTATGGCGCCGTTTTGGTTTATAAATGGTCCGGAAAGTCAGCCTTGAACTGGTTGTTGTTAGGACCACCCAGCAGAAGTCTCCAGGCGACCACCCTAGACCCGTCCATTGCAAACAGTTGATCCTATTTGATTCAACAAACATGAGTGTCTACCTAATGCCGGGCCTGGCCTCCACTGGCACAATTCACATGGTAACTCGAGGCTTTGCTCTTTTGGAGAAGGAAGTAGCCCATTCTAAGGGCAGAAAGTCAGCCAGCCTGGATTAACATCCCAACGCTGTTGCTTCCTGGCTCTATGCCTCCCACACTTAGGGCCGGCTGCATGAGTCTGTGCAGACACACAAGGTCCTGGGATCAGAAGGACCTCATGGCACCTGGCTTAATGCTCCACTGTCACCATCAGAAATTCTTAATGGTTTCCTAACGATGGCTTTGCATTTTTCTTTCTCACTGGGCCCTGCAAATTCTGCAGCTGGTCCTTCGCTCACTTTACTGACTCTCTGCATCTCTGTAACCTCATTTGTAAAGCTGGGATGACAATACCTACCGGGAAGATGACGGAGGGGGTAAATGAGACACTACATGCAGAGCCTCCCTCAGAGCAGCTGCTGTCCTCACTCTTACTTTCAAAACCTCACGTGATCCTCCCCCTGGCCGTGTGAGGTCAGCCCAGCAATCCACATCGCACCCATTTGACAAAGGGAGAAACTGAGACTCGGAGCTACCAAGTGACTTCTCCTGGGCCACAGAGCAAATTAGAACAGAAATGGGAGCTTGAACCCTGTCAGTGCCTCCTTCTGGGGTCCCCTTCTATAGCTTGGCAGGTGTTCACCACGTCCCTGTTTGGCACGATGACCAGATGAGCAGTGGGGCTGAGGCAGACAGCCCTGGGTCCACATCTGTGATCAGCGGGGTCTGAAGACTCAGCAGGCAGCACATTTCCCACCTCATCCCTATGGAGAGTGAACCCCATTCTCATCCAAGGAGGGGTCCACTCTGTGAGGGCCACAGGCCCCAGCATAGCAGTCAGCTCCCCACCAAAAGCCTCACCTTGGGCAGCCTTGTTGGCTAGCACCAACCCCTTCTCTGCTTTATTCTTCTTCTTCTTCTTTAGCTTCAGCCCAAACATCCCCTTTCTGAAAAGGAGAAAAAATAAACAACACAGTCATAGTAACTCTGAGTCAGGCAGACGTGTTAGGAGAAAATAAACCCACACACACGCGCACACTGAGTTCTCCTGGAAGCCAACCAGCCTCCTCATCCTCCCAGGATGGCGGTCAAAAGACGAGCGTCAGGATGAACCAATGAGCTCTCCAGACAGCTCTACTTTTGCAGAAATCATGGAAACCGCACCAGAACAGAAATCATGAGGTCCACCTAGAGCTGCGCTTAAACGAGGCGTGATGCAAACACTAACAGCTCTAGCTAGGATTTCTCCCTTTCTCCTCACTCACCCGTGCCAGGCACCCAAAATGAATGACACCATTTAATCATCACAGCTTCCTCTCTTACCCTTCTTACAGAGGAGGAGCCAAGGCCCAGAGAGGGTAGGTAATGCCTCTAAGAGCACACAGCTCTGAGCATCAGAGCATCCACTGGACATGGGTCTGTCTGAACTCAGAGCCCAGGATCTAACCACTGGTCAGCCTGAGACTGCCCGTTCCCCTGAGCAGAATGTTCACCCTCTCCAGAGCCAGGCTCCCAGACCATTTCCAAGGGCAAGAGGCCCTGGGACTTATTGAGGTCCCTGACACATGGTATGAGCCCCAAACGTCAGCTGCTATTATTATTGCTATTATTAGCCATGAGCAGGAAGTCATTTGGGGGCCTCCTTCTCATCCCAGGAAAGGGCCTCAGTCTGCCATCCCTAGCTGAGCATTCCAGACACTGCTCCCGAGAGAATCCCTTTCTGGATTGAGGGACTGAAGAGCACCTGGCTCTGTGTGGAAGGACAGAAGGGCACAGTTCAAAGTCCTGGCCTGAGTCAGACAGCCTGGTGGGGTGGCCCTTAGGGGAAGCAGGAGGAGGAACCAGGAAGGAACGGAGGAGAAGGGAGGAAAGAGCAAGAAAGACTCAAACTTTCTCAGCGAACGTTCTGCGGTCCTGGAGCAACGCGAGGAAAGAGGCGGAACCATCGAAGTTTTCCATTTGCTTTCATATTGAAGACTTGGGAGGGTGTGGAGTACAGTGGCTAAGATCAGTGACTCCACCGTCAGACTGCCTGGGTCCTGATCCCAGCACCATCTTTGTGACCTTGAACAGGTCACTCTCTCAACTTCAGGGTCCTCATGTGTAAAATGAGATAACAAATGCAAAGCATTTAGCAAGCATCTGGAACCAACTAGTTGCTCAATAAACATTAGTTGTTATTATTCTAAGGGATAGGATTAGGACCAATGAGTGGAAGCTACTAGGAGACAGATGTATGCTCAATTTCCTTATTTTTTGTTTGTTTATTCTGTTTATGTCCTGCCTTGATCCACGTGAGGAGCTAAAGATCCCCCCACACTGGTGCTGTCTGAACGGTGAAATGGACTGCATTGGGTGGGGATGAGTTCCCTGTTCTTGGAGGTGTGCAAGCAGAGGCCTGAGGACCACTGGTAAAGGATGTTGTAGAGAGGACAAACATCAGAAGTGGGGGACTGGCCTAGGGGACCTCAGAGGTCCTTTGAGACCCTGAGAGACAGTAGAATGGAAAGAATGGGCTCTGGAACCAGCCAGACATGGATGGATTGGACAAGCCACAGTACCTCTCTGAGCCTCAATTTCCCAGTGGGTATAATAGAGATAACAATAAAGTACCTACGTTACAGGATTTTTGTGAGAATAAAATGAGGTGAAGTCAGCAAAGCACTGAGGACAGTGCCTGGTGTATAGCAAGTACTAAAAAAGTACCCTTCTCAGAGATAGCATCTTTCTCCCTTTTGATTTGCCACGGCCCTGGGATAAGAACACCATTCTTAGTCTCCCAGGAATCTCAGGAGAATATACACAAAGGGGATTCCCTTTGTCTAACATTATTAAAATTCCCCTTGTCTGAAAGCTTAAGGGAAACTTCCAAAAATAATTCTTGCTATCCTGCTTTCAAAGGAGAGCTACAAAGCAGAAGGTCCGAGGCCAGTACTTTCCAAATCCTAAATTGCCATTGTGGTCCCCAAGGGCCCACTGCCATGATCGTTTCATGGAGGTAGGATCTGGTGTTCTAGGAACTTGGCCAATGGCCTCTGCAGACTACTTGAAAAGGCTGAGTTACTTGCATCAGCAAATAGGAAGCTGCTACTAATAAATGATAGTATCTACCAGAGGGAGATGTAAGTTTCCTTTAGGAACTAACATCCTCATCGCCGACAGCCTCAGCTTTCCGAATCTCCCATAAGGCAGCTGGTGACCAAGGCACTGGGGCATGCCCAAAGTTGCTGCCACGGGCAGGGGAAGAGAGAGCGATGTCCCACCTCTCAGAGACAGACACCCCCGCTCCTCTGAAACCAAGGGCTCTTGGCCCTGCTCTCTGTTAGAGGCACCTAAGGAAGTCCAAAAGATACTGACATCCACAACCACTTTTAGAGATTTTTAATGGACTTGGGGAAGAACCAGCACTGGGAAGCCCAGGTGTAGGCACAGCTCAGACCCCTCTACAGAAAACGCCAAAGAGACCTTCTGGTAATGTCCAAAGGATTTACAACCAGCTCCGCTCTCTTGGGTGGGTTGATGTTTGTTTCACAAACACACAAAGTTGTTTGCCTGAAACCCTGAGTCAGTCAAGGGCACTCCCAGCATGACTCTCAGCATGAAAAGCCTCCTTGATGAAAATTGATTTCTCCTCCTCAGCCCTGTGCCATTTGCCATAGAGAGAAGACATACCTTGCCAGCCCAGAACCACGGTGTCACTGGCAGACTGCGCAGGACAGAGTGAATTGTGACACAGGACTCAGCTCAGGGACCTGCTTGAACCCACTTGTTAGCTCTAGCATTGGAGGCTGGATGCTCAACCCAGATGAGTGCGTTTCATTCACACGTGACACAAGGACATTTGCTACCCAATTGACAGGGTGACGTTAAAATAGGAAACAATGCTTTTAATGTGTAGAGCATGCTCCAAATTCTTACAACATTGATGACAAGGAAATGTGCTAAAATATTCCCCTGAGTGAGCTGAAAGTTTTTTAAACATGTATTGACACTCACTATGTGCCAGGAACACCATTTTACACTCATTATCTCCTAGTATCCCCACAACATCCCATGAGGCAGATGCTGTTATTACCCATTTTTACAAACCCGAGGTTGTCAGGGTTTCCAGCCAATATATTGAGATCAGCCAGCGAATCAGGAAGACTTACCTGGTAAGTCTCCAAGGTGGTTGCCATCTCACGGCCTGCCCAGTTTGCCAAGGATTCCAGTATGGGACCCTCCCACCATACAAAAAGGATGGGGTTCTTTGGTTTAGGATCCATAGAGTTTCCTCCCAGGGCTACCCCAAGATAAGTCAAGAGACACACAAGGACCTCCATACCAACCTGGTCTCCTCAGGGTGAAAGCTACCATGACTCCGATATCTGTATCCAAACAATAAGAATGGTGAAGAGTGCACGTGTTAGACTCGCTTCAGCATCTCTGTTCCATGTGATGTCAATCCCTGTTGAACCACAGGGCCCACCCTGCCAGGGAAGCAGCCAGCCTGGCACACAGAAAGAGGAGCTGGACAGCTGGAGCCTGGGACTCATCTATACCGCTTTCTAACTATGCCACTGGGGCTGGCAATGGGATGCCTCTGAGCTCCAGGCTCCTCTTCCTCAGGAAGTGTCAATCAGGTTAACTCTGCTCTTCTCACTACAGTGTTGTATATATGACCTCACAGAGCCCTCATGCTGAACTGTTAAGATCTCTACAAATAGCTAATTTTATGTCATGTCCATGGCTCAGTGGAGCCAGAATTAGGAAGTGGCTCGCAACCAGGGTCTCCATGTGGTTGTCCACTTGTGTCACCAGATTCCCCTTCTGGAATCACCTTTTCTACCTTCAGTGAGGAATGGAAGCACCACAGGTCAAGCGGCCAAACACAGTTAATTGTGTCAATGGGTGTGACCAGTCCTGGCTCCTGCTGCTCTCTTCCCCACCCAAAGGACACAGGCTGCAGATTACCTGTGCATCTCACCCTCCAGACCCAAAGTCATAACACCCAGTATGGAAAAAAAACAACAATTTTAACTGATTTGTGAATTTATTTATATGAAAACTTTTATAAACTCTAAAAAAATATATTTTTTAGAGCTATATATTTCAAAAAATTCCTTTATCCAAAGAATGAATTTCATGTAATCAGGTCTATCTCAAAAACAAAACAAAATGAAGCTTTGCCACCGTCTTTATCCAAAGAGCCTTCGTTAAATTCCCAGTTGCCTGCTGGGAAATACCTTCTTGGGAATATCCCATCTGTGTACTCATCTTACTTCTAAGACTGGGATATGTTCATTAACATCAAACCACCAAACATAGAAACAGCTATAAAGTGGGTTTCGACAGAAGAGCGTTAAAATATAAACCCATGCGACATCCGGCCTCGTCAAGACGCCGAAACTTTTCTTCCTCTCTCCCTGTGATCTTCCTATCACAACTTACCTGTTCGATATCCTATTTCTCTAGGGCAATGATGCTCAATTTTCGCTGCACATGAGATTCATACAGAGGAGCTTTCTAAAACTGTCCCCCACACTGTGTCTGGATCCCACCCAGCGAGTTTGATTTCATTGCTCAGCAGGGGGACCAAGGCTCAGTAGTTTTTGAAGTTTCCCAGGTGATTCCAACATGCAGCAGGGTTCCAAACCCCTGTGGTTAAGAAATCAGTGCCAGTGAGCTGTCCTCTCAGACAGAAGGTTTACGTTTTTTTAAAGGAAATGCAAAAGATAATTTTTTAACTAAAAGGAACAATGCAATTTAGGACATTCAGAGTGTTTGGTGGATATATTTGAGTAGGCTGGACTTTGTCGTTCAACCTCCGCTCCCCTTCCACTAAACCCCATCCCAGAAATTAGCCCACAGAATTGGTTGCCTTCTCTATTTATGCATAGGATCAATCCAATCTTGGAAGAACAGAGTCCTTCAGTTTGAGAGAGAAGGATCAGTCCTCTATTGGGCCCACAGTATCCCAGGCAATGGCCTGGATGGATGGGGCATTGGCTCTCAATCTCATGGGAACCAGTTTCTTCTTGCCTACTGCAGTTTGGAATCTATCACCTCATTGTGGTAAATGGATGTTTCTCTGCTAGGTCCTCGTTCTGTCCTCGTTCTGTACATTCCAGCCCCATCAGCCAACGTAATGAGATTCAAACGTCACCAACTCAACAGACCCTCATTGAGAGTCTTGATATTTCACCTGCAAGAATTCCTGCAAGATCATCTGAGTCTAGGAAATGCCGCTCCAAGGATGCTAATGAATCCCTCCTCCTGTGATTTTTCTCAATCAAAGAGGACTCAGGAGTAATTCTGAGCCACATCATGTAGAGCCAGCCCGGGTTAAGCCAGGCTCCGACAGCCCTTCAGAGATCTTTGCCAAATGTTCAAGGGCAAGGTGGTAGGAGGGGGCTGCTGTAGGACTGCCCCAGGAAAATGGAGGCTTTGTCCTTGCGTGCATCTCACCCACCCTGCAGCACACTGACGGTGCCCACTATTGATGCCATCTTACAAGGGTTAGGGGAGCCTTTTTCAACTTAAAGCCTCTGGCCTCCATCCTCTCCTGCTCTTGCTCCTCTATATCTAAGATTAGCACATGACTGGGTTGGTCAGAGTGCAAGGAAAACAGAGAAACAAATATTGGCAGGTCATGCCAATGACTCAATACAGTTATGGCTGCTGGATCCTCCTCAGCCCCAAACTTTCTCTTGCCTTAAGGAAATGTTCATTTTGTTATTTCATCCTCTATATTCAGGCTAATCAGAGCCCTGATCCCTGTTCTCCTAAAGGCAAGAGAATCAACCTCTAAGCCAAAAATAGACTGCAGACAGCTTCCCAACATTTGGGACAAGCAGCTCTCTCCCCATGTTCTAGCATAAATGAGTCTTCAAACTCCCACCCTTTTTAGCTTTCTGCTCTTCTTTATTCCCTAAACTTTCCTCCTCCCACATGTTCCCTGATTATCTGTTGGCAGAATGATAAGAGGATGGCATCCATTGGTTGACATTCCTCTCTTGGGTAGGGTTTAGGGCCAAGGCTCCTATTCTCATGCGGTCTTCCCTTCTTTGGCTCTACCTTCCTACAGAACATTGGATTCTACCTTCTGCCCCTGCTGACAAGTGGAAGTCAGTCACTGAGCCCGGGCCTCTCCTCCCTGCAGCTGGGTGGGTAAGTCTATCTGATTCAGTCTAGACTCCGATCCATACAGCGTCCTCCAAACTAGCTTTACCAGCATTAGTTGATGCCTAGATCTATTTCTCAATGGGCTTTGCGCATAACAGGAAAAGAAGAGGGTATAGTCATAACCTCAGGGACACCACTACACTGACTTAAGGAGTCTCACTTGTAACCATATCTATTATATGTCAGTGTATTGTTACAAGTGACACTCATTAAACTCCATAATAAGTAAAGAGAGGATCTATGAAATTCCTTCCGAACCTCACTTTTTGGTATCGTGGACACTGAAGACAGGAGGTGCTGTGTTACATTAAACAATTACATTTGCTGTAGGATTCTCAGAGCTTTTAATGTGCTCATGTTCATTGTGACTCTCCGGGAGGGTAATAAGGTATTCAAATTTTTCTAAATGAATTTGACTATACCTTTATCACAAAACACCTAATATCTTAAAGAAGACCATTTGGGTGACCCAGAGAAAGTGAACCCTGGCAACTTTTAGAGTTCTTTCTCTTTTAAAACTTTTATGAGGCGAGCAGTGAGCAAGTGAGAACCATTGAAGAAACAGAGAAGCCAGGACATCGTCTCCCGCACATTCCCTCCTCTGCCTCCACCCTGCTCCCGTTCTAGTTCGGTACCGAATGGTCTTTCTGCTCCCATTCTCTCTCCTTCCTGCAAGCTATCCTCCATTCTGCAGCCACTGTTGCAAGCTAGAAGAGCAGAGAACATCCTTAATATGATAAAGAATATCTACAAAAACCCTAGGGTTAATATCATACCAATAGTAAATATTGAAAGATTTCTCCCTAAGATTAACCAAAATGAGACAAGGATGCTCACTATTCCTCCATCTGTTCAGTGTTGTATTTGAGGACCTTACCATTTCAATAAAGTTCAACTATTTGAATTAATAAGTGAATCAAGCAGGATATCCAGAAACAAGGTCAACATGTCAAATCAGTTGTACCTCTTGATATAAAAACAAAGAACGATAAACTAAAACTGTAAATAAAAGGTATTAAAATAGCATCAAAAATTCAAAAACTGAAGAATCAGTATAAGAAATTGACCTCTACACTGGAAATTACCAAATAAGATAAATTGAGGGATATTTCATGCTTATGGATTGGAAAATGCAATATTGGAAAGACGTCAAACTTCGCCAACTTGATTTGGACATTATTATTTGCTGTATCTACTTTGTGAAAGTTTTCAAGTTATACATTTGTGATTTGTGTTTTTTTTTTGTATATATGTCTTGTTTCAACAATACGTTTAATTTTTTAAAAGCATAGATTTGGGGATCCAAAGTCCTAGCTTTGAGTATCAGCTCAGCCACCCACTAATTGTGTAACTCTGAGCAAATCCTTAACCCTCCTGTGCCTCAGTGTCTTCATCTATAAAATGGAGGGTAAGTTATGCCTCTTTTACAGAGCTGTCATGAGGATCAAATGAGATATAAGATGCAACATTCTGTTTGTCAACACTAATGTGTTATATCCTACACACGTTAATTAAATTAAAAAATAGGATCAACGTTCTTTGAAAGTCCCTTAGAGCTCTCCACAATGTAGCCTCAGCCCACTCACCAATCCAGCGCTTGACACCTCCAAACCCTGTGCTCCAGCCCAGTGGACAGCTCCTCCTGAATTCATCACACTATTTTGCCCATGAACCATTTCTCACTCCAGACCCTCAATTGAAGGTAGCTTCTCCCATCTCTGCCTATCAACAACCAAGTCTGTCCTCTAGGCCCAACTCAGCTATCTCCTTTGATGGGTTGGGTTTGTCAGTTTTGCAAGGAGGAGCAAGTCACACACTCCTCTGGATTCTGTTGGCACTTTGTTGCTATCTTTATTATAGCATTTGTCACATGGATCATGACAGTTACTTGAAAAATATCATTCTTCTTTATTAGATGCTGAGCTTTTGAAGGCAGTAACCATGCCTAGTTTATGTCTGTACCTGTAGTATCTAGCACAAGGCCTGGCACACAGCAGAGCTCAATGACTGTTGGGTAGATGAATAGGCAGATGGACAGATAGAACATACATCTAGAAAGTTCCACAAGAATTCACTGGAAGTTTGGCTCTCTTCAAAGATGTATCATGTCAGACAGAAAGGAGTTAAGGCCATTCCAAGACTGAGAACGTAATCAGAGAAGAGAAGAATCTAAAATGTCAGTTGCTAAGCCTTGCCCCATTAT